GCGAATTATCAAGATTTATAAAAATGTTCTTATTAAAAAAAAAATACGACGAACATGAATCCTAGCTCATATATTTAAAGGAAAAATATGCTGGTATAAAGTACAGGTTATAGAACGCTTATGTTATGCTTTTTTATTTTTTTATTATTTATTTTTTTAATTCATTTTTTTCAGTATTAAATGGTTTTTTATGTGGGTGTTTTTTATAATAAATATGGCGTATTACGAAATACATAATGTTTACAGAATGAGTTGTTCATTATTTATAAAGTTACTAATTATAGATATGAAAGTACTACATGTATTGATTACCCTGACACGTAATAGTTTAACAATGGAGCTTTCAAATATTTTGGGTTACCTATCTTATACAAATTTAATATACATGTAGCGAACGTGTAGGATAGGTCGACACATATTTATTTTCTACAATGCATTTTAATAGTGAACATTTTAAAATTCTTATTGTTCCAGCCGTTTAGTTGATTTTAAAATTCTGGGTTCAAGTTAATATTTATAATTGTTATAGTCTATGATAGAATATACAGCACCGCAATTCGACCCTTGAAAACGTATAAATCAATGTTCTATACATGAGTCATAGCATGTCTCGTCTTTAAGTTCATTTTTAAAAAAGATATACATTAAACATGTTCTAGTTTTATCTAATTTTTGATATATCTCGCAAAATAACAATAATTATCTTCCTTATCCGAAGTCAAACTCCGACGCAGTGGCCCCCCTTTGTTTCGCCTATTCTTCTCAGTGTATTACACTGCCGATAAGCCTCTGTCACCAGAATAAAGCCAGGCACCGGCCTTGCACTTCCGGCACTCCCGTGCGGTCTGGTGTTAGCTGACTAAATAAATTTACATCTTGATTTTCCCAAAATTGGTAATTAGCAGTTTAAATACGGAAGCTAGCTAAACATCTATATCCATGGGGTCTTCGTTGGACGCCTTTCCTGTAATACTCCTGCAAATTTTGTTCGTGCCAAAACTTTTATATTTTCCAAATAAGGCAGTTGTGCAGTTTTTTTGTGAATTCTTTATAAAATTATAGACTTTTGGTCGTTTTAATGATTTTTATATAATTATCGAAAAGTGAATATAGAAGTTTTATAAAATAATACTGCATGTTTGTATCACTTTTGATTTTAAGTGATTTTCATTTTCAATGTATTATAAGCTCTCCTATATTGGGCTATATAACCTTACAGCCGTTCATATTGAGTCATATAACTTATCTAATGATATAATAATACCAAAAATCCTCATAAATGAAAAAACAAAACAAAACAAACATAATATAATGTTTCAATCAAATAGGCAACGTTATAAAAAGCCTGAAAAAGGGTTGTTTTTTTTTCAGGAACGAAAAAGGAATTAGAAAGAATACACTTGAAAATGATATCAACTCGTTAAAATAAAATAAAGTTACTCCGTCCTACCTGGAACACCATTATATACCATAGAAATAATATACATGTACAATTTTTTTATTAAGACTGATTGTAAGAAATAGAAATAAGAAAAAAAAGAAGAAAGAAAAAAATACCTGGTCAATCTATTCAGGTAATATCCAGTTTTTCTTCTTTTCAGACTTCTTATATCTTATCTACACGGAATTATATTGATCTTTATTTCTCTTTTTTGTTGTTTTTTAAGTTTCTTTTTTTTTTCTTTCTTACTCCTTTTTTCTCTTTCTTTCTTTCTTTTCTTATTTCATTGTTGTTTTTGTTATTGCTGTTTTTTTTTGTTATTGCTGTTTTTTTTTTAAATTTAAGTAAATAATTGTTTAAACAATTATCTTATTCAATAATTTTAACAACATAAAAACACAATTATTGTATAACTATTGTATATAAGATATTCATGATAAAACAAGACTAAGACAAACCACTCCTCATTAATTTTGTTGCGTCATAACGTAAAACATAAAGGTAAAAAAATAACAGGCTTGGTCAGTATATACGCAGTTCAAATCAATATTTCAGTTTTGATAGAAAGAAACCAAAAAATTTAAACTTTAATACGATAAGGAAAAAATTGAGCCGCTTCACGACAAAACCAACATAATGGGTTTGCGACCAGCATGGATCCAGACCAGCCTGCACGATCAGGATCCACGCTGTTCGCTTACCAACCCTATTACAAGTAGAGAAACTCATAGCGAACAGCATGGACCCTGACCATGTCAGACTGCGCGGATGCGCAGGCTGGTCTTGATCCATGCTGGTCGCAAACGCACTATGTTGGTTTTGTCGTGACGCGGCTCAAATGTTCACTCGTACATTAAAACAAATACTTTGTGACATTGCATTTAATCAAGACAAGACAAGGAAAAAGTCCACAAATATTTTATTGTTAAATGTCTCTATAAATACTGATAATGTAATGTTAATGAACAGCGAATAAACTAGCTTTTTTCATAGATTCTATCAGCGTTATATTTAGTTAAAAGTTTACCAGCTGGTTCAATTTCACCTATAGTAACGATTTGTATATATGAATTGAATTGGTTTATAGATCTACTTTTGATATACTTTTAATTTATTTCATTTAATTTCTTAAATGGTTGCTCATAATTATATTACGGAAGCCCTTGAGGGACATTTATTATTTAAAAAATATTACTTATTACCTATAATTTATAACTTATTATTTTTAATTTACAGATTAAAACTATATTTAGTTTTGAAACGCGCCATGTTTGGCAGAAAAAACTCTGTTTACATCAAGCAGTTAGCGAAAAAGATGAAGGAGAACATCAAAAAACTTATTATTTATAACTTATTACTCATTTCAGTCGAATATATCTTAGTTACATAATAATCTAAGAAGTATTTAATATAGTTTAAACATATTTATTGCATACATTATATAATCAGACTACAACATACACAGATTTTAAAAGACATATACGACTGAAATAAGTTATTAGTGATAAATAATAAGTTATATATAATAAGTAATATATTATAATTGATTATTATGATAAACCTATTAAGTAATAAATAATCAATTATCATTGTCTCATCATTTAATAAATGAGCCGCGGCATGACAAAACCAACATAATGGGTTTGCGACCAGCATGGATCCAGACCAGCCTGTGCATCCGCGCAGTCTGATCAGGATCCATGCTGTTCGCTTACAAACTCTATAGCAAGTAGAGAAACTGATAGTGAACAGCATGGATCCTGATCAGACTGCGCGGATGTGCAGGCTGGTCTGGATCCATGCTGGTTGCAAACCCAGTATGTTGGTTTTGTCATGACGCGGCTCAAATCATCTTTTTCGCTAATTGTTATGATGTAAACAGAGTTTTTTCTTGCCAAACATGGCGCATTTCAATACTAAATATAGTAATAACCTGTAAATAATAAGTAATAGGTAATAAGTAATAATTTAAAAATAATAAATGTCCCTCCAGGGCTTCCGTACATAATAAAGTAACAAAGGAAATTCTTTCAATGAAATACATTCCTTCAAGAGTTACAGTTGCCTACCCCACCCAACATTTCCGATCTAAAGAGACGACTCAATTGACTAATTTTATTATATATACATTGCATTATTTACCGGGATGGTCCTGGGCTCTGCCGGGAGTAATTGAGAACGCAGCTTTAGATTGCCATACATAGCAATATTATCTACAGGGTATTCGATAAATTTGCCATGACAAAATCATATTAAGGTTAAACAAAAGCGTGTTCAACGGAATATACATATAAAAAAAGAAGTAAAGATAGAAATAACATACATAAATATGTTACTTACTTTGCTATCACGGAATTTAGTATGACTATATTCACATCTTACGATTTATTATATATTTTTTCTTCTTCTAAAGCTATTCAAATCATATCAATTACTAGGAGACGGTCCTTTGAAGCGAACAGTTTTAAAACGCCAACACCGTATACGTCATAAGCATATAACGTAACGTCGTTGCTATAGTCATTGCATAGCGTTATCTACAAAGCGTTTACGAGAATAAAAATTCATAAAAAATGAATGGGTAAGTACTAAAATTCAATTTTTATTTATCAGTAACAACGAGTCTACACATGGTTATTCATATTTAACACGTAGATTTGATATATTTATAAGATATTGCCAAGTTCAACTTCTATCATTCACGTCAATGTGTGCAGCTTTTATTCAGATGCAAGTAAAAGAAATGGTACTCATTTTGCAATGCTATAATATGGTTTCTTTTTCTATAATAAAAGTGTTTTTACATATCACCACTACCACCACCAAGGATAATAACATCATCCTTCAATTTATTGAAGCAGATTGAAACTTATAAAACAAATGCGATATGGTTAAACTTAAGTGTTCATTTATTCATTCATTCATTCATTCATTCATTCATTCAGTAATTTATTCAGTAATTCATTCATTCATTCATAAATTCATTCATTCGTATTTTTTTATAAATGTATCAAAACAACGAATTATTAGCAGAGGGAACAATAAAAAACAACATTTTACCGAGGTAAATTAGGTTTGGCAGTATTTTTTGTCCATGGCTGTTATGTATAACAATGTAATAATAACCACCATTATATCTATTAAATTCTTCTTTGAATTTATTAAGATTTAACATTATATATTTTGTTACATAGTTACATTTTTTCTCTTTCTTACATCTATTTAATTCACATAATATCGTTTTCTTATTTACTCATATTTTTGTTACCAAATTTAACGTTAACGTTTGGCGCGGCTTAACACGCCGCGTTACGTCATATTTTTATGTAAGCGGAAACGCAATGATCAAAACAAATTTAAAAACGTTCATACAGTTTATAAGCATCACGACGATACATTTAAAACGCCGCAATAGTTGAGAATTGTAAACACACGACGCCAGTGTTAGTGAGAATGCGTTTATTAACGGGAAACGTGAAACGTCAAACGTGAAACGATTCTCTGTACAAAAGAGAATAAAAATAAATCATTACATAAAATACTATTGCGGCGTTTTAAATGTATCGTCGTGATGCTTATAAACTGTATGAACGTTTTTAAATTTGTTTTGATCATTGCGTTTCCGCTTACATAAAAATATGACGTAACGCGGCGTGTTAAGCCGCGACAAACGTTAACGTTAAATTTGGTAACAAAAATATGAGTAAATAAGAAAACGATATTATGTGAATTAAATAGATGTAAGAAAGAGAAAAAATGTAACTATGTAACAAAATATATAATGTTAAATCTTAATAAATTCAAAGAAGAATTTAATAATATCAATACTATAAAACTTATGCAGATCTCGTAAAAAATGATACAAACATAAGGCACTTGTAAGTACAGACGCATTATGAAATCTAGCCATGACGTTTCGTTTGAACACTATTGATGACATCCATCTTAAATAAAGCTGAAATTAGAAATGAGAAAACACAACAAAAGCAGAAGGAAAATATTCTGGGTGGGAAAGGACGGGTTAATAAGTTTTTAAATTAAACTTTATGATGGAAATAAACTCAAAACAAAATTTAAAAAAAACATAACCTTTCAGTGTAAAGGGAGATGACTAGTATAAAATATTAACATAATGACATACAAAGGTTGTCTCCCTTGTAATAAATTCCGTATAATGCTTATTGTATTTATCTGTTTCATTTCTTCGTTCATTCGTTCGTTCGTTCGCTCGCTCGCCCGCTCATTCATTCATTCATGCATTCATTCATTAAGTCGTCATATTTTTTTCATTAAAGTATCAAAACAACGAATTGTTGTACAAAACTTAATAAATTACTGCATAAAGCGTACTTTAATACAACAAAGTACAAAAAAATGATATATATCATGATATATTTTAGATCTACAGTTCAGTCGTGGATCAACCACCCAGGGGTTATTGATACAAGACACTCGCTCGAGATTCCTTACAGAATGGAACAGTTTGCTGCGCTGATGTGGAGACTTCCAGAAAAAGATAGTGAGTATTTTAAGATAAAATCCAGTTATATTCATTTCAAAGATTGAGACAACGAATATATATCGATGGTGATTTAACAATATTCGTATAAGATGTCAAAGTAGAAAATTTGATAAGAAGTAAAGTCACATTGATATTGTGAGGTTATTGTACATTGTTCAGTACAGTACTTAATTCATTGGACGAAGACACACACCTTTCAAACCTATTTTAGACAGGTGCAAGTCGAGTCCAATATAGCTTGAGCAACTGTGCATGAAAAAAGGCAATTTCAAATAATAATACCATTTATTAGAGCTAGCAGACACGTAAACAATAATAAGTCAAATACAAATCACAAGTTGAAATTATATATCAGTGTTATGCAGGACTACACATAAACACTTTATAACATCAATGAAAGTAAATGTAATTTAATTAACAAGTCAAAGATAGAGTGATCTATTCATGAATAACACAGAATGAATAGGAACAAAACCGCTTTAAAATGTTATAGAATATATAAGCGGAATTCATTTTAAAATGCAACAAAAACACATTAAAAACATGCAATACAGAACTAAACAAGCTAAACAATAAAAAACACAAAAAACAAAGGGCGGGAAGGAGTGGCAAATTTGAAGAAACAACCGACTGAATAACTGTAACTAATAGGCGCCAAAACCGAACCTAAATACAGTTTGGCGTAATGATACAAAAGTGACCCTTGACCTAACTGATGAACAACCAATCATTAAAATACAACAAATGTTATGGAGTAATAGTACAAAAATGACCTCTGACCTATCCAAAATAACAACCAATGAGAAAGACTGTTTTATCCATAATTAAAAGATTTTACTGTAAACAAAATGCTTCAAATTATGTCAAAACCAAAAAGGCAATTTCAAATAATAATATAATTTATTAGAGCTAGCAGACACGTAAACAACAATAAGTCAAATACAAATCACAAGTTGAAATTATATATCAGTGTTATGCAGGACTACACATAAACACTTTATAACATCAATGAAAGTAAATGTAATTTAATTAACAAGTCAAAGATAGAGTGATCTATTCATGAATAACACAGAATGAATAGGAACAAAAACATAAAGCAGAACAAAATTATATACAAAAAGCATAAAAATACAAGCATCAGAAATGTAAGTAAACTCAGAGCTACCATCAAGAAGATTTACAAAAAATATCATTACTCTGAGGGATTAAGCAGTTTTAAGTGCAAAAGTACAAGCCAACAAAAATTCAAATTAAAAGCAATAGCAAAGCAAAATTCCAGCATTCATTATAATTAAAAGATTTTACTGTAAACAAAATGCTTCAAATAGAATCAGAATGTATTCAACAATGTATAATTGGATTTCTTTATTTTACATCATCAATTTCTAATTGTTTTATAGTTCTATTACTTCAAGTACAATATAGCTTTGGTACTGATTTTCTTGACTCGGAAAATGAAAACGAGGCTAGAAACTCGAGAAATGAAAACAATGCTAAATTGATATGATTTCTAGTGGACCAAACACTGCAAACACTGGTCGCTTATTTGTAAGGGTTACATTTTGTGAGGTGTGAAATAACAAGAAATATGTAATGGTTATATTTAAGAGAAAGCAGAGGAAGTCATTTTCTAAAAAAAGTTGGATACCAAATAAACCTTATGTAGGGGCTTTCGTGACCGAATGGTTAAAGTCATTCACTTCAAACCACTTGCCCCTTACCGATGTGGTTTTGAATCCCGCCAGGACTTGGGATACTTTCATTAAAGGAAGCTATCCAGCTACCTTACGTAACGTCGATGGTTTTACTCTGGACATGAGGTCTTCCGTCACAGATAAAACTGGAAAATGTCTCCATACAGCATTAATGCAAATTGAACCTTAACCAAAATACATTTTTAATAATAATATATATTAAATAAGTTACATTTCTTGGTTTTCAGCAACAGTAAATGGAGATAGATTAACAATGCTTGATGGTGGAAGGTACCCGTTTCCTGCAGTGATGTTCATCGGACCAGCAGGGGAGGCCAGGTTTCATGCCGGGGCATCTTGGGATGAACTTGGAGGAGCCCAGGTTGAGCCTGCACCTCCATCTGTGCCGGTAAGTTCATTTTAATGGAAGACCATATATGAAATATTTCGTTAAGTAAACTTCTTTTAATTTATTTGCTTCCGTTAATTGAACTACTTTTTATATATATACGATAATGTAATCATTTGCCATTTGGTCGTATATACTATTGCTCCTTAATTCGCCATTTTTTCGGGGATGTTGGACAGGGTATAAAACTAACAGATACATTACAATGTGTGCTAAGATTGAAAAGGCCAGATTGAAGCAGGTGAAAGCTTATCAAATACGGCTGTATAAAAAAATTCGTATTGCGCAACATTTGGCATGAGAATTATCTTTCACAAAATTGCATTCATTCTTTACTATCAAGTCCTCTTAGTAGGGGAAGCCTAATTTTTCAGGGGATACGTGTAACCAGGCAATAAGACAACTTTCAGTATTCAAAAGTTTTATAATCATATTTTAAACATTAAATAAAGTTGTTCTTTTTTTCTTTCTAGGGCACAGATACCATTGACGATATTTTGCAACGAAACCCTAGCATACCAGACGAGAGCGAGGTGAAGAATTGGCGGGAAAAGTTCGTACCAGTCCTTGACATGGAGGATGAGAATCCGTCCTTTTCGCCTTTACTCTCAATGGCATATGGTGGTGTTGGCGGTGAAGTGAGGGAATTTGTTGACACTAGCGGAGCAGACGATGACGAAGACAATGAGGATTTTTTAGTCGAAGAATACTTTCTTGAGGAAAAAGTCAAATGATTTTATCATTGAATAAAAAAAAATCATATAAATTTATGATTCTTGAAAAAGTGCAATTCTAGATTTTTATTATTCCATACGTGGTTGTAATAACTTATTCCATTCACAAAATAGTGAAATACGAACATGTACGTTATTACCATGTAAGTAAAACCATAGTAAAATGTATTTCAAGTCACTTGCGACCCTGCTAATATTCTAATGCTACAATCAACATAAAAAAGTCCCCGAAAAGATAAAAAAAATCCATAAAAAATTGTGTAACAGGATCTTTCAGTCATTGCCCCGCCCCACCCCTCCTGTTTTCGGTATCATTAAAGTGTTACGTCAAGGAGCCGAAAAGGAGTGACAACTCACTAACAAAGTGTGCCGGGAAATTAGTTGAAATATTTAAAATTGAAAGTTTCTGTGTAAATTTTAGTTTGCCTGCGAGAAATTGTTAAAGGGAGACAATACGCACACTAAACTGTTTTAAATCATTGTACGATTTTTCTCCCTTTAGACAAATATTACGATCGTTTCGCTCTGATAACTTTAAATTTGTATACAACAAATGAAAATATTTAAATTAAGAAATGTTACGTCTCAGTTTTTTAAAAACCAAACATAAATAATAAACTCAAAGCAACTTAAGGGATATTCGAAATTATCCGGATCGTTTCGTTGCTTTGACGTTGTCCAACTTGACATGTAGATAGGTTTACTGACCGCCCGTGTATAGTTTGTGTTGTGGTTTACCACTGTGATGATTAAAGGATTGTTCGTGACGTAAATAGATAATAAAGATAGCTTCAATTTTGTCATGTTTCTCTCATTCTATCATTTATAATACTTTGATAAAGTATATCACTTTCTAAAATGTTTTCAAAGTCGTTTACTTTTTGAATTATATATAGATGTACTGTTGTAGAATATTTTAATAAGCTTTAAGTGTCTCCGCCCGTTCGTGCCTGAAATAATGTACGAAGGGACACCTGAAGTCTTCCTAAACCACAAAAAAACAAAACAAAAACAAACAACAGGAAGTCATCAGTGACCCTTTGGTGTCACGTAAAATCCAGTAAAAATGTCAATTTATTCCTGACCGAATGTACATTTACGTACATGTTTGAAGAAACTGTACGTGGTTTACAGTAAGGGTTATTTTTTCGCTGTCATAGATTCTCGATCTTGCCACTAAATGGGCTCGAACTCATATATATGCAAGGGGAGCTCTATGCCACATATCACACAGCCACAATTTACTCAAAACACACTATACTCAGTACAGTAGCCCGGCTACTGCCGTGCAAATTGGCCTACATAATAGCACGTATATGTGCCAATTGAAATTTAAAAAAATGTATTTTTCAACATTTTAAACCGACTTGTAAAAGTGTTTATTTGAAATTGTACTTTCACAGTATATAGCAGATAAATATTCAAAGCGAAGGAGCGAAACGAGAAATAAACATAACAATAAATCAAAGTTGTTAGTTTCACCTCAAGTTTTTACAGGCTTTTATAATCTTATGAAACTATGCCAAAATATTTATCATACCTTTTTGAACTCGTGCCAGATGTTCGGCAATTGCCATTGTGAAATAGTAAATATACGTGTAGTAATGACGCACTGTCTATTTTTATATAGGTGGAAAAACGTCTATGATGTCATCTAAATATATATCGGACAAATTGATAAGGGACTTTCCAAGGTTACGTTTTTTCTACGTTTCGCGCGCTTTCGGCTACATAACAGAAACTTTACAATAATGTAAATAAATTCTACACGTGTAAAGGTTTTATGACAGCTGAAAGTGTAACAAGGTGTTATTTACGTGCATATTCTTGTGTATGAAGCCTTAAGCATATTTTTACATACATTTCCTGGTAACAATATAATTATTGTGGTTGGCTGTCGAAAAGGGGTGTTTGGCCTTTTTAACCCCTCCTTTTTCCTCTGCGTTTAAAAAACCCCCTTTGGTTTTCCCTCCAAAACTTTTTGTTTTGTATATAAAATAAAAACCCAAGGGCTTATAAACAATATACATTTGGTGAATAAAAAAATTTTTTGACTAAACAATTTTTAAAATTTCCCGGAAAAATTTTTAAATAATATTTTTAAAATTTATAGTTTTTGAAAAAGATTATCACTTTTAAGTTACAAAACTTTTTGGTTTATAAATTTCCTTTTTGTTTTAAATTTTTTAATTAACCATTTAAAAATATTATTTAATTAAACAATGTTTTACAAACATAAAAACTTAGATTGAAAGGGAATTTAAATTAAAGCATTATAAACAGGGTTTATTTAATTATTTTTTAAAATTACACCCCTTTAAGAATTTGGTTTAAACCTTAAGGATCTTTTTAAACCAAATTTTAAAATTATACATTGATTTGTCAAATCAAATTTAGATTTTGTTCTTCCTTTTTAAAATTTTAAGATAAGTGAACAAAAACAAATTAAAATTTAAAAAAATAGCCATTTTAAAAGTTTAAAGACTTCTAGACGGTACTATTAGACTTCTGTAGACTGATCAATCAATCAATCAATCAATCAATCAATCAATATTTGGATTATCATTAAAGGCACCTTCCCTTAATTCTGAACAGTTTTACACTAGAATGAAAACTGACAATCTAAATTAAACAACCCTTAAATTCAGTTTAAACAGCTAAATGTCTGGACATAATGCTCTGTACCAATGTCATCTTAAATGAACCCAATCCAGAGTTTTACAAAATAACAGAACTTTTCTATTTACAGTAAAAAACCTCAATTAAGACCACCACCGGGACTGGACCAAAGTGGTCTTAATTGCGGGGTGGTCTTAATTGTGAGTATTCTAATTGCTTACACACTTTATGGCCATGGTCTATTTTAGTCATTTTGTGCAAATAAACAATATGTATCTTAACCTGCAAATATTAAAGTATGTTATAATGTTACATCTGATGGGAAGAAAATATATTTCTGAAGAAATTTGATATCAAATTCTATTTGATATGATTTCAATATAAATTCTTATATGATGTAGTATCCTGTACATAATAACCCAACAAATAAGAGATAAATTCATAGCAAAATCAATGTGCTTAAAGCAACATTAAACCACTCTAACATTTACTTTCTCACCTTATTTCATACAATATCACAATAATATAAGGTGTTTTTGACACCTTGTGAAATGAAGTGTCATGACTAAGAGCATTTAAGCAGAAAATAACAACATTTCAACAAATTGAAGATCTAGGTAGGTGTTGGCTTTAAATCAGTGGTCTCAATATTGGGGTCAAATAAAGAACAAAATAAAGAATTGGGACTGAATCTGGTGGTCTTAAAAGTGGATAAGCGAGGTGGTCTTAATTCTGGATAATGTAACTATTGACATAAAGAACAGAAAATTCCGTTCTTTTAAAAAATGGTCTTAATAGCGGGGTGGTCTTAATTCCGGGGTGGTCTTAAGGAGGGATTCTACTGTAGTTGTTTTCTGCAGATTTTCGCATGAAAATTTAATGGGTCAAAAACAGAGACTTTTATTATATAATAGCTCTGTGGTCAAAAGTTACACATAGCCAGTTACTGAACAGTTAAAGTCTTAGATCTACTGAATAATTGTAATTTTCACACTTAATAAAATTCAAATTTAATTGATAAATATTTCATCTTGGGATACAATACTTATTACCTGGGACTTAATAAAATGACTATCATAAATCCTAGTAATTACATACAAGACATACGGCTAACAAGATGGAAAATTCACACCAACACATGATAAAGGTTTTCTAAATTTTAATATTTCAAAGTCTTTAACAAAATATGAAAAAACATTTAATAATGAAGCATAAAAAATATTAACAAGATAATCCACATTTAAATAGCAGCACCATTAACATTTGTACATGGTAAAATTATGGCAAAATAATGAATTTGTGATGAACGATAATTGGTCCAGTGAAATGAATTAAATGAATAAAATGACAGGCACACTCATCGATACATTCTTTCAGATCTAAAACAATTCAGTTCTAACTGAATGATTTGAAACATAAAATACCCATAATACATTGCAGTACAGTCCAAAACAAACATGAACTATGTACTTTGTTTCAAGCATTTTCAAGCACAAATAATGAATTATCATAATATCGCTTTAACCAAAAATAAAAGAATTAAACAAGTTCCTTACAAAATAGAATTTTACAATATTCCTTTTAAGATTGTTACTCAGTTATTAAGCAAATTGAAAGTAGCTTTTAGAAGATACAAAAACATATTTTACAATATCAACTGAAAACTATTGTTTTACTAATTTATTATGCTAGCTCAGGGCTTGGCTATGCCATTCAAATATCACATACTGACACAAATATTTGTCCGTCACCCGTTTAGTTTACAATTCCAATTTATTAAAAATCCTAAAAACAATTATTGCGCTTAAATTAAAAGTTGATATTTTGTGACATCATAATTTGGCAACCACTGTTCACATGTTCAATAATTGTTTGTTTTAATTTACACACTTCATCTCTAAGTTTTGAAGCTTGCGATGACAAGTCATTATTTTGTCCTTTAAGGTCAGCGACTTTGTCTTCCAGTCGCGCAATTCTTTCAAGTTTTCTAGTGCGACACTTCCTAGCTGCCACTCGGTTGCGAGCCCTCTTGCGTTCTAGTTTGATCACTTCCTGATTAGCCATATCTATTGGAGATGGCGGAGGTGAATTAAGTCCACAAGGAACAGTTTGAGGTTCCTCTTTAACTGTCACCATTGGATATGTCCCTGGGTTTAGTAATGATTTTGATGGTAGAGAACTACTTGGCACAATTCCTCCGGGAAGTGATGTAGTTGTTGTAAAAATGTTTTTTAATGCATCATTGATACTTATAGATGAACTGTTCGGGATGTCAACACATTCTTCTTCAGGTTTAGAATGTAGTTCTGCTAAAGCTGCCACGAAACCTTGTGCATATGCCTCCTGCTCATCCGTCACAAACTTAGGAAATAAAATTTGTGTCGGTGTAGGTGTTGTTGTCACCATTCCGTTTGCTTGAATGATCATTTTCTCAAGCTCTGGGGAAGCTAACTTTAACATGTTCAAATCCGGCGATTGTAACAGAGCTGTTTGAATTTTTTGTCTCTTAGCACTGGAAATTCCGTTTCCTGAGTTAAAGTCCAAAGTCATTGCCCTCTTCATGCTGTTAAGTTTACTTCCGAACGTGTTATTTTCCCTTCCCGCCCCGTCATCGTTGTACATAGTCGTCTCCATTGTCCTGTGTTTAAATTTCGCCGCCACCTTTTCTGGTTTAAATCTTCAAAATTTTGTCTTATTATTTCAGTATCGCCTGACTCACAGTGTTTTCCTGCTTTCAGTGTCACTCCAACAAACTATTTTCAATCCGATGAGTCAAAATTTACGATGTGAGTCACAGGTTTTCTTCGTTTTGTCTGTAGACTTTGTTAGCAGTGCGTAGACTAAGGCCCAATACACAACTTGCTAGCAATTTATATGAAATGACTCAAGTAGCTGAAAATAGAATGACATCAGATTTAGATATTTTCATTGGTTCATTTTTACATCATATTTCACGTGACCGAAATACTATGCTCTGATTTGATGGTTGTTATAGAGACGAGTTGGATTATGGGATACTATTTTATCCAAATAAGGAAAATCTATTTTTATCAATGACGTTTTTTGACGTAAATTGGAATTCCCCGACAGCGAAACCGAGGCAGACACGAAAGCCAGACGATCCGCAAAATGGACGATATCCAGTACAAAACTTGTAAAGAGTTATTTATTTGATGTCATTTTACGATAGCCCATCTATAGATTTGTACTAAAAAATATTTTAACACATCAATTCTGTACCACTATTTTTAAATATGTAATTCTGTCACTGTACAGTACAGTCTAAAAATTAAGTGTGAAATAATTGGGTCAATTGTAAAGTTAATGAGGCCCATGAAGTGGTTTATCTTTCTATGTTTGATTTCTTTGACAATGAGGTTTCTTTATCATAGCTTGCATAAGTTATTTTTTTCTGTATTTTGTTTTCGTTTTTTTGTAAATACTTTATGTACAAAATAAACGATCCTTATATGTATCCTCTTCAATTAAATAGGTTTAATAGACAATCAAATATTTAATTAAATAAGCTGTTCAAGTCCTATTTACTTTTGCCAATCAACACAAGGCAAAGGGGTACGGCTCATTGAATGTTCACAAAATAAGTGTTTGATGGTATCCAAGTCAGAAATGAATTTTAAGTCCATTCCCATTACACTATATACTATTCTAACACGACCCACATTTTTCCCTATTGAACATAGAAGAACCGAAAGTGTGTGTTATTATGCAATATAGTCACTGTTTGACGTTCTATATTTAGACATGTGACGTAATCATTATACATGTGACGTAACCACTATAAAATCAGACGCGCAAACAATAAGTACGGAAACAAATCAGGCGCAATTTTGTTTAATAGCAGGTACGGCAGCATTAATTTTTTTACGTTGTGTTAGAATCGAAATAATATATCCAAATCGGTGATTTTATCGCTGGATAACATCACTGTTTGTCGTTCGGATGCGCATCATTATATCACTCGGGCTACGCCCTCGTGATATAATTCCTCGCATCTGAACTCCAAACAGTGATGTTATTGAGCGATAAAATAACAGTTTGGGATATATTATTTCTTAAATATATAAACTATATTTTAGTATATACAATTAATGTAGTGTAATTGGAATGGACTTAGAATTTATTTCTGACTTGGGATAAATGCTTTCTACCATCAAACACTTATTTTGTGAACATTCGATGAGCCGTACCCGTTTGACAAGAGGTTGCCATTTGCAATTTTAATATTTTCTCCTTTGAAATGACTTCAATTTCTGTTGAAGAAGCTAGCATTAATAGATGAAAATAACCATTCTTTTTTAATAAAGTTATTACTTATTGCTACGTTCAAAAAATAATTCTGTTAAGAATGTCATTTAAAAGGAAAACTTCTTAGTTTGTATGTACTTTGTACCAGGCATAATAATCAAAAGTTAAAATTACATGTAAATGGTCCATTACTGCAAAAATTCTGTTTTTAAAAATATGAATGTACATCATCACAAGGCTGATATTATAGTCTTTTTTTCCCCACTGTATAATGGTTGCAAGGGCCTTGAAGGTCCATTGATAGTCCAAGAGACAATTTTGTAACGTAGAGGACAGTTTAGAGACAGGGGAAAAGTTCAGTCCTTTCACTTTCAGTTAATTCATTCATTTTAAAATCAGACAAAGAAATGTCCTGCTCTGATGGTTTAATAACATGGATCTGGTCAGAAGTTTTTTCAGAACTGGGAGAAATTTTATCATTTTTGAAAAGGGGAATTAAACACCTAACAGCTCTATAAGGGCACTTTATAATACTTAACATAAAATGAAACTTTTTTAAATATTATGAAATTTTTATGTGACATTTTTTAGATGTATAATATCTATCACATGCATTGAGACCAGAATGAGGATATTATAATTAATCATGAAGAATCAAAATTTAGATCAGTGTGGTTAACTTTTAAGCACAATATCAGTTTTGCATTGCATAAATACCCCTTTATCAGATGTTGAAAGATGTAATTTCAATTATTAATATATGTAGGTGTATAATTAATACATAATTATGTATTAATCAAAATCAACATTAATTTATACAATTCAATAATAAATAAAAAATAAAAAGAAACTTTCAAATTTAAAGATATGAACCAATGAATTTAAATGTGGAATGTCTGATATTTTATTTTCCTAAAAAGTGTACAGAAAAATTGACAGGAATGATGTGTAATTACAAAATTAAATTTACCTGATGTATATTCCTTGTTTAAATGAAGTACCACAGAAGAGCCTCAATTGTACTTTTCAGTCTGTCCAGTAATTGATTACCTTAGAATGGTATTTTGAATCATTATATTAAGAAGAAATTTTGCTTCCATTTAACAATTGGTCAATATTATAATGGTTTACTTGTTTTAAAGATTTTTAATACATATAAATATGTTCTGGCTATTTTTAGCAGGGATTCCGTAGTCTATTTTTAGAAAATAGCCTGATCTTGTTTACAATGTGATCATGAGTCACTGTCGTGGGTGGAAAACATCTGGGACATTCCATAGTAAAGTAAGGGTTTGGTTTAGGTTATAAATTGAAATTGTCTGCTTATAGATCTTCTGAAATACATTTTTCGAAGGAAAAAAAGTCAGTACTAAAATTATTGCCTTAACATCGTTGCTGAATGGAAAAGTATGATACTCAGTACAATGGACATTACATGTATTGCTGGTATTACAAATGTATATCTTGACCTTATTTTGACCTTTTTTAAGTCCAAATATTTTTTTCTGCGCCCCCACCCCCAATACACTTCGCATAAAGGAAATCACCTAAACTTATTAAAATTATTATCATTGAACTCCTGTCTTGATACATACATGTATTATCAGGGTTTGTGACCCAGACTGCAACATTTTCAATTTTGCCCTGTTGGACTTTCTTTAGGGATTCTTATTTCTTTCTATTTTTTGGACATCTGGAAAAAAAGATTTTTGTGTGCATAGCTGCTACTGTCAGGTTTTCATTCTCCAGATACTTGAACATTGCCCATTATATTTTTATTCACGATGGATTGTGTTTATTCTTGGACACAACAATAATGGGTTTATAAGACTTTATGTTGACCATGACTCATCAATGACCTTGACATTGAAGGTCAAAGTTTTTTTCTCTAACTGGCTGTAACTTTGTTATTTATGAATGGATTATCTTCTACTTGAGCACAATGTCTAAAAGAAAATCAAACTCAATTTGACCTTTACTCTTAAATGACTTGAATGACCTTGAAGATGACATTGTTGCAAGTTTACAGTTTTTAGCTATTTTTGCTATAACTTTGGTATTAATGAATGGATTGTCTTCATACTTGTGATAAAACATTGAATTTGCTTAAATTGTCATTTGTTAAGTTGTTTCATATTTGGACAAAAGAAAACATGACAAAATTGACATGATGACCTATTCTGATATGACCTTGAATTTTCATTGACCTTGACCTTCAAAGTCAATTTTATTAAATTTGCATTAATTGACATAACTTTGTTAATTTACAGATTTGATCCATAGATCTACTTGGACAAACGAACACACATGACCAAACCAACATGTTGAATTAGTTTGATATTAGCTTTGACCTTTAACTGAATTTTACCTTCAAGGTCAAATTATTGAAATTTGCTCAAATTTAACTTTGTTATTTATTATGGATTTTATTCATTCTTCAGCAAAAGAGCACTTACAACAAACTGAAATGATGATTAATTCAAATACAGCCTTGACTCTTGAATGAACATGACTGTCAAGGTCAATTATGAAATTTGAATTTTATTTTTTAAAAGTAAATTATGCTCTAATGTGTCCGACTTAAGAAATAAGAAGTCCAGCATGTTCCATGCTAGGCGGTGGCTCTTGTTGACTGAGTTATGGCCCTTCATTTTTTCACATTATGATGTAATATACGTTATGGGGAAAAACTCTTCTGTTATGTGTGCAACTCCAATATGCCTCATTGGATATCAACAAAACTTTCACAGACCTATTGTGTACAGGCAGACTGACAATCAGGGGAATGCTAATTATATAATATAATTATTATATGCTACAAGTATGTTTTTGGTGCTTAAAACCAGTTAACTTGTTTGTTATTGGTCATTTTCTAATTTGATCCTCACTATTACCACAGGTTCAAATAAAAAATTGCCAACTTAAAATTTTACCGCAGGGTCTTCAAATCAGAAGTTATATCAGAACAAAACAAGATTTACCTTTGAACTTATTGGTGGCGCTATTATCGGTGACTAACTGTTGCTATTACCCAAACAATAGTCTACATGATTTTATACCCTGACATTGTTTTAGAAGAAGGACAATGGTATCAAAGGTTATTTTTCTATTATTGACAGTGAGAAGCAGCATCTGTAAAGGTTCAAAGTTGTGTAATAATTATCTAGGACTAAAAAATCACACACTCAAAAATAGAGAAAGACATAGTTATAAGTTACTGCATAATGTTCGTCTATTACATTTATGATTTCAGGCATAAAGTCTGTGGCTAGATTATAACATTAACAGTATTCAGAAGTCAAAGAAAATTATTTTTCCTGCATTTTCAGCATTGATAGAGTTATCTTGGTTTAGATACTAATCTGATTTGTCACATTTTGCCATTTAACATGACTGGTTTAGTTACTGTATTGTTTGATTTTATTAACCTGTCACTTCCATACTCATTATACGGTCAATGCACAGAATATATTAATATTCGATAAATGTTCGGTAAATTCCGTGAGAGGTACGCAATAAGATGTTATTAATTAAATGCATCCAGTTTACACTGACCGTTATAGCGCAATAGGGTAAACCACGGGTATATAATATCGAAATGTCCTACATGTTATAAGATCGAGACAGTGTATGGTCCATGTTTTTTCTTATTCATAAATATTTCCAAAAATTTTGAAATTATGGTTGTTCTTTTTTTAATATGTTTTGCACTCTTTGTAAATACTATATTTTTGTATATAATTGATATTGAAAATTCATTTGGATTATAATCAATAAATGTAATTTCAGTACCGTAAAATACAATACAAAATTATGTGACAATTCAGTGTTTCTTAGTTGTTTCATGTCCGTGTAGACAATTTTGCAAGCGCGTGACCATTTTCTTTAAAATATACCTAAAAATAAGGACAGAATAAGTCTAAAAAGAATGTCAAAAGAAGGGAACGAACCTCGAACCTCTCATACATTAGGTAATCACTTAACCGACTGTGCTATTGCGGATGTTACGAGAACCTACATTTAGCTAGTGGGAGTTTTTCAAACGTTAGTTATATACTCCACATTAATTCTCGTAAAATAAACGGACAAAACCGAAGTGAGATCGAATATTTAAATATGTGCTCTAATGTATTCATTATTGACAGGTCAATAAAATCAGACTATATAAAGTGGTTAATTTTGTGACATGGAAATATTTGTGAATTGAAATTATTCGCAAATATTTGATTGCAATCTTTATGTTTTTGTGATTTCATCATTACACATTTGTGGTGAAAATGCAAAAACATGAAAGTACAAGGCACAAGTTTTCGTATTTGGACATTGTACATGTAACTTCATCATTGTATTTTCTCATTCCTTTGTCATTTAATGTTCTAGTTTTGTGGGTCGTTTTTAAATGTTTGTTCTTCACGGTACTTTTGAGTTTTCCTCTCGTACTTTTACTCTTTCATTTTCTTCCTTTAGTGTTCTAGCATTCCAGATTACACTTGCATGCATAGAGAATGGCCTTAATGGAACACCATACAATATAACTTCTGATGATTTCCTTATTATGCTCTTAAAACCTAGTTCTTAAATAATTCAAATTGTAATGATATATGTATGAGGACATTCATTTTGTTATATATATATCTAATGTTAAGGAAATGTCATACTTGAAATTTAAGCTACTTAAGCTGTTAAAAGATTTTGAACAAGCTAACATTGAATCTTTCCTTACAAAAAAGGAGATGCAAATGTGACAACAAGATACATATTTTAAACATTTTTTTCAGTTGTTTTTTTTTTTTTTACTTCTTTGCAATGGGAAATACAAACATGACTGTATTTTAGTGGGTTTACTGAAGGAATATTAAGAAAATTTAGGAAACTCGATTAACCATTTCCTTTTGTTTAGATGATTATGCACATTTTGTAAATGGTGTTTTATATTAAAGTTAGTTTATTTACCTAAATGTTTGGCTGGTAGGGAAAATCTCATTTTTGGGTGGATTTAAGGTTTATTCATTGGGAATTTTCAACAGTTTGTATTTCAGTTAGAAAAAAAAGGCTTTCTTTTCACAGTCTGCAATTATGGCACTAGTAGAATGGCTAGTAGAATTTGGATCAGGCCTGTAAAACTTTCTGAGTAACTAGCGGAAAAATAAGCAGTCAATCACCCTTGTTACATAAATGGAATGACTGAATTTCATGTGCAACAATTACTAATTTATATCCAATTAGGAGAATAGAATTAATGAATAACTGTATATAAGTCATTATTCTTGATTTTACTTTTACTTTAAAATGTAAGTAAAAACCTAATGTAATAGTAATAGTAATCAGGGTAGAAGATGTCTTATGGTTTTTTAGTCCTAAATTCTTTGACTATTTTTATGCTAAAAGAAGTCACTGCTTTATAAATTTGAAAAAAATGCTTGAATTTGTAAAATGACAGCACTATACTTGTTTAAAGCTCAGCTCTTAACTTTTTTTCTTTTAACAATGACTTTTTATTCTGTTAAACTTGAGACACATACAAACCAGAATATTTAATTACATTTTGTATTATCATCTTGTTAAGTCGCCTACTTAAAATGTTACCTGATGTATGTAGAGAGACATTGACATGTGACTTTAAAAACAATTCATCTGTCTATCACTTTCATTACAGTTTGTATTGAAGAGCTTCTCCTTCATTAATCGACTTCCGCAAACCTTTTCAAAGGGATTGAACATTAAGGATGGATTCTACGCTTGGTAAAAGAAAACATTCAACAATGCATTCAGACCAAGGGTTTGTCTCAAGTGATTCAACCGGGTCTCTACAACTACCCTTGTCATCCAGAGGTCAAGGCCACTATTCTAGCGAAAATCCTTGCAATATCAATGCTACATCAAGCAGTTTCTCTGGATCAACACAAAGGCCAAAGCTCACATCAAATTCAAATTCTCTGTCATCCTTTAATAACAGCTCTGATGGAAAATATATTGCAACAGGAGTAGTGACTGGTGGTACTGGCTTTAGTTCTTTTAAGCAGCCATCTTGTAAAGGGCCGTTCTCTGTGGAAACTCCGTATTTAAATAAAGAGACTCCACTGATTCTTGCTACAGCGCGACAGACAGGGTCTTCAATAACAGCATCATGTAACACTGACTCCATCAGGCAACTTCAGAACCCTTACACAGATAGGGTAACCAGTAGCCGTACTTCAGAATATTTTCAGAGGACTCCTTCTAGTAGAACCCTTCCAGGGCCCCAGAGCAGGTCAGTTACCTCAACATTGGCTACTTCCTCAGGGCTTGACACAGGGGAAGAAGAAGATGACGACCTGAGCAATACTGATGTTCGGCATGTAAGACAGATAGAAAATAGCTCATTGTCATCAAATGAATCTCAGGTGTGTAACTAAAATTTACACTACTTTCAGTTGTGTATAAAAATTTAAATCCTTGTTTGAAAGAATATCACTGACCTTTTAGTAAATGATTATGTATGCAGTAACATGACTTACATTTTCCTTATTTAGATTTAAATTGTGTACTGTGTATCATGGTACATTTAAAACTGGGTCATAAACTTAAATATTGGGCTTGCCAAAACCATTTCAATAGTTTTTCTTTCTCGGTATGCCACCTTGACCTACATTTTATACCACTCCTTATAAGGTAAATTCTAGTTCTCCCATTTGTTATATACACAGTTCATGCACCTGAAGTTTGAAATAATATTGTATTTGAATAAAATATTCTTGTTTGTTTATAAGCATATGTTGAATGATACAAATCTTTTATCGTACAGGCTGCATTTTTCACTATAAAACGTTTTCACTATATAACATGGAAATGAGAAACATACCAGTTGTATGAAATGAAAAGTTTATACCTCTCATAGCGCATATCTTCCTATCTAACAACTTACAGGTAAATTCTGTACTTTAAGTTAGAGGTATTATCTTTAAATTCCTGTCATAATGTTTATTTTGCTTGTAGATAATAATTTGCTTTTCTTTTTTAGTGGACCAAAACAATGCAAAATGGATAAACAAAATAATACATTATTAAAATTAAATTAAAGTTTTTCGTCTGCATACACAACATACATTTTCTGACATAAATTATGTCTTCCTAGCTTTGTCTCCATTAATTTAAAACTCAATAACTTTCTTGTTGATTACTGAAAAATTCCAGTATTACCCAGTATCTACATTAATAAAGATGGTTTTTCATAAAGACTAAGTTACAAATATATTCATTTTGTTAAGATTGTTACTGTACTTTACACAGGTTAGAAAGGTCAGTGACTAGTATACCCACCCCAAGACCCCTCTTAAACCCCAAAAAATTAATCTATTTCAATAAATCATTTGAAACAAAATATCAGTATTGAGTAAAATATTATTATCAAGTAAAAAATTGAGCTAACATTCTTTATATTATCAATAATGTATGATATCTTTTTACTGATATAATTTATGTTGTTACAGAATCTGCTGGTCATTTGTTTTTCTGTTGTATCTTTTGAATCAATTTAGAAATTAACCTTGTTAACATTTGAATGATATATATTTAGTCATAAGAGTTCTTTTGGAGGCCAAGTTTTATAATTCATCATAGCTTTTTGACAAAGTTATGCCCCTTTATTGAATGAAATATTTATTTGAAAATCTCTGGCACAAGAAAAGATATTAACTTGAGGTTCATATTCAAGTTCATCACACTAAGTATATTTTCTTTCCTTTTTAGCTCGACTTTTTTTTTTTTTTTGAAAAAAAAAAGTAGAGGTATTGTTATAGTCGCTGCGGCGTTGCCGTTGCTGTTGCCGTTGCCATCCGCAAACTTGTACCTGGATCATAACTTTTTTATTTCTTGGTGTATTGTCTTCATACTGGGCCACAACAACCCTTGGGACAAGACCTTTCAGTAGACCACACTAACATTGACCTTCATCCATAAATGACCTTGACCTTCAAGGTTAAAAGTCCAAATTTTGCTTGTTCATGCTGTTATTGGCTGTAACTTTGTTATTTTTGAATAGATTGTCTTCAAACTTGAACATAATAATCTTCAAGGATAACCCTTAAAAATAACCTGACAGACCTTGACCTTCACTCATAAATGACCTTGACTTTGAAGGTCAAATTATTGAAATTTTCATGTTTTTGGCTATTATTGGCTGTAACTTTGTTATTTTTGAATGGATTGTCTTCAAACTTGAACATAGTAATCTTCAAGGATAACCCTTAAAAATAACCTGACAGAACTTGACCTTCACTCATAAATGACCTTGACTTTGAAGGTCAAATTATTGAAATTTTCATGTTTTTGGCTTTTATTGGCTGTAACTTTGTTGTTTTTGAATGGATTGTCTTCAAACTTGAACATAATAATCTTCAAGGATAACCCTTAAAAATAACCCGACAGACCTTGACCTTCACTCATAAATGACCTTGACTTTGAAGGTCAAATTATTGAAATTTTCATGTTTTTGGCTATTATTGGCTGTAACTTTGTTATTTTTGAATGGATTGTCTTCAAACTTGAACATAATAATCTGCAAGGATAACCCTTAAAAATAACCCGACAGACCTTGACCTTCACTCATGAATGACCTTGACTTTGTTTTGACTGTAACTGGCTGTTACTTTGCTATTATTGAAGGGATCAACTTCATATTATAACAGAACATACTTAAAGACAAGACTTTGTTGTTTATCATGACTTCACCACGTGAATCCACAACGTGACTCCACCACGTGACTCCACCACGTCACATGACTCCACCACATGTCTCCACCACGTGACTACACCACGTGACTCCACCACTTGACTCCACCATGTGACACCACCATGTGACTTCCACGTGACTCCACCACGTGACTCCACCACATGACTCCACCACATTACTCCACCACATGACTCCACCACATGACTACACCACGTGACTCCACCCTTGACTCCACCGCGTGACTCCACCGCATGACTCTGCCGCGTGACTCTGCCGCGTGACTACGCCACGTGACTCCGCCGCGTGACTTCACCGCGTGACTCCACCACGTGACACCACCACAAGACTTCACCACGTGACACCACCACGTGACACCACCATGTGACTTTGAATTGGGTGTCTCTATTTATATATATATAAATTAGTAAATATCGAGGGTTCAAAGGTAAAAGGTTATAACTGCCACTTTTGCCGAAATTGACTTTTTACGTTTTTTATAATGTACTTATTGTCCTTCATGTCTGACGAAAATATTATATGAATATTCAATCCTTATAAGGGCAAAAAATTAAAAAGTATTTTGTAATAACTTCTTTTCTACAAATTATTTAGGGGTAAAAGGTTCTAAGTGTACTTATTACCTGTTGTTTGCTTGTTGTTCCACATGTTGTGAAGAATCTGTAGTGGAAAAAGGTTATAACTGATTTTATCACCTTTTTCCCCTGACAGAATGCTGCATTCATACAGTTCACAGGCACTATCTGTTATCTCTTTTCCCACGAAATTTATCTTTTAGAATTAAATGCAGCGAGAATATAACCGAATATGAAAGACAGAAAATATTCAGTACATACTGGTCAATGGGTGATTACATAAGTCAGAGGCAATTCATTTGTTTCCATGTTGCCAATAAAGAACCAGAGAATGTATCTAAACAGAGAACAAAACAAAGAACTATTTCGAATTCGTTTTTCACACAGGTAGAAAAGAGGGCGTGAGGGATGTTGCACTTATTCATTATCTCTCATGTACAGACTCAATCAAACTGACTCTGCAATTTTTATGTAATTTTGTTGTGATTAATGCTTCCGAGGGATCACTTTGTTTCCAGAATTTTTTACTAAAAACTATCGATGTCGGTTCCAAAACAGTTGCAAACGCAGTTAAGCACAAAGTGGCAGGGTTATATGTTGGAAATGACAAGAGAGGGAAAGCTGTGCCTGGAAATAAAACCACGGAATATCACAGATCATTTGTAAAGAAACACAACGAAAGCTTTCCGACTGTTGAATCACACTACACACGAAGACCCCAACAGGAAGTATCTAACGCAAGATTTAAATATAAAACGAATATACTCACTGTATGTAGAAAAATGCAAAGGAGAAAATAGAAAGTGTGTTTCAGAGGCTGTGTACAGAATCATTTTTAGTACAGAATATAACTTTTTTCTTCCGTCCTAAGAAAGATCAATGTCCACTCTGCCATCTGTATGACACTTTGAGAATAGAAGATAGACTAGATGAGGCAACAAAAGCAAAATATCAAGTACACCAAGTGACCAAAAAGAAAAAAAACAGTGCTAGAATGGAAAAATCAGCCAAAAAAAAAAAACGCACAAAGAAAGATCCAAAGTTTTCTGTGTCGGCATTTGATATCCAGGCTATTTTGAAAACACCACTCAGTTTAATTGGTGATCTTCTTTACAAAAGAAAACTGTGTTGTTGCAATTTGTCATTCTATGAACTGGGAAATGGTAACGGGACTTGTTATCTGTTGGATGAGACACATGGGGAAACCAGGCTCGTGCAAAGTAGGAACTTTTGTGTACTTGTATGTAACCTCTGTTGCAAGTAAGACATCTGGTATTGAAGAAGTGACATTATATAGTAATGCATGTGGAGGACAGAATTGCAATCAGTTTGTTGCAAGTTGCTTAGTTCACTGTGTCCAAGATATACCTCACATCAATGGTAAAACCACACATTTCTTGAAATTGGCCATTCATTAATGGAATGCAAATTCCATACATGCATCTATCAAGCATGCAAAAAGCCTTACAATAGTTCATGTTCCATCGCAGTGGGAAACAGTTATATCATACCAACGCCGGAAGCAACCATATATTGTCGTTCTAATAAAATACAATGACATACTAGATTACAAGTTGTACAAAGAACAAAACTTTGGCTCAATGAAAATCGATGTTGATGGTGAACGTGTTAATTGGCTGAATACATGTATATATAAAATACATGGTTGATTTAGGGATGGATAAGGCTTATCCGGTGAGCTAGAAAGTGTATCTTGGCGAGCTTTAGCAAGCCAAGATTCACTTTCGCAGTGAACCGGATAAACCTTCTCCAGCCCGACATCAACCATGTATTTGTTTTATCCTGCTTTTAATAATGTTTTTAGAATAATTAAATGGTTTCATTCTTCTTTTTCCCCGATAAAATAACATCTATATGTAGTTTTGTTTTGCTGCTAAACATGTGACGTTATCAAATGACGTAATGACTGGAGATAGATAAAGACAAAAATACAGTATTGTTGTGAGCTATGGTTTTGTGGTTAGTGAGTTCAAGGCAGTTAGGTTAATGCAGAAGAAGAACAGAAGCAAAGAAAAGTCTCTTAAGGCTCCACGAAAGGCTTATACAGAGAAGCTTCCAATATCTGCTGCAAAAGCTGATTTGATGTCACTTGTTGCCTCTGGAACAATTCCGAAGGAGTGCGAATCATACTATGAGTCATTGCCATGCAGCAAATCTATAAAAGACAAACTTTCAGTGCCTTCTGTTAGTGAGAGTGAAGAAGATGAGTGGAGGTCATAGAATAATTAATGACAAACATTCACATTTTGTGACATGAAACAGTAGTCTTTATTTACTTAACTATGATATGGGTCACTAATATCCTTAATTGCTGATGTCTGGGGTCTGTTTGACTTCAGTTCGATTATATACCAGAGAACATTCAAAATAAATGAAATTTGTAAACTTAGATTTGAGTGCGTATTTTCGTAAACTTTTTAGTTATTAATTTATTTCTGTAGAATCTAAATATTGAGCAGGTACATATTTCATATTTCTATGAATGAAAAGTGTTAATTTTGTGTACGAATATTAATGTGCATTGTGTTAATTACATTACGTAAGGTTCTTCAAAGTAAGGACATAATTGATAAATTTGCAACAGTAACAATTACTGCAACATCTAAATTTTTCAGAGGAACAAGGCTATAACTGCACTTATAACCTTTTACCACAGTTTATCTCTAACTTTTATTGCTAAACCTGCAGAAGTAAAAGGTCGTAAGTGCAGTTAATACCTTTTACCGCTCAAACTTGTAGTCTTGACAGGATCTAAGTACATTTATTACCTTTTACTTCTGTAAAATGATATTATTTTGATCTTAGAACTTTAAAACAAACTATAATTACAGTGTTTTATCAGCACCAAGCAATGTAAACTAAACAAAATATGATCTAATGTAGTCAACAAATATGGGAGAATCAAAATTGTTATAACAATATTACGGAAAATAAAGTTGTATTAAAAAAATATGTTTTTTGCGTTTTTCTCGAAATCTTGAAAATGGCAGTTATTACCTTTTACCTTTGAACCCTCGATATATAAAATATATAGACAAAACTAATGTGACAAAACAGAATGATTAATTTTATAAAAAAGGAAACGTTAATATTTTGTTCAAACATTTCTTTGTTTGCTTTTAGAGAAAGTAAAAAGTCGAGCGTTGCCCCCGCCCGGCGGTGGCTCTTGTTTTTTTGAGTTATGCCTCTTTTTACTTAAATTGTATTTAAATGCCTTTTTACATAGAAGAATAATTCTAAATTTTATATTTACTTTAAATGGGTTACAAGCAAGCTCAGGAGGCCAAGTTTTGAAACTCTTAATTGCATTTTGGCATAGTCATGCTCCTTTCTTTACAATATTGTTTTTCTTTTTTTATTTTGCACTATCCAAGTGTTGTTTTTTTACCCCCCAAAAACATTCCTTTTTCCACCTATCTAAGTCAGCATCTATCATTAGGACATTGGTGGGGTTATAATTCATGTCAATCAAAAGTTCTAGGTTTCAAAAGGTGACAGGTACTTTAGTCCTATTTTATGAATAAACCCATTTCATTAAGTCTACTTCAAGAAGGAAAATATGAAAATGCTACTGTTAATTGTGATATTAATCTAAATTGTTGAAGGAGACCAAAGTAACAATGCTTCACCCTAGTGATTTTAATTCCTTAATTGGTAGACGGAAGCAGAATTTAGCTTCATTCAGATAAAATTTAAAACACAATTGAGCCTGATTCATCTCTTTTTCTTTCTTTATATGTAATCAATTAGGAAATTAATTTTATTTTTTTCTGTCATTGTTTAATGATGAAACAATTAGATGACTGTGTTCTTATTGATAGATTTATTCTTCAATAAGGTACAAAGTTCAAACGTTATTTTAACAGAAACAATTAAGAATGCCGTAAATATGTCATACAGGGTATTGTTCGCTGGTTATTTTTAGTAAACAAATGAATATATATCTCAAGACGTAAATGTAGATGACGATTTTGTTAAGATATCAGGAAACTGACTCAAGTGGTTTTTTAAGTGTTGTTTAAAATTTTGGGTTTGTTAGATTGAGTCAAAAGAAATAATGGTTTCGTTTGACCTACATTTAAATCATTTGACAATTTTTAGCCATGCATTTTGACCCCCAAATTTTAAAATTTTTAATCGAATCTAAAAATTCTTATACTAGTAAAATGAAAAAAAGTTTTAAAAACCCTTTTTAAGCCATTTTTTTTCAGAATAAAAAAATTTTTTAAAAACAGCCCTTTTAAAAAGAAGAAAATTAAAATTAAGTGGACCCTTTGGGAGATTAAATTAAGGGGAGCCTGGGGGAAAAAAAATTTTATAGTACGTATAGTTTTCCCATTAATTTTATCCTACACCACTTTTGATTTTTTTTGTTTTGCTTTGAAAAATTTTTATAAAACGGGTTAAACCTTTTGAAATGTTCCAAAATTCTAAAAAACAACTTTAATTACATTTACGTTACATATAACTGTTCAATAAGCCCCAAAAATTGATATTTTTTACTTATAGCATGACGTTTTGATAATACTTTTTAGAAATTTTCAAATTAAGGGAGTTATTTCAATACATTAAAGTCTTTGGGGAAGATAAAACCTGTGGTTTTTGTCCAGTTTCCCCTTTTTTTTTGGGAACTGCTTTTTTCCAAAAGGGGGTGTTCCCGGGAACAAAAGAGCAATACTACACCCCAAGCATCCTGGTTTTTTCATTAGAAAAGGCTTATTTTTTCCTTAAGGACTAGGGGCTAAAAATTTTGTTTCTGTAAACTCCCGTGATAAAAAAAAAACCCCTCCTGTTTAATTTTAAACAGAGTAAATTTTACTTTTTAATTTTGTTTCTTTCTGAGAATAACTGGTGAATTTTTTTTTATTCATGGGAAAGGGGAGTTTCTTTGAAAACATTCTCACTAATACAAAATTGCTCATAATAAAAGGTTAATGATTTTTACAATGTCTTTGGGAAAAACCAAATTGGTTTTAAATTGGCAATTTGGGGAAAAAAATTTTTGCATTGAAAAAATGATTATGACACCAGTTTTAAAAAGGGTTTTACATTGAGCTTGTTTTGTCAACAAATAGCATTTTTAAATTTACAGAAATTTTAAAATCACCCTAATTTTTAAATTGGGTAAGACTCTTTTTCTAACCCCTCCATTTAAAATATAAAAATATGTTCATCCTTTAAGAAACAAAAAACTAAACAAAAACTTATTTTTTCATTTATTTGTTAAAAAGGAAACCCAATTTTTCACCGCATCATTGAGGCACCACCAACAGCATGACTCCAGATTCCATGCTAATATTCATGAAATTTTTGTAAGATGTTGTTTAAAACGTATAGAATTTGCAAGTGGAACAAGAGAAGTACTTTTACACATTGCAAACGGAACTTACATATCACCCTAATTAAACCAAACAAGGGTTCAAAAACTACAAAAATAACTAAACTGTTTACGTAACGGCAGAAATATATGATTGATACTCGGCAAAATTTCATCATTAATCGGCACAACCCTATCAATTGTGCTTTACATAATATATACCCCTTACATATGAAATAAACTTGCTATTGCTTTTAAATTTTCAGATTATATGGGTGTTTGTGGCATGGGGGAAAATTTTGGGTGTAGCGTACTATGACCTGACACGACAACGTCAAATATTATGCTGGATACACAGAACCGAGATGAGTCAACTGTGTGACAAAAAGGTAAATCAACGTTAGCTATGAAGTAATGAAAAGCTTTATTGTGGTTGCTCTGTATCCTACACTGTTCTGTTAGAGCTATCATCAATATGCATGTTAATATGCATGGCCTGTGAAGTAATCTGAAAAACATTAAACCACAAGTGCAAAGGCAAAATATAAGACGAAAAACAAAAAGTATGTTGGTTAAAATGCAAATGTATGGAGACGCAAGATTTTATAATTTTAATTTATTTTACTTTTATGTCTTTGTCATCAAGTTTTTGAATGTTTGGTATCATGTGTTATGTTTTCATCTTTGACCATAACAATATTTACCCCCAAAATACAGCGAGATTCTTAATAATTAAAATAAAAATTCTTTGAGGGATAATGTTTTGGGGTGAACATAGCCAAATGGTTATTAGGTAGTTGACTTCAAACTACTTGCCTCTTACCACTGTGGATTCAAATCCTGCAAGTGATTTTGGATTCTTTCATGTGAGGAAGCTATCCAGCTAGCTTACGAAACATCACTGGTTCTACTAGGTCTTCCTTTCCCAGTTAAGTTGAAAAGATGCAATATGATCCAGGTTTTTCATTCTTAACAGAGTAGCACCATATAATCGGTTAAAATCCATAGTATTTTCAGACTGTATATTAAAATACCACCCTTGACCCTTTGCAAAATTGGTTGTTTTCTTTGGCGCATCTGTTGCCTTAGATAAAAATAAAAACCCTAACGATCTTTATAGTAACAGTAAGTCTTAAAGCTGAACCAGTCCATCTTTTAAGGGTTTTTAATTTGAAAGCATATACTGCAACCGTTTAACCTATATTAGTACATTGTACTTAATTGTCATAAATTATTGCTAGAAATCTCTTTAAAAATCTATCCTTCCAGAAAATTTGCTTTTCTATTTCAGTGAAGTATACGATTTGAAAACCTTTACAGTTCTCCATTGTTGCAAAGTTTATTTTTTATGTGTATAAAATGCAAATTACTGCTGTCAAGCTCAACCCTGATATGCTAATGTTACATTTGTTTACATCCTTTAACTTCACTGTTTTTGTACACTTAAAGCTACTCTGGTAAGATATCTGTCAACTTTGAATAAAGTATTCTATTCAGACTGTTATAAAAAACAACACAAATTTACATAAGTTAAAGGCATCATTTGTATAATTTCTTAAAACATAGACATGAAAACAGTCAGATGTTCATATACAATTTTTAGCAAATTCTATTTTAAAACCCTTTGACTGCAATGGTTTCAATATATACAAAGATATACAAACTTTCATAAGGGCAGCTGATTACAGGGATTTCAGTAAATAAATTTGGCACTTAGAGTTACATTGATTTATAAGCTGTGGCAGCGAAAGGCCTGTATGACTATATTTTAAAGGGGATTTTTCATAAGTTATCATAATAAAGAATAATAATTTGAATCATGTATGTGTTTGAAAAGTCTGAATTATTCTTTTATAGATTAATAAATTAGCAAGTTAAGTCCTACATCATTTTTTTAACGATAGTTTTCAAGTAGTATGTTTAAATATCTTAACATTCCTTCTATACACACTTGACTTTAAAGCCGTGAATTTTTTTAACAAGATTTTCCTTACTGAGATTATTTAAATGCATACTTTAACCTACTTTGTATCGTACTACTGAATAAAATTATAATCTATTTTGGCAAAGTTGTCTGTTTAAATAGCTGTGAAATTTGATGTTATAATAACAGGTTGTGTCGGCAGTATACATGTATTTAGAGCTAGGCCAGCAGGTACAGGTAACCTACACTACCAGCCTAAATTTGGAGGTTTAAATCCTGCAAATTAACATTCAATGATTCCAGCCAAGCTAATCGTGTGTTTGCACCCTTACTGTTGCTGCTGAAATTTCAGTATTTTTGATCTTGTTATTGAAATCAGTCTTAGATTCAAGGCAGGATCTTCTTTTTAATTTAAACCGACGTTTAAAAAAAGCCTAAAAACATAACATTTGAATTTCTTACATAAATGAGCTGGGGCACTTTTAAACAGAAATGTATGCAAAGATAATTAAGAAATATATACTTTGAAATAAATGGGGAAAATCCTATTTTTTATGCTTTCTTAGCCCGAAAAATTGAGTAAAAAAAAAGGGTTTAAAACGCTTTTCATTTTGAGTCTATTTTTACAATATGTGAATAATTATTCTGGGTCTGAAAAACGAAGGTGCGCGAATGATCTGAAATTTTGCACAAAGATTAGTGGTCTAAACCTACATCAAATGGTAAATTTATCTGGAAAAAATATTTTCAGTCCCATCATGTCAAAAAACCTCAGTGGAGTCCCTTTAAGTAGTTTAAGGTAAAAGTTGGTTTTAAGCTCACCTGATGATCACCACTTTAAGGTCACAGTTTTGCTTGGATACCAAACTTTTTCAGAATGATTGTATTAGTGGTCCCTCATGATGAGTTTGATAATGAATATAGGCCATTTTATTCAAATTAAATGATTATTTACATAAAAACCTTGTTAACGTCCTAGAGGTAATTTTTTTTCTCCATGATACATTGATCAAGCTAAAATATGGGTCATCTTGGGATAAAAATAAAGATCATAAATCAAACAAAACGAATATCCATGATCACAGTTTTCTTTTATTGTTCTTCATTTTTTTTCAAATTTGAGTCTCATTTTCAGTTTTGACAAGATTAAATTTTGGTAACATTTGGTCAAATCTAAGTCACAATGTAAACTCCATTAAAAACATTGCAATATTTCTAAAAGTCACTGTTTATATACATTATAATAAAGAGCATTTAGACTCAGATGAGTGAATAAGATAAGTGAATAAGGGCCATTACAGCCCTCTTGTTTTGTTTCAGTATTGAAGGAAGTCCATCCAGTTCAGATTGTTGTAAGCTCCAAACAAGATGAAAGAACATTGAAAATCTTGAGAAGCTATGGTAGGTATTATATGAGCCTTGTCACGACAAAACCAACATAATGGGTTTGCAACCAGCATGGATCCAGACCAGCCTGCACATCTGCGCAGTCTGATCAGGATCCATGCTCACTTATATACTCTATAACAAGTAGAGAAACTGATAGCGAACAGCATGGATCCTGATCAGACTGTGCGGATGCGCAGGCCTGGTCTGGATCCATGCTGGGCGAAACCCACATATTTGGTTTGTTTGGGCAAGGGTCAAATAACAAATAGGTTTTGAGTAACAGTAAAGATACATCTCAGAAAAAAAGTTTACCAAAAAATATCAAAATTCTACATAAACCAATTTGGGAAACCTACATTTTAAAAAATTAAAAATAACTTTTTTAATGAACCCCCTTTTTTCAAAAACCTTTTCTTTTTCCCTTTAAAAGGTACGTTTTAAATATACACTTACATAAAAATTTTTTTCACTCATTTTTTATTGAAAAATAAAATAACATTTGAGGGTTTTAGATCTTCCAATTTAAGTAAAAATAATGATTTAAAAATTTTTTTTACTTTAACCTTTTACAGCTACTAGGGTTTTTTTTACCCGGGGAATTGGTTATTGAAAAAAAATTTTTATTTTCCAAATATTTAAGCAGGGAATCGAAATTAAATTTGATAAGAAATAAATTATTCTGTAAGTGGAATTCAGAAGATATATACATTATGTTTCAAGTGACTTCAATGAAGAAATCTCTTATCTTTGTAAGTGGAGTCAAAACAAATAAGCTGTTCTTTTTTTTGTCATTAATAAAGGAAAAAAACAGATTTAAAACACAAGGATTTCAAGGAAACAAATTCATTTTTTTAAAAAGCCAAAGGGGGTATTTGGCAAATCTTTTTTTGGAAAACCCTCATGTGAAAATTTTCTTCTTGGTCATGAACTCTGAAGTCCACTAGAGTTCTCTCCCTTGACAGTAGTTTCCTTGTTCTGTCAGTTCAAATGTTGTTTTTTTTCAAGAATTTATTGATTATGTGGGACGAAAGGTTGATTTACATAATCTAGCTGTTCGTTCACATTGAATTCTTATAGCCTGAGGACTAAAATCTCGTTTAGTCGTCAATAGGCAGAATCTTTTACATGTTTACGTGACAGATGTAATCTGTTATTACATGCGTGTGTATCAGTTTTGTTTGATTAATAGTGCATATCTATCATTTTTTTGGCAATTTTCAGTTACATTTTGCTGGAGGGTTTGTTGGTGTATTGATATTTGAAATAGGTTTGTCACAGGATCGGAAAACTGATTGAAATCTCGACTGTCAAATGATGTGCTTGAATGACTGAGTAGGTTTCATACATGAAAATTGAAAAAAAAATCAATTAAGTTACGTTTTGTAGTTCCTTTTGAAATAGTTTTGAAATTTTTTTTACATCTTTATGTCAAAAGTTACTTCCTTGTTTTGATAATACAGGACAAAATTAGACAGGAAAAATACCAAAATATTTTGAAATCAAGAATGTTGACATAAATATTTACCTGCCTGTTAGCTGTATAGATAATTATATTTATCAAGTATATCAGAAAACATAAAATGATAATGAATAGATACTGTCTGTTTAGAAATCATTAATAACTGATTGGGGAGATTTTTATAGTCTTGTTTTTGTTAATGCATGAAATAAAATTCATGACAGTGAGGTGATTTGATTTAGTTTTATTTTTGTTGTAGCTTAAAAATTAAATTAAAAATATCCAAGAAAAGTTGATATTATTGTAGGAAAGTCATGAGAATTTGGTGAACTCTCCCAAAATGTTTAGAACAATCAATGAATACATTTAATGTTTAATATTCTATTAAGAAATAAATGTACCATTTATCAAAAATCACTGTTAGTTAAATGTGACACTTAAAAAAATCACAAAAAAAAAAAAAAAAAACACAAAAAAAAAAGTCATATAGTGAAATTATTCTCAAAGGAATTCCATTGAAGTTCAAAATTAGGTCAAAAATAAAAAAAATAAATTTCTTACATAGACCAGCTGGGGCTTTTAAAACAGTATGATAATTAAAAAAGATAATAATTAAAAAATTTACTCATTTCATTGAAATAATATCTTTGTGCTTAGTCCAATTTGAGTGGAAATCAATTCAACAGTCAATATTCCAATTAGAATAATAATTTTGGAAAAACAGAGTGAGCGAATGATCTTAGATTTTGCACACAAGTTATAGATCAAGATCTACATGTAATTGATCATTTATCTAGAAAAATCATGTCATGTCACGTCAAAAAACCTCAGTGGAGTCCCTTTAATGTCCTTGCGTTTGAATTACTGTTTTCATTTCCTTCTATGGTTTTGGAAAATAATTAATACCACAAGTGAAATCACCAAGAATTCACCAAAGTGAAGAGGAATTCTTGTGAAACTTGTTTCAGATGTAACTCTGTTTGAATCCTTTTTGTGTTTAAAGCCATAAATATACTATCCGTTCACATCAGGTTTTATTTCATAGTAGACAAGTAATTATAAGTGTCTAGTTTAGAGGTTCAGCAGTTAAGAATTTTTTATTTTTTTTCCCAGCTAATCCCAGGGTACAAACAAACATTTACAGTAACAACTTTGAAAAAAAATAAACTGATTAGATTGACTGATCTATTCTGAGCAGTAGCGCACCTTGAAACTGCAAAGGTAAAAGTTTGTTTGTAGTGGGTGGATAATTTTGGAAAAACCCACATTTAGGAAGTATTAACTCCAGTCTGATTAAAATCACATCACATTAAAATCACATTATAATATAAGGGAAATCAGTAATTCACTCCGAAGGGGGGAGGGGGAATGCTGATCTTAATCATTCAGAGGCTTAATCATTCAGAGGAACTAATTATCAGACAAGCTTAATCTTCGATAAAAAAAAAATAGGTCACCCAGTTAGATCAACACTCTATCAAGCATGAGATTGACTCGGTGACAATCTTTACTCAAGTGAGTGATCAAAGGACCAGTATGGCTGTTTTGTTAAAGTTAGAGAATGTAGTTTTCAGACATATTTGTCATGTTGAATTTTTAAAGGTACATATTCAGATGATTTTCAAAATAATCTGTCCAATATTCTCTACCTCGGCAATAAAAAAAAATCAAACTGTTTCATTTTCTTTAATAACAAGACAGGTTGTATGCATGAATAAACCATAAAAAATTCTCAAGTTTCAAAAATACTCTGGTTTTCTCCAAAGGTAACCAAGGGTCCTTTTACCAAAAAATCTTCAAAAGTCCTTGATATTTGAGACATTGAAAATAAATGTCTGGATATTCTGATAGTTATGACAATGAAAGGATGTTATCTATTTTTATGATTTTAATTCCTTCTCTATATTTGTTTTTTTTCCCAAAATATACTCAACTCTTAAACTGTTCCGTGCTTCCCCCAACTTTCCTGTCCCTTATTAATCAAGCACCCCTTTTCCCAATGCCACAATTAGCACCACCAAGAAAACAAAATTAGTAACCTTAAGATTGATAAAAGGAAAATAAATTCAAGTTCATGAATTGTACAGGGTACTTAATTTGAGAGAGGTGTATATTTTTGACATTGCTCTGTTTATTGGAAATGTAAACTTTTTTCTATGAAAAACCTTTTGAAAACCAACCCAGAATGGAAAAATAAGCCTTTTCTTCTATATAACTGTTTTGCCAAAAAAATCTTTTTCATGAAAACTATTTTTTATAAGTCCTGCAAGTGTTTGCATAAATACATAATTTTTATATTTTTTTGCTATATGAAAATTTACTAACAACTGAGCAAAATTTTAAATAAGATTATATCTGTTGCTATTGATTACTTTAGATGTAAGGTACATTGCTATTGTATAAATGTATTATATATTGTTAATGTGTTGTTTTCATTTATTTTCAGCATCAGAGAGAAACAATGGTAATGTATCTGAAGACAGCAGCTGTTCTGTGCTACAGTTTCTACCAAGCATAGATTTTTGTAAGTTGTATTAAATATACGCTAAACTTGTCATATCAGGTTAAGGGGAGGTAACTACAATTTGTTTTGTTTTACTTTAGGGCATAGTAGTCTGCCCTTGGCTGTTTAAGTTCATACTGGACAAGTGTGCTATTTGATCATTTGTATAAATTTAAAACTTGCTAACTTATAAAACTTAAGTTAAAAATTAAAATATAGTAGTTATTTCAAAATACCTTGCTAACGCTTGCAAGTGCAAAATCGTGTAGGTATACATAAATTGATGATTTAAAGGAAATAAAATTTGTATTAAAGTTAAAATGATAATGGATGATGCATGAAAATATAAAAAGAAAAAAATTATGTAAAATCTCTATTATTAATATGTGGCTGATAAAAGTGCAAATTCAAGGTAATGTTTTTTTCCCTGTCTTCTATATTAAATTTCAGAGAGATATTTTTGACAAAGTTGTTAATATTTATTCACAGCTGAGTGTTGTAGAGTAATTGATTCTTTTAATAAACATAGGGATGATAAAAAGGTTACTCTTAGATAAATTTTTTTCTATAAATACAGGATTTATTTTCATCTTGTATGAATCCAGTATTTGTGAGAAAAAATGAGTCGCATTACGACAAAACCAACATAATGGGTTTGCAACCAGCATGGATCCAGAACAGCCTGCGCATTCGCGCTGTCTGATCAGGATCCATGCTGTTCCCTATCAGTTTCTCTACTTGTAATAGAGTTGGTAAGCGAACAGCATGGATCCTGGTCTGGATTCATGCTGGTCGCAAACCCATTATGTTGGTTTTGTCATGACGCGGCTCAAATATCAGTGTTTTTTTTCACTTTTGGGGGAAGGGGGTCAGTGCCCATTGGAGGGGGAAAAATGCAACAGGAGGGGGATTTTTATACGGATCTAAAATATTGATGTGTCACATGATAAACTTGTTGGGATACCAGGAGTAGCTCCCCTTACCTATATGAAAAACCTTGCTTAACAGTAAGTCTTACAGGCATAAAATAAAGCATTTTTCGACAGTTACTTGCAAAAAAATGATATTCATTGCAGACAGATTTGGGCTGCCATATTATAAGGGGAAATTTCAGCTTTGAGGGGGGAAAAAAACATACTATTTTGAGGGGGGAATAGGGAGAATTTCGCCGAATATTTTGGTGAAAAAAAACACTGAATATCCCCTATAAGTCTGTATTATTAATTATTCATGTATGTTGCTGATAAAAGTGCAAATTTATTATGGTTTTTGCAAGTTAATTTTTTTTTTTAATTTCTTTTATATTAAAATTTCTGACCAAGTTGTTAATATTCGTTCACAGCTACAAACACAAGTATTGAAAAGTCTAATACATTGTATTATATCAAATATAGGAAATACTAGAGCTTAATAATATAATTATATATAATGTAAAATATGTATATCTATGAGTTTCAAATCACTTGTTTGAGTTTTTCAATATTATACAGTAAATAACACTTATGATGGTAGAACAATAATACAAGTTGTTGATGAAGAATTGATGAAAAATAAAAATGTTTTTAAAAACTGAAATTTTAACACTGTATAGTTTAGGTTTAAATTGTAATGTTAGCAAAAGAGCTTCGCCAAGTCTTATCTGAAAGGAAAAGGTTGATAATATTTGGCTTAAATATAAAAATGGGTATACATGTATTGTAAGGCTAAGTAATATGTTTAGTTAAATACACTTTAGTTTACATTAGAGTTTAGTTAGATGGGTTCTAGCAGTGTAAGAACTGGTTTGCTATTAATATAGTATTTAGCCAGGTCAAATTGCACAAAATTAAATTGCTAACTTGCCTGGCTTTGTACTGAATGCAATATGAGCCTAAAATAAAACATTGTTTCCCTCCCGATCTCTACCTATTGCTACCCCAAAAATTGTTATTGCCAATCAAATATTTTTTTTCGTTATAAACATGAAAGCAGTCTGTCAGTCAGAATCCTATCTTCAAATCTTTCTCGTGAATATACAAACTGGATTATACATGTTGAATAACACTTTAGTTCGATAAAATGCTAAGCATTCTTAAATTTTTTATTAAAGTCCATATAATTCAGATATAAAAAATAAATATGGTCAATGAATAATATTTTTATATTTTTCGTAAAAAAATAGTATTTTACCTACCATACCTACCTACCCTACCCAAATTGGCATGGGTCTAGGCAGGGAAACAAATATGATTTAAGGCAAGCCTAAGCAAGTCATAATCATCATAAGTGTGTAGGAGAAAATTTTTTCACTATGGTATATTATTCCAGCTATAGAGATTTGTAAAAGGCGCCTGATATCCATGGATCTCCCCTCTATACCCGAACATTATGTGGATACAGAAAGGACCTTGTACATCTCTTCACTGATACCTTTTGAAAATGTTTGCATGGTATGATTATATACTAGTACATTATAGATTTATAGATTTCAGACTTGAAGCAAAACATTAATAATTTTGCAATAATATAACAGAATAGTTTATGATCTGGAAAGGAATCAATTGAAAATAATGGAACGTTATATGGTGGCCTAGTGGTTAAGGAGTCTGCCTCTCAACCAAGGGATGATAGGTTCAAGCCTTACTCAGGTCACAACAATGTTTCCTCATAATAATGACACCAGTACTGGTTTGTTCCAGGAAGCAGACTCAAAGTGATAATGTAATTTCAAAGAACTTTTTTTTTGGATTGAATAAAGCTAAGTAAAAGTTTAAACTATCCCCACTTTGATATCTGTGGTTCGAGAATGGGGATTATTGAAAATCTGGAGAAGAAGGATGGTATGAATAAAAGAAGCTGGAAAGATTCCTGTCCTTGTTTCAAAATTGTCACTCTGTAAGTATTAACTTTGAATATACTATAATATATAATATAATATTTCCTTTTTTTTTCAAATACTAATCGGACAGTCATAAATTCTAACTGAAAATATTTTACGGTATTAAATAACATCTGATATATAAAGCTTAAGCCTATAAAAGCAAAAGCCTAGATATGCAAAAAAATATAAGGTTGGGATTCTGACTTGCAAGTCTTGGAGTTGATGAAGCTTAATATTTTGATTTCCACAGATGCTCCTGCAATGAGCTTGATGAATTGTATTGATCATATTAAAAATGACATTTCAATAAAAAAATACAGTTTAATATTAAGTGTTTCTATATCATATATTTCCAATATTTATGGCTTGACTATGCAAATTATCATTTCCTGCAAGGTTAAAATATAGTTTTAACATAGAAAATTTCACAAATTATAGCCATTGATTTATATTCACTCAATACATAATGCAATAAACATTGTCCTGATTTCAGAGAAAGCCAGATGATTTTAGATGATACAGCCTATTGGTGAGTACTGTACTGTGGAGGTATTTATACGGTGAAGGTATTTTTTTACTGTCTCCCAAAAAATTGCTAGAATATTTTTGGTCTGCAAAAATTAGATAGTTGCCAATGCTAAAACTTCAAATCTTAACTTCAAACAACATTCCTTTCACCAGACACTTTTAGAAGAAAATCAAAAGGGTGGGATAAGGTGGCCTTTAAAAATTATTAAATTATTTTTTTCAGTTGAACAAAATGACCCCCAGAAATAAAAAAATAGCTGTAACAAAAATTCAAAATTGCTGCGTTGCTGATGAAATTTACAGGAATAGGGGGTCCCTTTTTAAAAAGCTAAATCTTTTAATCTGCTGAACGTTGTGCTGCTAAAAATTTGAGATAAAAATTAATGATGCTCCCTTTAATTGGTTGGTTTATTTTGATAAACTTTTTAGGACTGCAAAATTGAAAATTTTGTCCCTGTAAACTATCCCCCCAGGTGAGAGTTAGGCCATCATGGCCCTTGTGTTTAATCAATTCAGATTTGTATAACTATTAAAAGAAAGAAACCAATGTGATCAAACATTTTTTATTTAAAAGGGTATGCTACAGTTATATGATGCAGAATTAAAAAAAAAAGATACATGTATAATTGAATCTACACAATAACTTAAAAGGATATCAGTGACAAAAAGTAGCAAATAGAACAAGACCTCATTATTGTTGTTTATCTATCCTTGAAATAAGCAAAATTTTGAAATTTAAGGGCAGGCAACTCAAAAATGAGGTCAATAACCACCATTTTGTTTAACTTGAAATGTATCTGTTATCATATTCTAAGACCATACAAAGTTAAATTAATTCTATTTATCATAAAACTTTTTAACTTATAAGCATATTAAAAAAACAATCACTTTGAAAAAAAGATTTTACTCTTTAACATTTACTTCACACAAGATTGCTTATATTTATTCATATTTTATTTACATAGTGTCAATAGTGAAACAACAGTGCTAGGACAAAATAATAGTAGTTTATTTTGTTGGTGCTTACATGTAATTATAAAAACTTGTATATTGCAACATAGGTAGCCTGGGTTCCAGACTGAAGATTTTTTTTATGTGCTTCTGTTTGGCAAATCGAAAACACAAACAAGAATGAAATAGCGCTTATGTTATGAATAAGCAAAAAATATCAACGCCTGAATCCCAGGCTACAACTTTGGCAGAATTCAAATAAGCTACTGATATAAGGAAAACACTTATTTCTTCGGAAAAATAATATTTGGTTTATTTCAGTGCCCTGCAGATATTTCAAAAGGAGTCCCACCCATCAGTGTATAAGACAGGAACAAATAACAGTGCAAAGGAGGGACTCAGTTTATTTGGTAAGATTTGTCTATTTTTAGAGTTTTTTGTGAACAGTTTAAAAGGAGGTCAACTCAACTCTGATAAATGTTTTCCTGTTGTGGTGCTTTTGTCTGATTCTTTGCCCCAGACGTGCTTCAATAGTTTTAAAAGTTTGTGTAGGCAAATCACCTCTATTCTGGCAGAACATTTTCTTCACAAGTATTTCACATGCATTTCATTTTGTTCGTTCATAATGAAGTTGCAGTCGTAACAAATGTCTAGCTTTAAATGTTGTTTCTTCAGTTAATTCTAACGGCCAAAGACGCCATTTTAGCAGTCTAGCAGACATCATCACATTGAAGTTCTTGTGCATATGAAAGCTTTAAGTTAAAACATGAACTTATTAATATTATTTAGAAAGACATATTTCACCGAGCAATGCGAGCATCTAACAAAAATGTTGACAGGGAGGATGCCATGTTACTTTGGCAGTGTAAATGCATGTTACATGTATTTGATAATATTTTTCATAGAAGTTATTAAACAAAAATGAAAAAAATGATGAGTTTTTTTTAAACTGTACCAAGATTTTTATATTCTAGCAGAAAGGAAAATAAATGAAACTTTCTATCATACACCTGGATCAGTCTTCGTACTAGTACAAAACAAAGGCTAAGTTATCCTTATCGCAAACAAACTCTTTCCTGAAATAAAACTCATGCTTGTAACTCAGAGATGAAGGTTGCATTTCACTTGTCAAATATGAGCATTATACATTTGTTTTGTAAATAATTTTCAATAACATGTAGTTATTTTTCTGTTATTTTTGATCTTTGTTTCATTTTAAGGGATTATGAACAGAACAAAGTCTCAAATAGGAAGTAAACTACTTAGGTCTGTGTATTCCTGTTACTTATATACTTTATGTTTTCACTATTCTTTATTTGCATTACTTGTTGTGTTCTGTTTGTTATAATTCCCTTACCGATTTAACCGGAGGGGACCTAAGGTTTACCATGTCCGTCTGTCAGTCAGTCCATCTGTCTTCCTGTCAGTCCCTAAGATCTGTTCTCTGAGATCACTGTTAAAAGAACTTGAATCTTTTCCAACAAATTTACTAAAAATAGAAAAAAGTTGAAACATAAGTTATACATGTTCATCCTGTTAAATACTTTGATAGTTGCTTGTTAATAATGTATAAAGTGTTATGTTTAATGATGCAATATAAGACACTACAAAGTTACAAACGCTGCCTAAAACCAAGGAGTCAGACGATTGTTGTTTTGGTGTGTTTTGTGTTTGTTTGTTTTTTTGTTTTGTTTCTGTTTGTTTTTGTTTTGTTTTGGTTATAATAGCACTGCTAAGGAAGTCACATATACTTAGAAATTTTAAGCTTTCCCAAATTATTGTGCATAATATAGAAATTTAGTTGTCTTGAGTTACGATTGGGACAGTCCGTTGTTTATCAAGATAAAAATATCTTAATGTTGTAGCAAATTGAATTGGACACAGTGGTTCAATGGTAACAATCTGTGAGGGAAGGTGATCCAAAGGTTCTCCCAATAGAATTAACATGCACTTACAAGTTTTTCAGATAAGTTTTTAAAACCGGAGGTTCTGTGTTATAGTAAATTTATATCTCACAGATGAAAAAAAACCAGTTTTTTTTTTTTACTGGAATGCAATTATTTCTGTATCTGTTGTTTTACATTGCTATAAGTTTGATTTTTTTAACTGCATTTTTTAAGACAATGCAAGTATTATGTTGTGCATTTGTTGCCTTGTTTTGTGCATTTGTTGCCTTGTTTTGGGGGACTTTTTATTTGTTTGTTATTTTTATTATTTTATTGTTCTTTTCTTTATTTCTCAGATACAAATGGCATAGTTTGTTGATCTGAAAACTGTATTCCATTAATTTGTCAACAATCCCTTGAAAAAAAACATAACCAACAATACAAAATATCTTATGACATTTTAAAATATCGGTATCTGACAGTAAAGCAGTAGTGATATATCTGTTCATTATATATACATGTATATGGTATTTAAACAATTAATGATAGCCATCTTTTTGTACTAGTCTCATACCACCTATGTACTCAATAATTGGTAGAGGGTATAGAGACATTACATTAATTGTTGGGATCAAGTATTGCATACATTTGATGAATACTCTAGGTCATGTGTATAAGCAACAAATCAATTTTTTTTTTTTAAATCGGTTTAGCAATGGAAACAAGAAATGAAACAGATATCACGAATTTAAATGTGATTTGATATATACATAAGAAAATTTTAAAATAACTATTGTTTGAAGACAATTTTAAAATACCTATTGTTTGAACCTTTTTAAACAGTGTTACTATATAAAGTTAAATTCTTAAACTGAAATATTTTGTATTCTTCAGAAAGGAATGTGGGCAATAAAACTTCTTGAACTAAACAGTACATTATACACTTTTGCCTTAATTGTATTTCATTTATAGATAGCTCATGAAAATTTTACCAATTTAGTCATAGTTTTTCTACCCCTTTTGGTTGCCTTCACGGGTTGTGGAATCAGAATTGTAGCCACCATTTAACCTATTGCAACCATAATCGACTACTAAATTACTGGATATGAAATTGTCTGATTTTGTGAAAGTAATTTTACCAAACTGTCAAGAAATAAGCCAATAGACACAAAATTTCTAAAAGACAACAACAAAAGGTGGGTTTATCAAATTTATAGTCATAGGAGGGGACACATAAATAAACCAGTAGTTTATTGTAACTTAAATAACATTTTATGGATTTTAATGTCTCAAATTTCAGGTGTTTTGCAAATTATTTTACTGGTAGTCACTTTATATGTTTCTTGATGAAAATTCACTCGCCAAATTTTGAAGAAAAATAATTTCAGGAAGTTTCATGAAAAACGTCTACCCATCACAGCAAGGTTTTTAACTGATAGATGTCAACTGTGTAATGCCACAAGGCTTCCTCATCATCAGATTTATGATCCTGCTGGCTTACCATAGCAATTACCAGTATTTCCTATTTGATGAACGTTCTGTCCTTTGAAAAGCATTCAAAGATTTTTTTATATTTACAAAATTGCTGAATTTAATCACAGAGCTATATTTGGAGAGGTAGCTATGACGTCATACACTTAAAATCTGTAGGGATTTTATTATCCCGCATATTTACATTTTTGCAAGATTTCCCCAAGACCATGTTTGACACAAGAAAATTTACTCATATGTAGGCCGCCATGTTATCAAAAATTTGTTACGGTAATCTAAAGAAGTAACAAAAAAGAAGTTGCAAAAATGTAAAAAAAAAAAAAGCATTAAAGATTGTGTAGATCAGTAATTGATTAAAATACAAACACATTGGGTTACGTGAAATAAAAAAGCGGAAATTAAACAACTCCAAGGGCCAATGAATCTCGCGCAATAGATTGTGGGTCACGATTGGAAACTTTATATTTTATAGCTTCTAAACCACTAAACCATCCCTCTGTATATCTCTTGTGTTACATAAAAAAATGAATTTCTGAACAGCTCTCTGTTAATGTTTTTATATTTTATTTTGAATAAATAGCAAAATTTCTATGTAACTATATATCTTGTAAATACTATGTATAATTATATTTTTTTACATAATAACATTGTTTAACATACACATATGAAGAGCATTCTTGCATCAGTCATTTGAAACCTTGCCCCACCCCCCCCCACCCCCAGCTTGGAAGCAGGGTGGGGGTTGGGTAGCAGGAGAAATAAATAAAAAATATACCTTCCACCTGTCCTGGCATTGCCCAGTCAATGTTGAGGTTTCATTTGGCACCAAAATAAGGGAAAATATTTCTTACTTGTAATCTAGGGGCATTTCACAGGGATTTAACCATCTGGGAGGCTCTGCCCCAAATGGGTTGCTACAAACTGTACTTAACAATGTCTGGTCAAAGTCCACACTAAATATTCCACGGGGAGTAAGGGGGACAGGGTTACAAATGACTGGTGCATAATTATTATAATAAAATTATACAAAGATTCAATCTTTCATACATACCTTACACTATTAACATTCAAGTGCAATGATTACAAACATTTAACTTAGCTGATCTATTGATCTATTAAAAACAAAATAAAGACGATTGTCCTTATCTTTGGACAATATTTCATATTTAGATACTAATTTAATTCTTTGAATACCAAAGTATTTTCGAAAAATTTAGATTTTACAGTTACAGATCATAGCATTTACATATTTATCTTGGCAATAATTTCGCAATCTTATTCATTACATTATACAGTTGTATACAGGGAACATAAAAATTTGTTGATTTTGTTGGGAGTATAAATAATCCTGTTTGAAAACTTTTTATATGCATAGTTGTAAGTAGCAGTCACATCCTGCTAATCTGGTAATATATTATAAGTAATCTAGAACTTTTTGTCTTTTTTAAAATCCTTATATCATCCATCATGGATTGAATTCTTTATTTTATACATTTCTATCCTATTTTCATTTCTAGGTACAGCCAGGGTGCTAAGTTTCTTGAAATAAGTGATACATTCAGAATAATTCATTCCTTTCGTGCCTTTAAGTAAAACCTTTGAGTATTCCCTGTCTGCTAAGATCCATCTAATTACACCTTGTCTGCCGAGAACATATATATTACCACTCTTATCACAAGCTACGCCTTTTGGATCTTCCATTTGGTGATTAAAAGTTAACTCCCCTGTTCTCATGTCTAAACACTTTATACGATTATCTTCGGCTTCAGAAATGACAAGTTCCCGCTTGCTTGGTGTTAGTGCAATGTATCTTGCATCTTGGAATAGGGCAGACCCTTCAGAGTCATGCATGAATCTGCGTTTCACTTCACCTTCGCTTGTTATAATTTGAATTTGCCATGTTGAATCAGTCAGTCTCATATTTGCATGTGTTGGAAATTTAAGGCTAATTATGAGATCTTTTTCGTATGAAACTATTCCTCGACACTCGCCTTCCGTTGGAAACGTTTGTTTGTTCAGTAGTTTCCGTCTAACGCATCCCATTTTACACGAGACTTTAAACTTTTGAATGAGTTTCCGTTTAGGAAATGTAACATATAGGTATTCTTTGAAGGCACATATATCATATGGGCGATACTCGGACTGTATCACGGAGCAACACTTTAAATCTGTGTCATAAAGCTTTACACGTCTATTATTAAAATCCACAGTGACTAGATATCCGGTGTCCATAAACGTACAGCCTGTAATTCTAATTTTCTTATCGGGGATGACCCTTGTGCTTCCACATGTCGACATACATATGCCTGTCCGGCTTTCATTTTGTCGTTGATCGCTCGATTCTTTGCCACATAAACATCCCATCTCAACAATAGCATCCTCTTAACTAGGCAACTTCCACTCTCTCCACTTACATTGATTGTTATTATTGTCACAAGAAGTATATTACCATTAATATATCTTTTAAAGTCATTTTTGGTTTCATCTTATGTTCAACATCTATCTAGGTCACTCCGAATGATGGTTTTGAATAAAGCTTTGTTTCTTTTATTTTGACTCTCTGTATTTAAATGCTTTATAACATGCTACAACTTGTTCTGAATCAACAAATTATTTGAAAATAAGTCCTTATGCTTCCTTAAATGAATCTCCAGACTATATTTCTTCACTGTTGTAACAGTTTTACACACAGTTGCTATTTTCTTTTTCAGCCCATCCCTGTTAAAGTGGACATATTTAAAATAATTCACAAAATAAATCTCCTTAAATGTTTGTAATTAAACACTGTGTTACCAAGTTTTAAATCAACTGTTCATTGTGCTTAGGGAAGCCAATATTTTCTTTTGTTTTAATAATTTTAAAGCTGGGTTTAAATTGTATCATAGTATATCAGATCTTTGTTAGACAACAATTGATCACCTATACAGAATACATCATGAAATATTTTTTTGCATATAGTTTTATATGATTAGTCAAGACATTACATTGTGTCAGAGAGGCATTCATTTAAATTTGACAGCTTCTTACAAAATTTAAATAAATGAACTCTTTTAAAACCCACAGATAAAGTTTTATCAATATATTTATACAAAGTGATATAAAGATAATTTTTTTATGGATTAATTGATTTATAAACCTTGATATTAAGAAATGAAGTAAAAATCATGCTGCCTTTAAAGTCACTAGATTGTTTTCTAATTTTAAATGTAATGTCTTTAAGTTTACATTGAAGAATTCACATTTTATTAATGTGTTTTAATTTCGATTTTGATAAATTGATAAGTAAATGAAGGATTGATTGAGAATAGGAAAATATGTGAAATTATTAATGAAAAGAATACGATTTAGTATTTATGTACTATTAAAAGTTTTGGCTTTAAGAATGGTTGGTTTTTAACCTTCACTGCATGCATGGTGTTCATTAATCAAAGTAGTTGCTAGGTCATTAACATGTCTGACATTGGACCCAGGGATAATAGGGTTATACCTGTCTTTGGTCCAATCCATGTTTCTTAACCAGTCGTCTGATGAGGTTAATTGAATTCAGCCAATTGCCACCAGTGTATCTGTGCCATCTGATCATAGGGGGGTTGGTGGCCGAGTGGTTAGGTCATTGACTTCAAACCTCTTTCCCATCACCACTGTGGGTTCAAATCTAATAAGGACTTTGGATTATTTTATGTGAGGATTCTATCCAGCTAGTTACAAAACATCTTGGTTCTATTTGTTCCCTTCTTGTCTAAATATGCCGGGAAGGGGCACCTGAGTCCTTTTCCCCCCCAACAGTTAAGCGGGAAAAGGGGCCATAGATTTTACTGTGCATTGATGTAAAACCAAACAAACCATTGATATGGCTCACTTTTCCCCCCCTTTTTTCAGTCGGACATATTTTGGAAATTCCCTAAAAATTATGAATGGTGATGTCCAGATTGAAAGATGGACATGTCCATTTAAGATATTTATAGTGGTAAGGGTTAATTTGACACCACTACTGTTTTGTCCATAAAGCAGATATAAGATAATTCTAATTTGTCACCTCAGTGCAGTACCGTTTAACTCCTTATACAATGTAATAGGAGTTAGCCTATTTCTGCACTAAGGTGATGTTATATGTGATTTTACAATAAGGCTGCGATAAATCCAAGAGTGTATCTATCTTTACTTTTCTCTTTAAATGCAATGTTGTATCCCAATTTTTATGATAAAGTAATAAGATTCATTGCAACATATTTTTAATTATACATAAATGAAATATCTTGATTGAAACAATATGTTACCACTGAAGAACTAGTTCAGGTACATGAGCTACAGGTATAATTTATTATGAAGAATTAACAATGACTTGAAGTTAACATCCACATTCTTTCAAAATGCAATCTCTTTAGTTTAAAGTCTTGATAATGGCACTTTGGTATTACTTGCAAAATTTTTGGGGAAAATGAAAAAAAGAAATATGTAAGAATCCAATAAATAAATTTTAAAAAAATAAAAAAAGATTAAAAGTTGTTTTTAATTAGACTGAATATTTGGATTAAATTAACAAAGATAAAATCATGAAAAGTTGTTTTTTTTTGAAAAAGGTATTTTTTTTTTTTGGTTTTCTTTGAGTTTGAAATTTTTTTGTTCCCCAAAAAAATTTAAGCATTGGGGCAGAAAGTTAAATTTTTTAACCCTTTGTTAATGTAAAAGTTTGATAATAAATAAGTTTTTCTTTATCCCCCTCAAAAAGGGCCTAAATGCTAGATTTGATTTTTTTCGGGGGACGGGTTTTCCCAGAGACCATTAAGGACAAGACACAAATTGTTTAATCCCCATGCAGCTTTTTGGGCCTTACTTCAACAATCCGAGAAACTTTGAACTGATTACCTCCCTTGAAGAATCAGTCAAGAATGTGAAAAATATTTCAGTAAGATTAATTGGTTTTATTTCTTTTGTAACTTTTGACTTCTCTTCCAATAAAAGAAATGACTGGAATGGTATCATACAAAGTTTTCTGCTAATTAGGAAAGATTCAAGGTCAGGTGTAAAATTGAACAGCCTCTTTATATTGTCATTAGCAACCATTTTTGAAGTTGCATAATTCGTAATACAAGTTTGGCTGTATTGTGTGTTTGCAAGTTGGACTTTATTGTGTGTATACAAATTTGACTGTATTGTGTGTATAAAATTTGACTGTATTGTGTGTATACATTACAGAAAGTCCTCACTAGAATGATGACATCTCAGGCATCAGTTGGAGACTGGCAGGTTCTTTATAAGGTATGTCCTGTATTTATCTTTTATATAAGTCTGATTAGGCTTTGTGGTAAAGTAAAGTTTAAAAAGTCAAAATGAAACCGTTAACTCTGCCATTTGTACATGATCGACACTCTCCAAAAGCCCCTTAGCATTTATATTTTCTATGAACCACAGTTACAATTAAAAAATATAGAAGTTTGAAACACTATCTTTCACATACATTCTGATTTGGAAGAATGAAACTGGCAGTAATTTATGACATTTAAACAACATAGGAAGATTTATATCTAATGAAGGAATCATAAGATTGAGTATAATGTCAAAGATGATTGTACTTTTGCAGTCAATCATTTTGTTTCTAGAGCAAAATGAAAAGAAAAAAAACTGACAGATTCTGATGAATTAGACTGTAATAGATTTTGTATTATTTTTTTCCTAAAAGCTGTTTTAATTGCAACATCTTTATTTTTCTGACCCATTCTCATATAGAATTGCCAATATGTGTCGCCAGCCTTTAAAGGTCCATAACACACGTTGAAATACGTTTGTCTGTAAAAAGCATTTCCTTTGCGATAGAAAGGTCAATTTCAAATAAGAAAAATCATTTTTTATAATGATTATGAAAACTTTCACGAAAAATGCGATTTCTGGAATAGCCCTAGGATCCGCATTTTCCTATGTCGCCAAACAATTCTTTTATACTTTTAGGTTGTTTAAATATAGATTGACGAGTATTTTGAATCAAAAAATGCATTCATTTACAATATTCAATGACCTTATTTAACTACAGTAATAGAAATATTTGTTTTTTCTAGATTTGTGTTTTTCATCTCCACATTATTTCTGTCGCTAAATTGGATATAATTTACGAGTCCAAACTTAAAAACCATATCAGACTTGGGAAATATATTTGTATTTACTACAATTAACATTTTTTAAATGTCTTATATGTCATCCAAAATAAATAAAGTAAGTTTAATTCAATGTCTCTTTCTGTAAATATATGAAAAGAGTTGCTTTTGAGTTGATCAAAACGGAAAATAAGCTTTATAATCTACGGGACATTTGATTTCAAGCTGATTGTCTGTTCATTTAATATGACAGAACAGATATTGTCTTCACAAGTTGTAACTGCAATGCTGCATAAGCCCTAGAATGTAAGTTTGTTATATTCATTTTAGAAATATAGTTATGTTGGTGATTTAATAAGCACTTATTCGTAGAATTTGTAATTTACGAGTCCTAATTTACGGGACAAAAACCACCATTAAACCCGTTTTTAATTCGTGTATTTTATGCACGTTTCGCTATTTTAACCCCTATTTGTTCCTTTTAATAGACAATCGAAAGTAAACGTCACATGTTCGCCGCCAAATTTTGAAAAGAAAGTTGACTTGCGGAAAACTTAAACTAGGTAGATATTTGAAAACATATGTTCATTTTTGATAGCGATTTGTGTTATTATATATTAGTACAGAATTCATTACCCCCATTCCTTATTGATAAATATATGTCAAGATTAGGTGTCATAATAAACACCGGGCATTTATTCTGCTTAAAAACATTTCGTCCCGTATATTAGAAAAAAAGTCTCGTAAATTAGAAATAATGAATCCCCGGCCTGACGGGGTAAATTATTTAAAAAAGTACAAAATAGCAAGTGCAAGACTTATACAAAAAATAATGTTGTATGTATTTATGTTGATTAAGTAACACAATATCAGTTTGAATGTTGTCCTTTTTGGAAATAAGTCGTTTAAAAGGGAACGGAGTTTTACATCTTCACATTTTCATTGTGTATTTACATTTCACACGTCACTATTGAGCTAACTGTTTGTTAGATGTGTTTAGATTCGATTTATGCACAATGTAATATCTTCCCAACTTTGATTAATTTTTCTAGTATATATTACAAAAAAAAAAAAATATGTTCTGATATATCCTTTTATGTTTCTGTCCCGTAAAATTAGATTTTTTGTCCAGTGTAAATTAGAAATATGTTTCTACAGTTCCTAAATGTATTTTGAAGAAACTGTGTTGAATTATTTGTAGCGATCACAATAAAAATTTTAATTTCAAGGGGAATTTTTGTATTATTTCCATTAAAAATAAAATAAAAATATTAAGTTTAAACCCAGTTTAAAGTACCCTGATAGATATAATTATCTTCCTATTCCAGGATGGCTAAGTCAAAATCAGAACGCATGAAAGAGTACCGTGCCAAAAAAAGAGCAACTATTTTGAAAGTGGTTAAAAAAGAGCGGGAACTTGTACCTGAACAAAAGTACAAACTGTATAATCATTTTTGGACAGATTCAGCTTCTTCACAGTATAGGAATCGGTCAATTTTTGATTTGGTGTGCAATTTCGAACGGTATACATGGTTGTAAGACAAGCTGGCACTATTTCGAGAGTGGACATGGAAAAAAGCGCGTGTGACGGTGTGGGTGCACCGCAAAACGAAATGCTGATATAGCTGTTAAACAGTCCAAAGCTGTCAATACAAGATGCCCGACGATTTTTATGCATGGGCGAAAGCTAACCAGAGCGAGATAAGTTTATCAGCTTTTTACACAAGAAGAATACAATGACAAAAGTAAAGAAACTGAGAAAAGACAGCATGAGATAAAACCTATTAAAGGTACAATGTCAGTGCATGCAATTACATCAAGGTAGGCCCAACCTATTGTTGATGAGAAACATGTAACATGTGCATGTCAAAAATGCTTTAGTGAACAAGGATTTAATTCAGAGTCCAGTTGTAAATGGGACTTCGTAGCATTAAGGGAAGTCAAACAAAGGAATGATACGAGCAATGTATCTGATACTTCCAATCAAGCATCAGTTGATGATAAGGCAAAAGGAAGTAGTGGTGAAGGTGAATCTAAGGCTATACATAGTGATGGTGAAAGTAAAGATAATGTTGAAGTGCCTAACTTTGTTGTTGCAGAAAATGATGGTAACTGTTATATCGGCCAAGTTCTAGAAGTTGATTAAAATGATGATTCAATGTACATATAAATTTAATGACAAAGTGGTAAAGCTATACAAAGGTTTAAGTGGCCTACAAAGATGGATCGAATTTGGGTTGAAAATAATAATGTTCTGCGTAAGATAAAGATGTCAGAGGCTACTGGAAAATATGGAATCTTTGTTGTGCCTGATGATATTCTTCAGTTCATGGAGGAAAAAAATGAATTGATGAAATTCGCTCATGCGTAATTTTCTAATTTACGAGACACAGCAATTAACAGCTTTTTACTTAAAATTTTAAATAGAGAGAGATTTAAAAATGTAACAGGTTGACGTTTTCAGATATTGCCAAATTCAATCGGTCATGTGTCACTCAAAATAGCTATTTATATGGCTGAAAGTTTATTGGTGTTTAAGATAAAAGATTAAAACAGTATGTGTTATTAATTTCAGTCATGAAAGTAAAATATTTGACTAGTTTCTGATCATTGACAAGAAATATTTTAGTGTGTGCTTTCATGTAGTGACTGGTTTTAAAGAAGAAACAGATTTTCTATGTTTAGTGTGAACTTAAAACATTATAATAAAAGAATGTAATTTACGAGACATTATTTCCTAATTTACGGGACAAATGATTTTTTTAAGATAAAACATTTCTCGATATGTTTAAAGAACAATACAAAAATTATGTGTTTGACATGAGCGTAAGCAATGAATTTAACCCTTTATTTGAGCGCATATCGCGCATATTTGTTCTATCATTTAATTGTGAAGAAGCAGATACTTCAAATTAAACTTTTTTTTCTGAAACGTTTTTCATTTTGTTTTTACTATTTCCAATGCAAATGGTATTATATACTTGTAAAAATGATTGATTCATGAAAGCTAATATCATAACAAATGTATAACATGAATTTTACATATGAACACGACAATGCTGAGCACTGGTTAGTGTCTACAGAAAGGTATAGGCCCCTCTAAATATATCATAATTTGGCATGTGCCATTGTACATTCAAATACATAAATGCAATAATAACAGTAACGTAAAATAAAATCTGATATGGATTACAGTCAGATACAAGCAATACAAGTTGGTGATGAAAACTAAAACATAACTTGTTATACTTGAAAAAATGTGATATTTATACCCTATTTGGCAATTCTATATAAGAATGGGTCTTCTGTGTACACAAAGAAATATAAGATAATATTTTGTTAATTTTTTCAGAAATCATTAACATATTTTTAAATGTACCTTTACAGACAGTGTATAATGCTACTTCAATAAAGGAGCTGTGTAGGGCCCAGTCTCAGTCTATAGAGATCATAAGAAAGGTAGGGGACCATATAGATTGCATACATAATACGGTGCTATCCATAAATACCTTTATAAATACATTTTTTGTTGATAAACTAAGTGTTCATCAGTTTCAGAAATATTTGTTGTATCGGTTTAGTATAGTTCATTACATATGAGTGCAGGCCTACCATACCTCAGTTACTATAAAAACAACCTCTATGTCAGGTAATTGATTGGTTGGCTCAGTGGTCTACAACATGTTGTGTTTATTTGTAAGCTGTAGGTCATGACTTCGAATTCCATGGAAGACGAGATATTTATTGATGTATTTTGTATATTTCAATTTGAAATGTTTTTTATTTCCTAACATGTGCGGGCACCTGGGGCTGAGTGGTTAAGGTTGTTCACTTCAAATCATTTGCCCCTCACCATTGTGCGTATGAATCCTTCCAGGGACTTTGGGGAATGTTTCATGTGAGCTAACTCTAAAAGCCTAAAAATATATTGATACTGTTTGCTTTATATCATGGTTGTTGAATGACTTGTTTAAAATGAACATACTGCTTTATATAATGGCCAGAAAAAGAAAAAAAATTAAACTAGTACATTTTCCCTTTTTTCACAAGGTGACCGAGCAATTTACAGATGATCTTCATCAAGTTACAAAGTACATCTATAAAGTTGTAAGTTGACCTTTTGCTTATTTCCTTGAACTTAACTATGAGGATATGAAGTACTTTAAGACAATCAGCGACCCATTGACATTACAAATAAATGTTTTAAATGATGAAATGTTTTAAATGACATTTCAAACCTGTGTTGTTAACATGTGATTGGTTTGCTAAAGTATATGACCCATTTCCTGAGTGACATTACAAATCAATGTTTTAGATATGATATATTGATAATTTGTTCAACTTATATTGATAATTATTTGAACTTTCTTAGTCATAGTGGCATTTCAAACCAGTGTTGTAATATAATGTGATTGGTTAGCTAAAGTACATAAAACATGCATTTTCTGTTGATATCATAGACTGTGCTATTTACGTGAATACATTTTTAGGTATATATGTAACATATTGACAGAGTAAATGGAAAATATTAAATCAAAATATTGACATATAAAAATGTAAGCTCCCTTAAGCTCCCTAGATCAAACAAACATACAGAAGAACAGAGCACCTCAAGGTAATTTACATTGTTGGGTTTTATGATTTTTAGCTCGACTATTCGATAAGAATAAGTAGAGCTATTGCAGTCACCTGGGCGTCGGCGTCGGTGTCGGCGTTTGCGTCGGCGTAACCACTTACGTTAAAGTTTTTGTAATAATTCAAATATTTTCAAAGTCCATTGACATATGGCTTTGAAACTTTGCACACTTGTTCACCATCATGACCCCAACTTGTAGACAGGAGGAGGTAACTCTATCAAGCATTTTGACAGAATTATGCCCCTTTTTCGACTTAGAATTTACGTTAAAGTTTTTGTAATACCTCAAATATTTTCAAAGTCCATTGACATATGGCTTTGAAACTTTGCACACTTGTTCACCATCATGACCCCAACTTGTAGACAGGAGAAGGTAACTCTATCAAGCATTTTGACAAAATTATGCCCCTTTTTCGACTTAGAATTTATGTTAAAGTTTTTGTAATACCTCAAAAATTTTCAAAGTTCATTGACATATGGCTTTGAAACTTTGCACACTTGTTCACCATCATTACCCCAACCTGTAAACAGGAGGAGGTAACTGTATCAAGCATTTTTTTTTACTATCAAGCACTTAGAATAGTCGAGCGTTGCTGTCCTACCGACAGCTCTTGTTATACTCTCACATAGCATAAGCTACAATACTCATCCCCATGTGTGCTGCATTTTCTGTGTGTATCTAGTACCCGTTTAAACAATATATCATACCATCAGCTATCTTCACATGATCTTAAGAAAATGTGCATCTCCATTTTCATTTTATAAAATTTCGTTGAGTGGTTTTCAAACTGATTTTCAGTTTTAAGAAGGCTGTAGAATGTATTGGTGCTAAATCCTGTCATAAAAATTATGTAGACCTCTGCCATCAGCAAAGTGATAACATCACTTAACTACCAATTATGCCACTTAAATACCAATTATGCCACTTAATTACCAATGATGTTGATACATTTTGAGAATTCTCAGCACTCGTAATGAACTTTAATGTTTGTACCGGTGTAAACAAAGTCTAAACCCAGTACTTAATAGCAAGGCACTGCTATTTACATTCTGAGATTGCAATATTTTTATGCTATAAATTCAAATAACACTCATTCTCACTTCAGTATGACATCTGAAATATTCCAAAACTGAAAAATTAACTTCTTCAAAGATTTGTTTTTCATCATCTTAACAATTAAAATATAAAATATTAACAGTACAAGTGTCTTTTTTTTCTGCTCAGCAATGATGTTTTCTAGATTGACCTGTAAAAATTAAACGTCATTTTCGAGACAGGCATTTTCAGTTAATCTTACATTACCACTTTTTGTTATTTCACATCTAAATGAACTTTTTTTCAACTTACTACATGAACTTCTGAAAATCAGAATCAATTATTAAACTTTCATTTTGTCAGTCAATTTGAAAATATGATTGGTCAAAACAACTCACATCAAACAGTTCATAATTTTATTTTCTATAACTCATAATTGACAAAAGCTATATATTTAGAATAAGCATAAGCAGGATAACAAGGTTTTCCCGATTTATTCTATAAATGTTGCTTAGTTGTACGATGCAATTGAATTGATGTTTAGAGTCAATGGTATGTAAATGTTAAAAATATGTATCAATGACTCGTAAATGGTTTGAGATTGTTCCGTAAGTGACACAATCTCTTGAATGATTAATTGACACAACTAAGAAATAAAACTTTGATATATGCATATTTACGGAATAAGTGCAAAGAACTGTTAGTTATGCCAAAAGAATTATAATGTTTATAGCAATATGAAATCAAAATAACGCTTTAAAAATGAAAATTCGCAGATTATCAAACTTATATTAACAGTTTTATTATTTATGGAAAAATAAGAAAAAAACCTGTCAAATAAGGGATTCCATAACTGAACAAACTAGCATGAATTAAAGGAAATGTTATGGCATGAGCTTTTAACCACATCTGCGTTTTAAGAATAAAATTTTAACAGCAGAAAATCGTCCCGTAAATGATCAATTCAGTAGTCTGGGATTCAGGAGTTGATATTTTTTGCTTAGTCATAACATACGCGCTATTTCATACTTGATCATGTTTTGATATCAATGTTGATTTGCCAAACAGAAGCACATAAAAAATAGACAGACTGAAACCCAGGCTATCAATTCAGGTTTGATTATCTAAAAACTATATACCATATAGTTTTGCCTAAATGAAACACAGAAACAGTATAAACATTAATAAAACAAAGTAAACTGCTGTCAACATAACATTTTAACATAACATCATATAGCATAAATAAAACTTTTATGAAACAATTAAATGTTATGCGAAAATTTAATTATTACCTATTGTGTCAGATTTCTAAACCTAGTATGAATCAAATGTACAAAATGCATGAGTGACTGGTACTTTGTTCTTGCCATTGTAAATTGTTTTAACAATATATAAATAAAGTTATAATGGTCCATAATACTTTATCAAGTGTCATTGCCTTTGTTTTCCATGATAAAGTATCAGGAGACTTACAATCCTAATTTCGTCACGATTTCATTATCTATACTAAAAATTCTACATGTTTTGCCCATTCCTTTAGGTTCTTCGATAATCTTTAGCACATTGTTCTTGCTAATCCAAATTCTATCTTCCCTTCTCAGCCACTTAAATTAACATTCTACTTTTCTACTTTTCTCCATACATACCACTTCTACCTCTCCATCTTCTTTGTCAATGTCAACCACTTTGCCGACATAGTTCTCATTTTCATATACTGTGATAGCAAAGTCACCAATTTTTGCCATCTCTTCTTATGTCTTCATTTTTGCTGTTTTTTGGCAATTCAATCAAGTCCAGGGTATTTCTGTTACTCTTATCATTGTCAAAGTCGGAAGTCTGACACATCTGCTTTTGCTGGGGTCCTACATATTACCGGTTGTTTGCCACTATGTAAATTATAGAAACAATATGGTTGCCCGCCCCCAAATAAAAAAGTCTCCTGGAAATTAGCCTTAAAATTATGGCATGCATGAATTAAATACATGTTTCATTTACTTCAGATACCAAATATATGCTACAATTAGCTATAATATCTTAACATAAATAATAATTCAACAAGTACCAGGTTTTATAAACTATGTATATATGTAAATTACTTTATTTGTTCACCTCACAATATATTACTTTTAAATTATTTGTTCACCTCACAATATTTTACTTATAATAATACATTTTCAAAATTTTCATGAAAATCAACATGAAATCTGGAGGGGTGCTGCATTCTACCTGATTGTATACAAAGACAAACATTATTTTCGAAAAAATGACTGCTCTTTACATTTCTTGAAGTCTTACAATTTATTAATCCAAAGGCTCTATATGCAGCTAATGGAAGCTATATAAACAAACAAGATGGGTTGCATAGAGCAGAAAGAGAGACATTGTCCCTTAAAATGTGGACTCATAAATGGTGGTAATTTTTGTTCTGGGTTGATTTTTTTACAAGAAATTCTCCTATAGTCTTCTCAAATGTGGTTCAGTTGGCAAGACAAACACCTTCACTCATTATTTGTACCATAAATGAACAGCTCTCTATTGTTCCTTTTGAAAATTTATCAATTTTCGAGCAGCCTCGTAAATGGTTTTGTAAAAATTACGCTCGCAAAAGCAGCATTTGCCGTCAATCCGCAACATAATGGTTCTGCAGAAACTCTTGTTCTTAACAGTAATTTTATGTTAACTATAATACTATTAATCATTTACATGTATAGAAAGACTCTTCAATATATAATCATCTGTGACTTACCTTGCTTTGCAGTAAAGACTCATAAATGTTGTTGAATTTTAAGACAAGTACATGTACTGTATACTGTAAATACACACATCAAGTGAGAATGAGTGATAAGCAAAGTGCTTAATTACTTTCTAATAATATTTGCAGTGACATCAAAATTTGGTTGCAAATATCACAATTACCGTATATATTGGTCAAGGTATATATTATGGAGAACTATTCTACTATATCTGATAATCATTATCATATGTTTGGTCAACTAATCATACCACCCTACTATATCACTGAACCCTGTAAAACAAACTGTAATTGTATTCTATTTCAGGTAGATTTTCAGGAGTGCTCCTTACAGAACAGATTTGTGGTGAAGCCAAATGTCAATGAAAACTTAGACAAAAGTAAGAATAGTTTGTACCTTTGGTTACCCAACTGCTTTTGCTAAATGGATATTGTGGAAATTTCCATTGAGAAGTTTTGGGATTTCAAAATCAAAGTGCAAAGATAAACCAACCCATAGTCTGCTTAGATTGCAAGACCCAGCTGACTTTATCCTTCCTGCATAAGTCTGTCCATATGGCTGTCAGCACTAAAAGTGTTATGTGTAATGAAAGTGAAGTTTAACATCGCAAATATGTCACTAGCATATGTGTCAGACATTAGTAGTTTTATACTTGTGATTTTAAATGAAGTGAAAATTGTCAAGATATTATTTTTCAAGTAAACTACATGTACATTCAAAGTTTACAGTGCAACACCCATGGCATTATTTCAAAGTTGTACAGGTATAATTGTGTTTGATATTGTATTTCACAAAATCTACTGGGGTTGTAGCTTGTTGGTAAAGTGTCCTGTAGAAGAATAACAGCTGATGGTAGGAAGGCTACATCATAAGACCATTACAAAAGTGACACTGACATCTTCCTGAATGATGACAGTACCCAGCCCTCATAGCTCAATCGGTTGTAGTTGTAATCTCGACTTTGTGGGTTAATTCCTAGGCTGGCAAACTTATATTACTAAAACAGTTTTTCTGATGAGACTTTTAATCGAGGTCCCATGTATTACATGGCATGCCAAAGAACTAGGAGATGCTGCTGAAAGCATGCCAAAGAACTAGGAGATGCTGCTGAAAGCACGCCAAAGAACTAGATGCTGCTGAAATTGGGGCATTTTTCTGTATCTGTATCTTGCACCTTCCTCCAAAATCTAAAATGACTAATACACTTCTGGTGGACTCAACTACATGTATATAGGCAACTGGTGGCTCAAATACACACACCTGAATCAGTGCTTAACATTCATGCACACTATTCAGGTTGACCCTGCCACCTGTATGTATTTATTTTAAAATTGCCATGGGAGATGTTAACATCCAACACCCTTTAAAATAGATTAGTGATAAAGATTGTCACATGATATTTCATATGAAGATATAAAGATAAATCAGATACCAAGTTGTAATTATATGACTTGTTGGATGTACCATGGTATGGCATCTACTCTATATCATTTGGCGTAAAGAGTTTATTTATACTTAACAGAGAAACATTTGTACAGTAGCTTGCCAGAATATTTGACAGAAGTGGCTTACCAAGAGTTGAACGACTTAGATAATGATGTAACACTGTGCTCAATTGTGTACATACCTCAGGTATAACAAAGTGTTAAATTATATTAATATGTTGAGTAGTTAAATTGTGAATGTTCTGCTTGCATTTTCCAGAAGTTTAGATTGTTGTTTCACACAATAATCATCTCACACAATAATTTTCATAATTTTAGGGAATTACTACCTTAGAGGGTAATGCAGCAGTTATTTGTATATTTAGGAGACTAGCCAGGGCCAAGCTAATTCCTAGAAAAGTCCTAGTCTAGCAATCGGATGAAATGCCCAATTTACTGCAGATTACATAAGTTTTGAAAACAAAACCATCACATTAACTTGGTAATATGGGGACAGCCGAATGGTTGAAACATGACTCACTGACTCTTCCTACCCGGAATAGGCATGGGTTTCAAAGGTTACAAATCACTGGTATATATTGGCTTTTAAAAAAAGTGTGTTTCTCATTCAATGCTAAAAATATAGCACTGCTCTAAGAGAATGATGCATGCAAATCTCACCACATTTACAAATTTTGTCTAAATGAATTTTTGTTTTATTTCAAACATCATTTTCATTTATGGTGACAGATTGGTTACCTACTTGCTATACCAGAGGCAGCTTTGATTAACCAGTCTGAAGACAGAAGTAGAAATGAAATACATGGACTCGAATTTGTGGTAAATTTTGTTTTTTCTTGATTCTTTTTACAGATTTATATTGGTGTTGTCAAAATTTTTGTATTTTTTAAGTGTTATAAAATTGGCAGAAATGTCACTGAGCACTGTATACCAAATGTACAATTGACATTATCATGATCCGTAATATACAATACTACCAATTCATATATTAATTTGGTTCTGTAATAGTTATTGATTTTTTCCCCCCCCAAAAAAAAAGTTTATTCATAGACTCACATTAAAAGACTCATATTTTGTGGAGAGTGACATCACACTCCCTAGGTAATTTATAGTAGAAGTTGGTGTTGATCTTTGAACCTTTGTAATTTCAGTAGTGTTTTTTCTCTTTTTCTTTAAACGCAACTGTGTCAGAATCATTTACATAATTTTATGCGATCTTTTTTTTAAATAAAGAAATGCAACCTCTATCAAAAAGATAACAAATTCTTATTCTTTGTGTTGTATGTACCTTAGTTTCAGTCAAACAATTTCCTACATTATCGAAGTGCTCGCACTAGAGGTAAAAGTTTGCATGAATTCAACCCTTAACCTGCTGGAACTTTAAGAGATTAGCCTGCGCCTGCCCAGTCTGACAAAGCTCTATACTGTTTTGTGACAACAAATGAGCCGCGTCATGACAAAACCAACATAGTGCGTTTGCGACCAGCTTGGATCAAGACCAGCCTGGGCATCTATGCAGGCTGATCGGGATCCATGCTGTTCGCTTACAAACCCTATTTCAAGTAGAGAAACTGATAGCGAACAGCATGGATCCTGATCAGACTGCGCGGATGCGCAGGCTGGTCTGGATCCATGTTGGTCGCAAACCCATTATTTTGGTTTTGTTGTGACACGGCTCAAATTTCTATCTTGATATCCCCAAAATTGATAATGGACAGTTTCAAAAAATGGAAGTAGGACAAGTTCATTCAAGAAATTCAGCAGGTTAAAGGCTCAGCTGAACTTGAATTTACTGTTTATGTTTCTATATGCCAGTTTAGATGTTCATATTTTTTGTTAGACGTTGATAAAGTTATATCCCTTTTAACTATTAGTTTAAGATTTGCTGTTGTTGTTTTTTAGGTGACTTCATTTTATTTATAAAAGTTAAGATATAGATATACTTGAAATTTTTTGAAATTTTTGTTGAATCAGCTTTTTTTGTAACTTCAGTATTGTATTATCTCAGTTCTAACACAACTCTCTAAGGAGGGGATGATAATAAGATCTATACCACTATAGTAGTATCTGCTAATTTCCTGGTCCAATTAGTACTTGCAAAACTTGTTAGTTTCTTAAGAAAACCTTTTTGTTCTTATAAGTATTAATACAGTCATTTACAGCATATAGTGTATATGAAAGCATTTTGTGCAAAAATAATTTTCTATAACCAAGTTTCACTAACTGTTAATGTCATGTATAATTTACACATTTCAGAGTTGGATAGATTGCTAGGCGACACTCGTTGTGATATCACAGGTAAGATCGAAACCATGGTAACAATGATTTTCAAAATATGAGGATAGTCGAAACTTTTACAGAGATGTTTAGAAGAAAAGAAGAATTTTGAAGTCAGAAATTAAAACCTGACATTTTTTTAAGACACAGTATATATATGCAGTCATAATATATAATTGTTTTACAATAGTTGCAACTCTGAAGCTAATTTTACTATGAATGAAAGATTACCTTCATTAAGAAGACACTTTAATTTTAGATGTGGGAATGACGGAACATAATCAATTACAGTGCATTAATTAAATGTATCTGGCTGTCTTTTTATTGCTCATTTTAACTCTTTAACTTGAGACCCAAATTGATAAGCCTATGCCATCAGTATAGAGCCAGGCTAGCCTATATATGGAATGAGACATTATGGGGTTAGGTTTTGATCTTCCACTTAACAGTACATGTATGAGGTGTATGAAAAGTTATTTTGATCATCACCCGTTCACTCACTATATATACTTGGATAGGCATAATGTCACTTTAAAAAATATGAAAGCTTGATATGTCCATTTAAAAAATTTAGTTGGTTAAAGATTTATTTTTGTGAGAACTTATCTGCATAAGTAAAACATCAGGGTCTAGTCAGATTGTGTATACATAGACTTGGTTAAGTTATAGTTTGAGCTTTAATCAGATTACATGAAAATAATTAAAATAACTGAAAGCTGTCACAGCACTCTGTCATCTGTATTGGTGTCTCCATAGAAAATTTGTTAACATCAAAATTTCAAAAACTATTTTTCAGACATTGAGACAGCCATCATGCATAAATTACAGAACAACATTTTGAAACATTCCAAGGTTTTATTGACAGTGTTGGACATCTGTGCAGAACTAGACTGGTAAATCTTCCTTACTGTACATGTTTATATTCGTAAATCAATCTTGCAAAAGGCTATAGCTGTGAACACTTGTAATGCATGCATTTTCCATGTTACAGTTCAACCGAGATTCTTATGTTAAGTGATTTTCGTTTGATGATAAACATATAGATAGTCCACTGAGGTTAGATTACTGTAGTAACTTTTTAAATGTCAATTTGCTATCAAAGGCAAAAAAAGTATCTCTAACAATTATTATAATGATCAGATAGACATAAATTACGCTACATTTTGTTTAGTGAAATTCAACTAACGTAATGTCCAAATTTACGTAAAAGATACGCAAACCTTACAGAACGTCAGTGTAATGCTCACCTTTTGATTGCAGAGACTCAGTGAAATAGATCTTGCAGTTACTGAATAAGTTTTCTTCTTTTGTCAAAATAATTCAAATTTAGATTGTAACATATAGCTTGAATTTCATTTATCACAATATGTTTTGACCATAAAATCTTTACAGTTTGTTATCACTAGCAGCGTGTGCGAGAGAATATGGTTATAGCAGACCTTGTATTACAGATGATAATGTTATAGAGGTGACAAATGGAAGGTATTTTATGGCTTACTTCTATGTCATCCTTGCAATCCTCCACAACCCATGCAGCTAGCAATCGTTAGATTGATATTTTGATATTTTAACAAATTGGCAATCCTGCCACAGTGGTAACTGATCTCGGCTTAATCCTAAATTTTTTCCCAACTTTATTGCATTCCCTTTATTCATTATGTTGTTTTCTGTCCTTTTTAGCATATATTTTTGTTGAATAGTTTGATTTGTGACATGAAGTATAAGTAGAGGAAATGTTATATTTAAAATCTAAATAATGTAACGAAATAAAGTCATTACCATTAATAGCATTCTTAAATTTATAATTACATCATGGAAAAACACAATAAAATGTTAGATTTATTTCAGACATCCGATTCAGGAGGTATGCTGCAGTACATTTGTACCAAATGATGTTCAAAGTAATGCAGAATATGGAAAAATAAAAATATTAACAGGACCTAATGCATGTGGAAAATCTGTCTACCTCAAACAGGTTTGAATAGTACTTTATGAATAATATATTTTTGGAACTCTTCTTTATGTAACTGTTTGTACAGTTACTGGAAATGAAGTAAAAATTTACCAAAAATTGATCACTCTTACTGAAATTAAATAGAGAAATCGCACCTTTTGCAAAAAACCGCCTCCGTGGTCGAGGGGTTAGAGTGGATGACTTCTAATCCAGTTACCTCTCTGGCATGGGTTCGTTCCCTGGGAGATGCTTTGGTAGTTTAGCGCAGAGGAAGGTAGTCTAGTACTGGTGTAACTCTCCAGGAACGATGGTTAGGAAACTATCCGCCTATATGAATGAAATACTGTTGGGAAAGGCGTAAAATGGAACAAACAAACAAAAGCAAAAAAAAAATAAAAAAAGAAATAGGCAAAGCAAATACGTTGCTTCTCAGTTCATTAAACTACATGTAGCTTCAAAGAGTTTAAATAATTGTTTTTACAGCATATATAAATAATAAACCCTGTATTTGTTTGTATAAAAATATATTGGTACATTGTCATATATTTGCAATGTTAACACGCTTTTAATAGACCTGGCATCAGTATATATTCTCTTTAATTCTTTCTTTTGTTCTTTTTATTGTCCAAATTGTCTTAACTCTAAGCAAAAACTAAAACCAATTTTTGTCTGTTTAATGATATTCTTCATACTTTAGGACTATGGCAAGGAAATAACCATTGGGCCTTAATCATAGTAGTGTTACTTAAAATTCAATAAAAACACATGATTAAATGAGTCAGCATATGAAAACGTCAGAGTCACTAAGAACATATGAGCCGCGTCATGACAAAACCAACATATTGGGTTTGTGACCAGCATGGATCCAGACCAGCCTGCGCATTCGCGCAGTCTGATCAGGATCCATGCTGTTCGCTTACCAACTCTATTACAAGTAGGAAAACTGATAGCGAACAGCATGGATCCTGATCAGACTGTGCGGATGCGCAGGCTGGTCTGGATCCATGCTGGTCGCAAACGCACTATGTTGGTTTTGTCGTGACACGGCTCATTCATTTTTTCAGGTGGCTCTTATAGTATTTTTGGCACAGATTGGTAGTTTTGTGCCCGCCGAGGAAGCTAAGCTAGGACTTGTGGATAGAATCTTCACAAGGATCAGATCCATGGAAAGTGTTTCTGTTGGGCTTTCTACATTTATGATTGACATAAATCAGGTAACATTTATCATGAGTATGGCTATGTATTATTTGATGGTGAAAAAATGAAATGATTATATGTATTGTATGCCTTTTATATTTTCTCAAATTTTAGTGTGGAAAAAATAAAAGAATAATACAATGTATTATGCTCTGTTACTTAAGAGGAGAAAAAAAGTGTACAGTAGTATTTTATGTTACTAACTTACATTTAAAATGTACGGAGATTGCTTTTGTTGTAACATTGTAAAAATATTTGCTTTTGATGCAACTAAGAAAGTAAAAGAAACGATGTATTTCTTATACACTGTATCATTCTATTTGATTGCCAGAAGAAAATACCTTGATGCTTTTTTGATGTGTAAAAGAATTACAAACACATGTGAATAAACCACACATCAGAACTGAATGTTGACTAATGGAACTGTTAGGTTTATGTATTGATTATTGTTAGGTTTATGTATTGATTATTGTTAGGTTTATGTATTGATTATTGTTAGGTTTATGTATTGATTATTGTTAGGTTTATGTATTGATTATTGTTAGGTTTATGTATTGATTATTGTTAGGTTTATGTATTGATTATTGTTAGGTTTATGTATTGATTATTGTTAGGTTTATGTATTAATTATTGTTAGGTTTATGTATTGATTATTGTTAGGTTTATGTATTAATTATTGTTAGGTTTATGTATTGATTATTGTTAGGTTTATGTATTGATTATTGTTAGGTTTATGTATTGATTATTGTTAGGTTTATGTATTGATAGGTTTATGTATTGATTATTGTTAGGTTTATGTATTGATTATTGTTAGGTTTATGTATTAATTATTGTTAGGTTTATGTATTGATTATTGTTAGGTTTATGTATTGATTATTGTTAGGTTTATGTATTGATTATTGTTAGGTTTATGTATTGATTATTGTTAGGTTTATGTATTGATTATTGTTAGGTTTATGTATTGATAGGTTTATGTATTGATTATTGTTAGGTTTATGTATTGATTATTGTTAGGTTTATGTATTAATTATTGTTAGGTTTATGTATTGATTATTGTTAGGTTTATGTATTAATTATTGTTAGGTTTATGTATTGATTATTGTTAGGTTTATGTATTGATTATTGTTAGGTTTATGTATTGATTATTGTTAGGTTTATGTATTAATTATTGTTAGGTTTATGTATTGATTATTGTTAGGTTTATGTTTTGATTATTGTTAGGTTTATGTATTGATTATTGTTAGGTTTATGTATTGATTATTGTTAGGTTTATGTATTGATTATTGTTAGGTTTATGTATTGATTATCATATGTTTATGAACAAATTTGTGTGATTTAGATGGCAGAGGCCTTGAGAAGTGCAGGCGAAAAGTCATTATGTATTGTTGATGAATTTGGAAAAGGGACAGATATGGTAAGTTCTTGTTTTTAAGATTTTTATACATGTTCACTTTCATTAAAAGTTGTAAATACAATGCAATATTACATATAATAAACAGAATTTTTAACAACTAATGAATAGTGTTTACTCAGATATTGCTTATATTAAAGTACTGCCTGTTTGTAACATTGCTTTTCATTGGATAATGGTGATGTTTGTATAGTTTTATATACTGTCAATTTATGCAAAAATCTCATTTTTTCTAAAAAAAGAAGTTTGCTGCATTATATATTTGTTATTAATATTTCTGACAGGTGATATTGTCAAAATATAACGATTGTTGAAATATAACTCTTGCCTAGCAGCTTGGGTTAAATTTACAACCACCCCTTTATATAGAGCCATATAACCTATGGAAGCTCTTTATAACTTAAACTTTATTTTCATGTTGCTACATAAGAACTCCTGCATATTTAAAACCTATACTTCTGTTATAATCTTACAAGAAGGATCATAAAATAGAACAAAAACTAATTTTATATGGTGTTTACAAATTAAATGTTGTATAAAATAAACTAAATTTGAGTATTGAATTATCATATCTTATGAATGTTTCATATATAACAGGTGGATGGCCTATCATTACTGTGTTCTTGTCTGAAGCACTGGATAGACCAGGGAAGTAGGTCCCCTCATATTTTCCTCAGTACACATTACCATGGCATTATACAACAAAGTCTAATTCCAAGAGTTCCAAATGTCAAATATCTGGTATGTTATTAAATTATAGGGGTTATTTTTTTTAATTTGTATGTATCATAAATTTTGTGCAAGGGTATTCAAAAGTTTAAAATGTCAAAGTGAAACTGTAAACCGTCCTTTAATGATAAGCTATATGAAGTAAGCAAGTATACAGTTAAGTGTATGGACTCTAGTGTAACAAGATTTATTGAATAATACATTAGAATGTTTTATTATCGAATACATGTACTTTAGTCCTATACAGCTCATTTAAAGATAAGTTTATAATTTAAAATGCTAAAAATGAGAGTATATAAACTTATGATGTGCTCTATCTTTGGTCGCCCATATGGTCTCTTTCCGGTGGCAAGGGTAAACAAACCCAAACACACACATCTTTGGAACACATTGCAATGGTATATTAAAAACAATCACCTGTTTGTAGATATTGACTCAAAAGAATCTGACTAACATATTAATCTTGAGCTTGTCTTGACAGTTGGTGAAAAATTCAGTTTTACATACATGAAGTAACACTTTGTGTTATAAACAATTTTTGTACTGTATGATATAAGATACCAGTAATAAAACTAAGTAAGAAGTTGAAACTATTTTTATTTGTTTGGGTCGTCAGACCAAACAAATAATGGTAGCGAAATTTCAGAGTCTAATGCTGTTAATTGCAAATGCCGAAAGTAGTCCACTTTTTTGAAGCGGTTACTTCCCTTTATATGTACACTAACGATGAAAAATTCAGGGGAGATCACTGCGTAAAGATGGTCAAAGGCAGGCGCATTAATTTTCAAGCAAAATAATTCACGAATGGTCGAAGATTTCTAATATTGTTTTATTGTATTTTCTGATCGAAAATAAGTAAATACAAAGCGGACATTCAATCTCTGACACAGAAGTTTCACGACAAACCTAACAACAAGTAGTTCTCAAAACAGCTTAAAACTAGCGATTTAAAAGAAAGAAATATTTTTATTTTGTTACAAGTATCCAACAAATTACAACGCATTCAAAGTTTAAAAATAGCGTTGGCTTATAGAATTGTCAATAAATGCACAATCACAAATTACGCGGATGAATATGATTTTATCAATGAAAATACTATTTTTAGCGATGTCGATTACCGAATACTACACAAACCGAGTAGTGGAATATATAGATTCTAGCGATGTCGATTACCGAATACTTCACAAAGAAATCTGACTGCCGAGTAGTGGAATATATAGATTCTACATGTCGGACTGTTTGGGCGAGAAGATTTTCACTAAATTATTTACTTCAATTTTAAACAACAGGTTTATCATGAACAAAATACCTCGAAATTAATAAGGATTACAAACCCAAAATGCAATGGAAGTTCTAAATTGAGAATCGCTTGATTTTATTCAGACATAATTTGTACAACTTCTCCGTGGTGCAGTGGTCACGCGCTCGCTTAGTGAGTGAGAGGTCTGGAGTTCAAATCCTAGTCGAGGAAACTTTTTTTTTTCAAAATTCTTTTTTAAGTGTCTTTGTTAAGGAAGTAGCCATGATATGCAAGGATAAAGTGTGGCTGTCATAAAAAATGAACATAAATGATTTTTTGATGCAACTCTAGTTATGCAAAATTCCGTATGTATCAAACTCTGGTGCCTTGCAAGATGAATTATAGTACATAAAAATAAACTTATACAGGAAAATACATACAGATATACAGCACGATTTAGATTGCAAAGATCAGAAAATACCACGGAGCTTGCAGCCCTTTGATTCTTTATAAATATACATGCTTATAGTAAGCTCCAGGATTATTTACATCTTTGTTAAACAACAGTTAAAGTCGTTACAAGTCCTAATTTAGAATAATATGGTTTTCTTCAGGCCGTTCACATATAAATTCACCGTGGCTGAGGGGTTTTCGCGCTCGCTTAGGAAGCGAGAGGTCTGGAGTTCAAATCCCAGTAAAGGCAACTCTTTTTTTTCCAAATTGTTTAAGTCAAATAAACATTGGATTGAATATCAGTGTTGCAATTAGTCTTATAGCCAATTTACTACAATTAAAACGCTTGAAAGCATTGGTGGCACTATACATATAATCTCACAACCTGTACCTTTCTTACATTCTGAGACCCAAACAAATTCAGCGCCTTCTGTGCTTTGATTTATATTTTGACATCATTTTGTTATGTGAAATATACAACTATTCATGAAATACTTGTGTCTTTTGATGTTGATATTACATGTATATATATATAAATGTACAGTTTATGAATACATTCATGAATTTATTCAGACACTTGAGACATTACATAATGGTGAAGAATTAGTTTTCTTGTACCAGCTAGTAGAAGGTCATACTTCTTCCAGTTACGCTTGCCATGTTGCAACACAAGCAGGACTTCCAAGTACGATCGTCAAGAGAGGGACAGAGGTAGTAAGATATTTCTATTACATACAAGCATTTAATTTCATTGGCAGAAACTTGCAACATTGTTTGAATTCTGATTTGTATTCAGTATTAATTTGAAGAATGAAGTTAAGATTGTGAAATTTTTTTTAAATAAAATTTTGGATGATCAGTTGAGGTATGAATTTAAGAATACAAATTCATAGCAATTTTTGCTTGATCTTAAGGTACTGTCTATGAAAATCGCATTATTACCATAACTTAACACAGTGTAAGAAATTCGGATTTGAAGCCACTAGTCTAGTCGGACTACCAGATTGGAATATTCACTAGCCCAAAAGACATTTCACTAGCACAATTCATTTGTTCAAAACAAATATTTATATTGTCTCTGAAAATACAGTAGCCTGGCCGGGCTTGTTACTTTAAAAATTTAGTAGTCAGGGGCTATAGGACTACTGCTAATTTCGAACACTGTTAACACTAATTTCTGAAAATCCATCTTCCTTTTTCTAGGTATCTCAATTAATAAGACAATGTAAACCCGTGCAGAGACGAGATACCGTGGCAACTGAAACTCAATTTAAAAGGTAAGCACTCAGTTCAATAATGAATAATATATAATATAATGACATCTTTATTTCACAGCATAAAATTTTTGACATTTTGACAAAATTTGTAACATCTAGTTCAAGAAGGAATTCATTTGATTTGTTTGGTCTCTGAAAATGAAAACCAGGCTTGTACAATATTGATTTTATATGGATTTTTTTTACTTGAAGTTATGGAGTACAATAGTGATTTGATACGAATTTTTTGGACTTGCATAAAGAAAACAATGGTAAATTAATCAAATTGGATCCAATGATGATTTATTATGAGATCACATTATGCAAAAGTTGGAAGTTCAAAATGGTTACATTTTATAAGGTGTATAATAAATTTAACTCCATCAGTTTGAGTGATTTTTGTACAAAAATATAATTTTTAATAGTTTAATACATTTTCACTTAACTTTGCTCTTGGCACTACATTGATGACAAATGTGTTGAAAGTAAAAGAAACTTTAAAACAACCCTATCTATAAAGCATGTAACCACACTCCTCAGTTCCAAGTTATTTTATTAAATTGCTTGTTATTTCATTAAAATATATAGAATTTGAGTTTTCAACATAACTTTTGTGATATTTTTCAGATGCCAGACAATTGTTAACAGATTTATGGACCTGGATCTTGAAACTGCAAACCTCAAATCTTTCCTGACCGGTTTTGTTCTGCCAACCATTGATGGGAAAATGTGAACATGAACATGTGTCTTTACATTGGTTTCAAGAAATTGCAGACTTTGGATTTATTCTTCCATTCATTTATGGAAAATTGTAAACATTTACAGTCTAGTTGTTGTTGTTGTTGTTTTCTAACCATTTCATGGAATATTTGAATTTAGATTTATCTAGCTAGTAAAGGAAACAAATTTTTTACTGATAAAATCAGGGTAACGCTCATTGTATACATTGACATCTAGATTTGTTTTCCTGTTCCTTGTATGTCTTTGCTGACAGCAGCTGATCTTGCCCATGTGACCAATGAAGCATTCTGGCCATGTGATCAATGCAAACCAATGCAGCATTTTGTCCATGTGACCAGTAGCATTTTGTCCATGAAACCAATGCAGCATTCTGCCCATGTGGCCAATAGCATTTTGTCCATGTGACCAATAGCATTCTGTCCATGAAACCAATGCAGCATTCTGCCCATGTGGCTAATAGCATTTTGTCCATGTGACCAATAGCATTCTGTCCATGAAACCAATGCAGCATTCTGCCCATGTGACCAATAGCATTCTGTCGATGTGACCAATAGCATTCTGCCCATGTGGTCAATAGCATTTTCCCCATGAAACCAATATCATTCCGACCATGTGACCAATAGCATTCTGTCCATGTGACCAATGCAGCATTCTGCCCATGTGACCAATGCAGCATTTTTCCCATGTGACTGATATCATTCTGTCAATGTGACCAATGCAGTATTCTACCCATGTGGCCAATAGCATTTTGTCCATGAAACCAATAGCATTCTGCCCATGTAGCCAATAGTATTATGTCCATGAAACCAATAGTATTCTGTCCATGTGACCAATGCAGCATTCTGTCCATGTGACTAATGCATATTCTACCCGTGTGACCAATGCGGTCTGATCATGGTCTGTGGTTTGCTATTCTTTTAGTTTTTGAAATATTTTCTTAAAATGATGAAATTCAAAAATATTGTCAACATTGAAAGAGGGGCAAGTCCATTTAAGATGAAGGTATATCACATTTGATTCATCATCCTTAACAAACCATTTCTAAAGTGCCATGTAGAGAAACATTGTTATTACCCAGTAGGATTTAAGCATATAGTTTAAGCATTCATCATCCAAAGTCTTTTACACATACATACATGTAGCCTTTGATATATCTTTAATATTCTTACACAATTACTGTCAGGTATTTAATATCAAAAATTGTTCTAATTTCTTTTACATAGTTTTTAAGTGTGATTACACATAAAACCATTATCAGTGCCATAGTGTGTTCACGTTGTTTATAAATGATACATGTATTATGCTATTTTTGTTATTTATCATGAGAAGTTTATTGATTTTATGAGATATCTTGTTAAAATTGTTAAGTTTTACATAAATAAAGGTTAGTTAAATTTAGTTATATTAAACTGCATTTTATTTTTTACTATCCCCCACAAAAAATGTAGAGGGATATATGGTAAAAGTTTCCCTTTGTCCTTCCTTCTGTTTCACTGAGGGGGAGTGCAGTGCACAAGAATGAGAACAACCTTTCATAATTTTTGAGTTGTTGCCCTTTGTTGTTCTTGATGCTTTATTTTTGTCTGCAGCAAAACTTGAAAAGTAAGATATAAACTTGAAAATTCATAGTCGAAAAGATCTCATTAACTAGGGCTGTCCGTGGCGGAGTGGTTAAGGTCTTTGACTTTAAACCTCTTGCCTCAGATGTAGGTTCCAACCGTGCAACCGTAGGAGGTAAAGTCTGCCCAAGTCTCTTGACATTGATTTTTGACAGACTCGTGACCCTTTTTGAAATTAGAAAATTCTTGATGCAACAGCACTTGAATTTTTTACTAAGTTATATAGACCTTTAGTATATTATGATTTTAAATTAATCTTAAAAAGGCTAATGATTGTTTTCACTTGAAAGTTGATTTAAGTAAAGTATGACCCTTTGCTGCCTGTGTTCATATGTGATTTACAAGAGAAAATTCTTCTGTGTGCACATAGGGGGAAAAGTACATGTAATCCCTGAAGAACATCGAAATTGAAAATGCAGGCTTGGTTTGATTGAGCCTGCTCATGGAAAGTGCAATCTACTTTTCGTTTCATAAACGATTTCAAGAACTATTGTCACCAAGTGCCCCTCCCATCCCTACTCTCATGGTTTCGAGTATTTTTAAAGGGAAGGGGGTGAATAATGGGTAAACGCTCTTTGTTTAGGAAATAGATATCAATTCTGAGTGCATTGTTGTAGAATAATGCACGGTTTGAGTTCAAATGCGTAGTAATATAATTACAAAGCATTTGAATGAAAAACGTGCATTATTATACAATAATAATAATGCACGAAGAATTAATATCTATTTCCATTCTAACACGTCAAGAAAAAATATAATTATTATTATAAAGTTGGACTCTATGTTTGGTGGTTAAATTTGTTTTCGCCTCAGAGTTTCCCATAAAAACGTTCTTTAAAGGATATTCCAGTGGGTTGAAAAAAAACTGTCGATAAATATACCGTGTGTAGAAACATTTTGAGAATAACAAATTTTGAAAACGTTGGTAAAACTTTGTTTTTTTATTTTATTTCACTCTATAATTTTTCAAGCGAAATACAAATTTTTAAAGTGAAATAAATGTAAAACTTAACTTGTTTGCGACATTAAAATAGCGTACTTGATTTGATTGTTTTGCACGTGCTGTTTGGCGCTATATTGTGACGTCACGTAAACAACACTTTAAACGTCTGTACAGCGTTAACGACTGCATTAAAGATATTGGTGTTCGGATTCATTTTCTTAGTTAGACCATTTTCTTTCATTCTAGATAGCTTTCACAACAAAATTCGACAAAAAATGTTTTTATTTATTAGATTTTTTAAACAAAATGGCGCCCTCAATGTGAAAATACACAGGGAGGTAATAAGAACGGCGAGTGCATTGTTGTAGAATAATGCACGCTTCGGGCCTTCTTTGTTTATATAGAAACAAATCCGATAGTGTTAGAATGTTTATTTCATATGCGAGTTATAGGAATGCTTTTGCACAAAGCTTGTGACGATTCTAAAAGGTTTTCAACCCATTATTATTGCTCTAAAACCTGGCTTTATGACACTAAGAAAGTGGTCCATAGACATATATATATATATTATATGTTATTTTGGTTTTGGAGTGATATATGTGGATATATTACCTGTTAAGATTTTATATCACCCGAGCCGTTAGGCGAGGGTGATATTTTATCTTGGCAGGTAATATATCCACATATATCACTCCAAAACCAAAATGATAATTTTATTACCCTTCCCCTGCCGAGTTTAGACGATTTTTTAAAAAATCATTGCTGTTTCAAATGAAACGTCGAAATAAGATTCCCTTTAGGATACCTCTTCGTCACAACATGACGTCACATAAATACATGACGTATTTTTCCCGTACCTTACGAAAGTAAACAAGAGAAAAGGAGTAGTCTGTTGAACGCACTTTTTTGTAATTAATATCAAGCTTTCACAAGGTCATATTTGTTTTCGATACTGATGGTTATATGTATCATTACTCTACTTTGGTAAATATTTATCATTTGACAGTAAAAAAGTGCTTTTAAATCGGAATTTACAACGCGTATAATCGAACCGTACGCGCATCACCTCAGCGCATGTTGTTTACAACGTTGGGTACCAAACGGGGAAATTTAGTGTGTATATTACCCGTCTGGCTCGGTTATATCAATTTCTTTCGGGTGATCAATATCCAATCAAAAAGGCGGAAAAAATCTGGAAGGGTAATAATATATGTTATTTTGGTTTTGGAGTGATATATGTGGATATATTACCTGTTAAGATTTTATATCACCCGAGCCGTCAGGCGAGGGTGATATTTTATCTTGGCAGGTAATATATACACATATATCACTCCAAAACCAAAATAATAATTTTATTACCCTTCCCCTGCCGAGTTTAGACGATTTTTTAAAAAATCATTGCTGTTTCAAATGAAACGTCGAAATAAGATTCCCTTTAGGGTACCTCTTCGTCACAACATGACGTCACATAAATACATGACGTATTTTTCCCGTACCTAATAAATGTAAACAAGAGAAAAGGAGTAGTCTATTGAACGCACTTTTATGTAATTAATATCAAGCTTTCACAAGGTCATATTTGTTTTCGATACTGATGGTAATATGTATCATTACTCTACTTTGGTAAATATTTATCATTTGACAGTTAAAAAGTGCTTTTAAATCGGAATTTACACCGCGTAAAATCGAACCGTACGCGCATCACCTCAGCGCATCTTGTTTACAACGTTGGGTACCCAACGGGGAAATTCAGTGTGTATATTACCCGTCTGGCTCGGTTATATCAATTTCTTTCGGGTGATCACTATCCAATCAAAAAGGCGGAAAAAATCTGGAAGGGTAATAAATATATATATCGTAATAAAAGTTAATGAATTTAGTTTCGGTAAGATTGTATGCTTCTTCCGTTGATGATAAATAGTGTTTTTGTAATAGAGAACAAAGGCCGTATGTACCGCTTTCTTTTAATATGATTCCAATCAAAGACACTGGAAAACAAATAAACGTGAAAATTGATTTATTAATGAAAAATAACATTTAAGAAAGTAAAGTCCTTTAATTAAAAGCAATGAGACTGTTAGTATATTTCCAATGTTAAAGTTATAACTTTGACACAACAACTACTTATCTATACGTATATTTAATAAAGAATAAGGCTGGTATCATAAAATAGATTTCTTACATGTCATAAATACATGTCTTGTCTATCCAAAGTTACATTTTTGTTAACCTTTTTATTAATTTATTTCTTTCCTAGGAATGAAGTGTAAAACCCGCTTATTCTGGTGAGCAATAAATTAAAAGAACCTTGGAAACCTGTATTTTTTATGTAAATTGAAAACGCCTTTAAATAACATGAACAGTCCGAATTTCAAACGCGGATTCATTTCACGAAAACAAAACTGATTTTCCCAATTAGAATGAGCGGGTGCTTGCCTTAATATAATAAAAAGTAATAAGATATTTAAAAAGATAAGAAAGAAAATACTACATAAAACGGTCTTTTTTTCCACACTTATCTAAATGTTTCTTAAGAAAAGAGTTAAGAATGTTATAATGATGCTTTGGGGAAAAAAGACTCGCAATTATGGTTCACAAAATGGTTTAAATATGACTTTGTAATAATGTTTCTCAATGTAATATTTTGACATGAAATATGTTTCTAAAGATAATAGTTGAAGGTAATTAATGAAAACATATGATAGTGTTTCTAAAGATCGTCGAACGTAGAATATGATAGTTGAACAGGTAATAACTAATAACATTTCTTAAGATAATAGTTGAACGTGTAATAAAAAAGGATATTTAAATGTCACAAAAGTTTTTTGTTGAAAATATTCTTTATAATCTTGCAAAATTACAACGATGGTCTTTCAAAACACAGTAGATTCCAGCTGAACCATGTTACGTATGTAATACCTTAAATTACTTTGAAACTTGTATAAAGGCGATAAAATAAGACACATTTAAATAGTTTCTCTAAACCAAGTACTTTTACCACTACACAAACCAAAAATCTACGCGGACTCAGCTAACCAATATGTCAAACTAATACTATTTAACGATGATGATGATGATTAAAATCAATTGGTGATGTACTAGTGATGAGTGTTTGTAAAGAACAGCATCTGTTACAAATTTGATACTTATATTTTGGGCAATCACATTTTTACCGTTTTAACTGCTACGAATGCGTTTTTTTAAACATGATTTTAAATTGAAATGAAAATTTTCATACATTTGCCGCCATCTTGGATTTTTCAGTCCCCCGAGAATTTCACGGAAAAGATCTATGAAATCCCATTTCGTAATCTAGAGACTTAGCCGAACATTTTGGTATATGTCCTTTGTTTATGATCGAGGACTTAAAGTGAGTAATGGGAACCGTTTTGCAGTTCTTTACATTCTATTGCTAATTCCCAGCAAACATTTTATATCGGCCCGACATCGGCCCGATATTGGATTCTATATCGGCCCGACATCGGCTGCCGATATCGGCCCGATGTCGGATGTGCAACTCGGCTACACATCGGGCCGATATCGGCAACCGATATCAGCTGCCGACATGCAGCCGATATTGTGCCGACATTCACAGGTCATCGCTTTTTCTTGCTAAAACTCCTTTTTCTTGATAGTTAAACCCCAATGCAAATAAGATAGGCAAAAGAAAAACAGAAGAATGCATCCATTTCAACAAATTTATTTAAACCAATAAATTTAAGGCTACGTTTGAGCTCATGGGATCATTCTAATAATAAAGAATTATAAAGAGACTATGGAATTAACAAACACGATCGCTGTATTCTCTATTTCACTGTCAGTAAACAATTTACATGGTAAAATCTAGATTATTTATATAAAACACAATGTTCTGTTCACTAAAATGCACAAATAGAATATATATGAGGAAATTCATATTCATCTGTTGCTAAACAATTTCTTCTTAAGAGGATTTTATTAAAAAATTAACCCATAATGTATGGTTAAGATATAAAAAGATTGTAGTAAACTAATCAAATTTACTGGAAATTGTAGAATACAGAGTGTTGTAAGAACTTGCATCCGCTTTAATAACAGCAAAATGTCATTAAAATATATTAGTTTGTCCCTTAATGTTCAGGAACTATACAAACAAATAATATATACAGTTACTTTATGTGAAAACGACTAGAACTCACATACATGTAAAAATGTTATATAACTCAAAGTTATAATTACTATTAAAAATACCAATATCCCAAGTCACAATACAAAAAAACAAAACAAAATATAAGAGAACTATAATAGGGCTTATTTTGCAACACATTGTTTCTGACTAGAAGGAACTCATGTTTCTGATAAAAACAACACAAAAATATAAATGCAGATATACATCTTTACCAACATAAAATGACTAGGTAATACTGTAACAACTTTCTACAAAAACGACTTGGATTGCAGCACATCACAACCATATTCACATATTTGAAAATCACAATAGCAATAAACAACCTTAAAATAACCTGCAGTTTTTAAATTGAAATAAAGATATGCAAATCTCTTTCCAGACTATTAGCTATCACTAAATGTTTAATAGATTCATACACAACTGACAACAAAAACAATACAGTAAATAAAAGTTTAAACAAAAGTAAATGAAAATGTACATGTATTATGCAAACATGAAAAACACATCATTAAATATGTAAAATCACAGAACTAAGGCTATTTACATGATTTAGTTTAACAATTATGCATGGTTAGAAAACAACAAATTTATGTAAATGACTAGAGTATTTGAATAATATATTACTGATAATAAAATAATATGATTGAGGTACAGTAAAAATCATATAAGATTTATGTATGAATTCAATATTGATAACCATACACAATAAAAAAATAGGTTATACACAACAAAAACATTAAATGTCTATCCTACAAAAGTTAATTAACAAAGGAGAACACAAACTTTATACTGAAACAATACCAATTAACAAATAAAGCTTTGTTTTGAGATCTAGCATTATAACAAAAATCATATAAAAAAAAATTGCACATACATATGTGAATTGATATGTGTAGACTGATCAACTTGTTTTTATATAGCCAAAAAAATGTACAATACTAGAAGAGTATTCTGCTAGCAAAAAAACAAAAAAAGGTGATTGCAAATGTTAATCCCCAAAGTCATTTAGAGAGTTGTTTAATTTTGCGTCATTTCAGATGTGTGAAAGATGGATGAAAGTGGAAAATTTTGAAAATCCTAAACAGCATTTAGACAAGCAGTTTCAAAAGAAACTAACAAGAAAAATATTGAATTTTCTATGTGTCAAATCAGGATTAAGCCTGAAAACTTTCACCCATGGATGGTGGTCTTTTGCGCTTCTTACGCCCCTGTCCCTGTCACTCGCCATCCTAGTTAAAGTTCCACCTCGACTGCTGTGCACTTCTTGCACTTCATAACTGCTTCTGAAATAAAAATGAGAGCAAATAAAACAATGAGTTAATCATTTAACGCATGCCTCCACGTTTTTATGGGGTGGGCAAGGTGCTACGCATCATGTCTGCATTCTAACACAAAAGTTTGACTATAATATGCCTATTAAATTACTTAAATTTTCCGCAGTGATAAATTACAAACTTCTATTCTACATTCAAAACTTACAGTTTTATATAAATAATGTACTATGTAGAGTCTGTGTAAGGTCTGTCCCACTGTATGCGACTTAAGTACTGTTATAAACACATGTTCTACTAATTGACCATTTAATCAAGAAGCATTTGCTTACTTGTCACTGCCTGGGCCAGCTTGAGTTTTCCAAAGGTTCTTTTCCCCTTCTTTCCAAACCAGTTGAACTGGACTGCCAACTGGTTTGTCAAGAATTGCCTCATTATCGCCTCAACATGTCTGCCTTAAAGACCCCGCCTTGCGCTGATAGATACGAAACCTGCAATAAAATTTCCAACAAAATATTTAATCGATAGCAATTTATGATTATTTATCATTTATTCACTCTAGCCATATTTAACATTTTTAACTCAATAAAAATCGAGTTTTTCTTAAATTTAGTCTTAGTATTGGACTTTGGTGATTGCATACTTTGTAAGTAACAAACATCCTTCATCATATATAAGCAGGAATTAAACTCAGTGTCTTAGATTTAAGCTTTTATTTTGAAAAGATATAAAAATATGTCCTTTATACCAGTTCTTATTAAAAGTGCTGTACAGCATGTATGGAAACTTACTTCAAGTTGTATTTGAAAGGATAGCTTTTATTAACAAAATAAATGTCACAAGAAAAAAACTTTTTTATAGTTTGAATCGAGGCAATATCAATCATCCAGCACTCTGACTATAGAAAAGCAAAAACTATGATTTATGTACACAAATACACTTCTTCAACACAGCTAAGAAACATGCATCAATAGCTACTGAATATCTGCTAATCTGGATTCCTTTAGTCCTTTAAAATAATAACTCACCAAGCCATTAAAACATTCTCCCTCCTCTAGTTCCGCCTCAAGGGCCTCTAGCTCCTCGCTGGTGGATGCAGGTAAGTTGAGGTTTTCGGGTTTCTCTGACAACCTAACACCCCCACCGTGGCCATCTTCGAAACAATGCCCAGCACCTGGTTCATGGTTTCCAGGAGCTCAACCCGACGTCTGGACATGGCTTCCATTAGTGTAAACATTATGATATCCCGGGCTTAAAAGTAAAAATGTAAGACACTGAATAGCATACACATTTCATAGCACCATAATTGTAGGGATTAGTTTATCTAAATAGTTTACACAAATATTTTTTTAGATTAGCTAGTTTTCAACAGTATTTCAGTTATTAAGGATGTAAACAATCTTATAATGAAAATAATATAAAATATTTGTCATTATTTACTGAAATTTGATAATGGAATTAATATTAAAATATTTGTCATTATATATTCACTGCGTATTAGAGTTTTACATTTTCAAGAAACTAAAAATTATACCTTCATCATATCTTTTACTTATGGACCAGTATATATTTTATTAATAAATAACTCTTCATGGGAAAAGTGAAATTCTTAGCAATATATAGTCTTGGTACATGGTGTTTCTGTAATATCGACCAGCAAACAAATAGTATAAACAGCTTGTTTAAGTTTTCAGCATAAGAATATACACATACCCACTCCAGAACGTGGAGTCCCGGTAACACTGGTACTGGTAGCTGACGCGCAGTCTCTCACAGAAGGGGTACTCGTACTCATGGCAGGCGCTGTACTTGTATGTACAGTGGCAGGAACAGGTTGCTGGGAGTGGGACCCAGCCAGACTTGTTTCAAAGCAGCCAGCCTTCAATGGGGATGACCTCTGTGGAAGGCTGCACATGTTATTCTGACACGGGGATGCTGGGGATATTGGCACCTCTGGCTCATCCTCAGATGACGAGTACAGTCTTGCAGGAAGCCTGAATTATTAATAAATGCCATTCTATAAGTTATTTATTCATGTGTCAAAAACAAAGTAAAGTCTGAAATATATTTTTATTATTTTTAACATTTACTTTTAACAATTACAGCATCCTCAGTCTTCACACTAATACATAAAGCCTGAAGCATGGGGCTTATAAAATCACATTGGGATTATAAAAAGTTTGATAGAACATTATTAAAATGATTTTTAAAAAACTGAAAGTGAATAAAAAACAGATTGCATGCTAAAATGCCATATAATGGAACATACTAAAGAAGGCTAGTCGCGAAAATACATTTCAAAAAGTTAAATCACGTTTTTGTTACGATATTGTCAAGATTATATTTAAATATCAACAGCACTCATTTCTTTAATACAACCAAAATAATTGTATTTAATAAATACATGAAATCACCAGATAAAAGGTTGATTTTTTTCAGATCTCTTGTTTCGCCGTTGGATTCCAAATCGCGCCAGACTTTAAAAGACCCGGATGAACGGTGCGGCGGTAAAATACGCTATTGTGCAAATCGCAAACGAAATCGATTAAATTTTGATCTATCGACTGGCACACTTTGTAATATGTTTACAATATGAAATACTAAATGGATTAACATTAATAATCCATTGAATACTCAATAGTTGGAAAAAATACTTCACAGTGCAATTATATATATCGGCCCGATATCGGCCCGATATCGGTAACCGACATCTATATTCCGACATGTAGCCGATATCGGCCCGATATGGGAATGTTTGCTGGGTTATCACATACCCGTGCAGCTTTTGCGATTCAGTAAAAATGGTATTGCACGACCGTGCATATATTTTGACGTAACTTCATTTGCGTTATATAAACATAGCGTCACGACGCGCTAAATGTTAGCACTACAGGCGCGTCAATAAAAAAATGTTGTTTTTTTTTACTTCAAACGGTATTTATTTTTGTTATGTGATAAATAGAATATTAAATTCGTGTAAGTTCATTACTGAATTTGTTAAACTCGTTGAATAAAATAATATGCTCGCATAATATATTTTTTTATTCAATTCGTTCAATAAATTCAGTATTAAACTTGCACTCAATCAATATCCTATATATATTATAATATATGAGCCGCGTCACGACAAAACCAACATACTGGGTTTGCGACCAGCATGGATCCAGACCAGCCTGCGCATCCGCGCAGTCTGATCAGGATCCATGCTATTCGTTTACCAACCCTATAACAAGTAGAGAAACTAATAGCGAACAGCATGGATCCTGATTAGACTGCGCGGATGCGCAGGCTGGGATGGATCCATGCTGGTCGCAAACGCACTTTGTTGGTTTTGTCGTGACGCGGCTCATATTATTGGCGTCGATATATATACTGATACGACTTTAGGGAGGTGTTACACCATATATTGATAGTTTAAACAGTTCATCTAGAAAGTCCAGAAAATAGAGTCTTCCTCATGCTCTGAAACAGCTGCCAAACAGATAAGTATAATAGCGGGTGTAATTGTTATCACTACAAACAATGCACAGAACATTATCTTATCAACTGCCTTGCCGACGTCCTGCCATGTTAAATTTTCAGTGTCGTCTGTGTCAGAAATAATAGTATTATCACTCTTTTCCTCCTTGATTTCCTGCAGTTCTGTTATCTTTTTGTCATTTTGTGCGTTTACAATACTGTCTTGTTTGCTCTTTAGCTTGTTTCTACCAAATCGGGAAATTTTTAATATTAATTTGTAAGGCGATGAGATTGGAATAGCCGTATCTCTTTCATAAAGAAAGTTGTTGAAAATGACAATTAAAGTTGATACAATGCTAAAAAGTGTAGCAAAAAGAATATAAACACACATAATTGCTACAGGGTCAGCTTGTTTTGGTAATTCATCAGTGATGACGGTCAAAAACACACTTAAAGACAGCATAATTGTTAAAGAAAACCCCATGCGTGCCGTTGTTGGTATAAGAAAAGCAAAACAGTTTAAGGCTCCAATTCCGTTCATTGGAATGATGATAGTTAGAAGATAAAAAGTAGGTTGTCTTTCATAAATCAGTCTGTATGTTATGGTTGGCGGATCATTAACACCAATCCTGTACTGAATCGAGTCTGTTTTCAAGAACCATCCACTATTTTGAATATAGTATTGAGTTGAAACAGAAATGTTGTTAGCAACAATCTTCATCTTGTCCATGGTGTAGTCGACAGAAACGAATGTTAAATAACATGCATGCTTGTCAAAAGGCCAGTATTTCATATTGAATTTACACGAAGTCTCATAAACATCTCCGGGAGTAAATTCGGCAAATCATGCGGAGGTGAATTTTATACGCATCCCTGACCCAGATAAAGGTTCAAATGTCATTGATTGAGCTATAGAAATCGCTGGTGACCAAACAGCACTACTTTTGATATTCAAATTTTCAATTCCATTATACTGGGCCGGCGTCCATGTGATGCGCTCATCAATCCAGTATGATGAAAGAACCAAAGCTGTTGATATGGATCCACGTATAGGGTCCACATCCGGTTGACTGTAGAGTAATAATGTGACAACAACGTTTATAACTTCACTCTGATTGTTTAATGGAATGATGTCAGCATCATATGATGTCAAAAGTGAAGTTTTTAGATCTGTTGCATTTTCATACGACTGGCTGTTTACCTGCCCACATTCAATTAATATAAACAGGAGTAGTGGTATAACCTTCAGTAGTACCAGAATTTCTTTAGCCATTGTTTGAAAAAAATATCCTCTTTTTAAAGACTTCCTTTTTAATCTGTTATCACAAGTTGTGTTTTAAGTTAAACTGATTAATGAATTATTCAATATGAATTCAGGAATGAAATATCCATTTTATTAAAACGAGTTGCACATTTTTAGTTATTCTAGATACAATTCAAGAGTATTAAATTTTGTATCTTATCCAAAGTTTATATTTAAGTTGTAGTGGTCCGAAAATTGTTATATCCATGTGTCACCTACGAGTATTTCTATTATACTCTTAGTATTCCTATTACAGGTAATTGCTATACTACTTATGCATTCAGGCGTGTTAACAATTTACTTTTCAAAAGAGTTGCTTATAATTGTGTGCCCGGTATATAATGATATAAGATCGGCGGCGACTTTAAATAAACGCATCGACATTTAATGACATTATTATAAATGATGTATATAACAACATGACAAACACGGAAAAAATAGTATTTCTCATTAAAAATCACCAGAAAAAAATGATAAAATTTCTTGTTAAAGCATATGTGTTAAGGAGAAATTTTCTGTATAATATGTAATTGACTTTTAACGAGCCAATAGTGACAGCATGATGATATATTGACTGTCCATTTTCTGAACAGCAACTTTGATCTCATTTAAATGTTCCATTTTAAAAGATATGTACTGTATTTGTATATATATAATAAGGTTACTTATAGGCCCAATACTTACTTACTTACTGGCGTTCGCTCTACACGATCACGCCAGTATCCGCGATGAAGGTTGTGGTCCTCCGCAGGTCCTCAACGTCTCCGAACAGCTTCTGCTTGAGTGTTGCACCTCGGGGCCACGTTGCTCCTCGCTCCTGGTCGTGTCTTTTGCATCTTTGGAGGATATGCTCTGTAGTCTGGTCCTCTTCTCCACAGGGACATATGGGGGACGGCACCATTTTGTACTTCCTGCACATGTGTGCATTCAGTCTGTTGTGTCCCGAGCTCTTTCATTGTTTCTCTTTTTTTTTTCATCTGTGAGGAAGACTACAGAGGTGATCTCTTCTGGCGAGTTTTCTATCAAAAAGACTGCCTTCATGAGTGCCTCAGTCTCTGCTCTGTAATTGCTGCAGTGCTTCCCAGTGGCGATGTAATGGGCTGTTTTCTGGCCTGACGGGTACGTTATGTGAATACCACCGCCTCCATCTTTAACGGCTCTAGTGGCTGACCCATCTGTGTATACATTGGTCCATGTGTCCGAAGGATAGTCTGCGTAGATAGCCGCAAGTGTCAGACTTCTACGGATGGTTTCATTTTCCTGTTTGCCCATGTCTAGTCCAGGAATAGCAAGTGCCACTTTGACTGCAGACAGGTCATTTGCTGAAGGGTTGGTGATGTCTGCTCGGCCCAAGGGAATTGACTGAGTGTTTAGTTCAGCTGCATGCTCTCTACTCAGCTTCTTTGCTTGATGTACAAAGCTGCATCGCTTGAGGCGGTTCTTGGCGAATCCCTCAAGTTTGCTGTTCATGGGGTGGTCTGGGAGGGACTGGTACTTGTTTGCCTGGAGAAGGACCTTGGTTTGTCTTCTTTCATGAAGTGTTTTAATTCCGGTCAGTTTCTCCATGAAGGCGATTGGTGTAGACTTGGTGGCCCCTGTGATGATACGAAGTGCCTGGTTCTGTACTTTATCCAGGGCTTGCTGGTTTGTCTTGGCTGTTGTGGACCATGTGGCTGAGCTGTACTCCATGGTGGGTCTTACTGTGCCCTGATATACAGTATTCAGTATTTGCTCATTTGCACCCCAGGTTGTCCCAGCAAATTTTCGCATCATCCAAAGTTTCCTTCGTGCCGTCCCTTCTACACGGCTGATGTGTGCTTTCCAAGTCTGCCGCTTGTCAAAGGTGACCCCAAGGTATGTGGCTTCGTCTTCCTCCTTCAGTGGAGTTCCAGCCAACATGAACCTCCCAGCTCTCTGCTTTGTTGACAAGGTGAACAATGTGGTGGACGACTTCTCTTTGTTGATCGTGACACACCAGTCTTCGGCCCATGCTGCGAGTTTGTCCATAGCTCTTTGCATTCTGTATGTGGCCGTAGAGGCATGTTCTTCTTTGCACCATAGCACCAGGTCGTCAGCATAAAGAACAGCATGAACTCCCTTAGGCAGTTCAGACACCAGGTCGTTGATGAAGACCAGAAAGAGTGTCGGGGATAGGACTCCACCCTGTGGGACGCCATGGCGTAGCAGGAACTTCCTACTGTTGGATTGGTTCAGGCTGACTCTGGCTCTTCTATTAAACAGATAAGAGTTGATCCATTGCATAGCCCCTCCAACTCCATTCCTAATGAGCTTTACTTGTAGCCCTTCTGTCCAGACTTTGTCGAACGCTCTTTGTAGGTCAATGCATGCTGTAAGGACCACCTTTTGCTCTTGGAGTGCGTCTTCGACTTCCTGCGCTAGGTATGTAGTCTGGTCTTCTGTGGAACAGAATTGCCGGAAACCAGCCTGTTCAGATGCCAGCAGGTCATTGGTCTCCAGGTACCACTTCAGGCGTGCGTTCACAATCCTCTCCATTGTCTTAACAACACAGCTGGTGAGGCTGATTGGACGGTAGCTGGCTGCCTTTTTTGGGTCCTTCCCTTTCTTCAGTATAGGGATCATCGTTGCCTCTCTCCAAATCTGTGGTAGCTGCCCTTGTTTCCAGCTGTAGTTGTATATGTCCAGGAGTTTGCACATTGCTGTATTGCCCAGGTGTGTCAGCATCTCATTTGTGATTCCGTCAGGACCGGGAGATTTTTTGGTCTTTAGCTGCCTGAAAGCTGCCTGAACCTCATGAAGCGTCAGGCGCGAGTCCATGCACTCTGACGTGACCTTAGGTGTTTTCCTGTCCCTTTGTTCTCTTCTTGCTTCCCTCAGTCGTTCACTGTTGATGGGGATGTCGCTGACATCTTTGTAGTTTTGGGCAAAGACGTTTGCTGCTTGTTTGCCCACCAACAGCTCTCCCTCCTCTTCCAAGGTAACTGAGCCTCTCGCTTTGTCTTGGTCGTCGTTCAGCTGTTTTGTCAATCTCCACAACTTTCGGCCATCTCTCTCGAGGTTCAATGAAGCTGTCTTGTGTCTCCAGCTCTTTCTTTGGGCCTCTAGCTTGTGCCTTAGGAATTTGGCCTTGGCATGCTGTAAGTTGTGGTTTGCCTCCTGTGAGGGATTGTTTTCGGCTTCAACTCTGGCTTCGGACACCTTGGTTTGCAGCTCCTCTAACTGTTCACTCCAGTAGGGCTTGTAGTCTTTCCTCGCACCTCTAGGGATGGACTGCTGTGCTGACTTGAGGATGCATTGGTTGAAGTCCCTGACTATGTTGTTAATGTCTCTGCTTTCAACTCTGATGTCTTTGCAGAGTTCATCACTCACAGACTGGAAAAGGGGCCAATCAGCCTTTTTGTAGTTCCATCTGGGTAAGCTAGATGACATAGAGACAGAGCGGTCCAGTATGATGAGGACTGGACGGTGATCACTGCCTCCAAGTTGATCAGTGACTTTCCATTGGACATGTCCGTGTATGTCGTCAGTACAGAAGGCAAGGTCAGGCGTTGATGTCGAGTGCCATCTTCTCGAGTAAAAAGTTGGAGGATCCTCCGGCTGATTGATGAGGTTCAGCCTGTTGTCATCCTGCCAGGTCTCCACTTCCTCTCCTCGGTTGTCCATGTGGTCATATCCCCAGCTTTGTGAGTGACTGTTGAAGTCTCCAACAACCACGAGGTTTGTTGCTTCCATTGGGATACTGTCTAGGGAAAGAGCGTTGTCATTTGGAGAGTACATATTCACAAGAGTCATTTGAAAGCCGTTCAATCTGAGGCTCAGCACTTGGAATTCCGAAGTCATCCATATGCATTTTAGTCTGGATAACATTGATGTTGTTCCTGACTAATGTCATGATGCCTCCTTTCTTTCTGCCAACCCTGTCACTTCGGAAGCACTGGTATCCTCTGATCTTAAAGGATTTAGCTGGTTGCAGGTGTGTTTCCTGAATGCAACAGACATTGATGCCATTCTCATGAAGGAAGAGCTGAAGTTCAGTCTTTTTGTTGAAGACTCCTTCTGCGTTCCAATGCATCACTTTGAAGTGTTGCTGTTGGACTTTCCTCCTCCTTGGCTTGTTGTAGCCCTTTGGTCTCCTCTTGGCATGATGGAAGGAGTGACCCCCAGTAGCTTTGGGTGGACTCTGTCGAGGCTCAGAGCCCGGCACTGTATCTTCCTGGAGGGATTCCAAAGATCCAGCACCACATCGATGAATATCATTGTTTCGTGTAGTCATAGCGTTGGTTACGTGATGCAGTGGTTTGTTAGAGAGTGCCAATGGCCCAGCATCTCCGATTTCAACTCTCTAGGTTGGTTAGGGTTACCTCACCCAAAGCCCTTGCCGACCCAACTACTGACCACAAGGCAGTGGTGATTTTGAAAGGGTTGTCTCCCTTGGTTTGGTATAAGAGTTGTCCTTCTCCACCGTTCCCATCTAACTCGGGCTGTTGTGCTCAGAGACCACTGCTGGATTGCCGTTACACCGGTTATGATGGTGCTCGTCGTTCTAGCTACTGTCACCCAGGTTGTGACAGGCCATTTGTTAATCCACGAGGCTGTGGAGCTATTTTGACCCATAGCTGGGTTCTAGGTTAGCAGGCTTCAGGGCATATCCTCACACCGGTGGGTCATGCAAGCCATGCCTTTAGGGGCCTAGATCCTCCAAGACCGAGTGGTTTAGCCTGGGGCCGCAAGGTGCCCAGTTTCCGTTTGCCACCTCGGGGAGGTCCCATAAATGGGCCACAGCGGTCTTACTGCATGAGAGGCTATAACTGGCAGGGAAGGCTTACAAGTGGCTCCCCGGTTCCCACTAGGTGGTAGCCAGCGGTGAGGCTGTAAGCTGTAAGCGAAAAACACGAGCTACTCACTACAACAACACGCAGTTGCGCATCAAAGCAGTCATTACGGCAAATAGGTCCAATGGGCCGGGTGTCTTTGTATGTATTCTTATAATGTATGTGAAATGATAAATGCACAATGTCACTATAATAAACCATTTACTTACTTACTTACTTACTTACTTATATTTTTGAAATGTGTTCATCAATTATAACATATGTTCACACCTTTTAATTTGAAAGTCAAATCAAACTGCAAAAATTTAATTACATGTACTAATAAGAACACGTGTTCGTAGGATTTTTATAATAATGATAATTATCGCCGTTAAATAATAAACAGCCAATTATTCGTTGGTGCGTTTGTTTATTTCATTGCATTATTTGATTGTGAAACTATGTTAAATAATAACATGTGCATTAATTAAATCTGTGAAATATTGTTTAATTACATTAAGACGAGACTTTAATTAACATAGCATTAATTGTTTGGAGTAACGGGCATCACTGGGCTTAAGTGGTGCGACCGGTAGACGTTGATTTTTTTTTTTTTTTTTTTTTTTTTTGATATCGTTACGTACTTTGAACCATAAAAAATCTCCTCTACACCTCCTGTGAGAAATAAATTGTCTGGTCAATACTTTATTCACGAATTCGAAAACCTAGCAAAACGCCGTTTTCCGGTACTTTCTGTACATAGCTCTAATGGAGTGTAATAGCGAACTCGATGTTTTCGGCCTTTTTAAAATTAAATTGAAATAAAACAGTTATTTTTTATAAGAAAATAATTAAATATCATTGTATGAATAATTCCATACAAAAAATAAAGTTATTACACAAGTTTACGCAGAAAAAAACTTTATTTATTATGGGTGATTCCACTACGTCTGTTTGAATTTTATTGATTTTCATTATAAATAATTTATTTTTTTGAATAATTTTCAATAGATATTAAAGGAATATTGATAATTTTCAAAAACATCATTTTTCTTTACCTTAAACCAGGGGCGGATACAGAACATGGTTTCCTGTGGGGGGGGGGGGTTGACATATGGGTGAATGAATATTAATATTTCGCTACGATTCAACTAGATTTATTCCCTGCGGTCAGGGTATTGGTACGCGTTTAACTTTTGAGGCATAGAGGAGCACGTGACCTGTTTTAGGTACATGGAGGAGCATGTTATCTGTAAAGGTTACGGCCTGGTGAATTTTCGTGTTCTTTGTTCTATAGTAAATCAGTCACATTTGAGGCTTAATTTTGGATTCCACTGTTCTTGATGAATTATATACTATCTTCAACTTTAAACATCAGCACTATTTAAGTCAAATGAGGCCCAAAATACAATAGGTTAGCCATCTACTTTTTTCAGAAATCTTCACTCTGTTGTAACACAGTTTAAATTCACCACTTTGAAAACTCCTGACTGCTGGTGGGTGGTACATCTTTAATCCTTCCGCCAACAAATGAGTTCCTGGAGAATACACAAAAAACAACTTTTAAACACATCATATAACACACAAAAACTACACACATGCAATAAATACACTTTAATTATGACCAATCTAACTAGGGATGACTTAAATTGGGCCACTTCAAAATTTTAAAGAACTACTTTCTAGAATACAACGGGTTGGGTCTAATTCCGTACCGGGTTGAGACCTAAACCGTACATGATTAGTTAATCGACCTTTACGAAAACCTGGCTAAATACCGTTTGCCGGTACGTTACGGATAATCCTCTAGGGAATAAGTCAGAATTACACCTAATTAAGAACAAAAAACTATTACGTGATATTTTTAATTTTCTATAATTATAATAAAGTTTAAGGTGGAAAAACTTGAATGATGTGTTTGAAAATTATCAATGTTTCTTTAATATGTATCTCAAAATGTTAAAAACAATAAATTGTTTATACTGAAAATCTACAAAATTAAAATATTCGTAGTGGCATCTGCCATAATAAATAGAGATGTTTTCTGCGAAAACTTGTGTGTTTGCTTTTTTTTGGCTCGGAATTATTCATAAAATGGTAGGCTTATTTAATCATTTTCTTAAAAAGAAATAATTGTTTTATGTTCGACCTTCTCCGGTCATTAACGGTCACCAGTTTCCATTCAAAGACCTTGTTCTATATATTGATCGATTATTGTCAACTATATTCCTGATACAAACGTTTATTTATCCACCAACCCAAACAATGTTGAAGACAGTTAAATGAAATATCTTCATATCATCAAAAATGTTCTCCGCAGGAAACCATTTTACTTGTCATAAATCTAAAGATGTGGGGAAATGACATCACGCGCACCTGTTTTTATACGGCCAATACACAAACATGGCCGGTGATTTAGCGATTTAAATTTTGTTATCATTCGTTTAATATTATTATTTGGCGGCAGAAAATTTGCAGATTTTTTTATTTCTAGTATTCTTTTTCTGAAATCAAGTTTTTATTCTAACATTGTCTTTCTTTTACTTATGAACATTTTATATGTAACAGGTGGATGGCCTATCATTACTGTGTTCTTGTCTGAAGCACTGGATAGACCAGGATGTCAGTCCCCTCATATTTTCCTCAGTACACATTACCATGGCATTATACAACAAAGTCTAATTCCAAGAGTTCCAAATGTCAAATATCTGGTATGTTATTAAATTATAGGTGTTATTTTGTAAATTTGTATGTATCATAAATTTTGTGCAAGAGTATTCAAAAGCTTGAGCTCGTCTTGACAGTTGGTGATAAATTCGGTTTTACATACATGAAGTAACACTTTGTGTTATAAACAATTTTTTTACTGTATGATATAAGATACCAGTAATAAAACTAAGTAAGAAGTTGAAACTATTTTTATTTGTTTGGGTCGTCAGACCAAACAAATAATGGTAGCGAAATTTCAGAGTCTAATGCTGTTAATTGCAAATGCCGAAAGTAGTCCACTTTTTTGAAGCGGTTACTTCCCTTTATATGTACACTAACGATGAAAAATTCAGGGGATATCACTGCGTAAAGATGGTCAAAGGCAGGCGCATTAATTTTCAAGCAAAATAATTCACGAATGGTCGAAGATTTCTTATATTGTTTTATTGTATTTTCTGATCGAAAATAAGTAAATACAAAGCGGACATTCAATCTCTGACACAGAAGTTTCACGACAAACTTAACAACAAGTAGTTCTCAAAACAGCTTAAACTAGCGATTTAAAAGAAAGAAATATTTTTATTTTGTTACAAGTATCCAACAAATTACAACGCATTCAAAGTTTAAAAATAGCGTTGGCTTATAGAATTGTCAATAAATGCACAATCACAAATTACGCGGATGAATATGATTTTATCAATGAAAATACTATTTTTAGCGATGTCGATTACCGAATACTACACAAACCGAGTAGTGGAATATAAAGATTCTGGCGATGTCGATTTCCAAATACTTCACAAAGAAATCTGACTGCCGAGTAGTGGAATATATAGATTCTACATGTCGGACTGTTTGGGCGACAATTATTTCTCTAAATTATTTACTTCGATTTTAAACAACAGGTTTATCGTGAACAAAATACCTCGAAATCAATAAGGATTACAAACCCGAAATGCAATGGAAGTTCTAAATTTAGAATGGCTTGATTTTATTCAGGCATTGTATGTACAACTTCTCCGTGGTGCAGGGGTAACGCGCTCGCTGAGTGAGTGAGAGGTCTGGAGTTCAAATCCCAGTAGAGGAAACTTTTTTTTTTTAATTCTTTTTTAATTGTCTTTGTTAAGGAAGTAGCCATGATATGCAAGGATAAAGTGTGGCTGTCATAAAAATGAACATAAATGATTTTTTGATGCAACTCTAGTTATACAAAATTCCGTATGTATCAAAATCTGGTGCTTTTCAAGATGAATTATAGTACATAAAAATAAACTTATACAGGAAAATACATACAGATATACAGCACGATTTAAATTGCAAAGATCAGAAAATACCACAGAGCTTACAGCCCTTTGATTCTTTATAAATATACATGCTTATAGCTGAGCCTACGGGCACTATGTTAGAAGGGTAGCCTACGCCCCCATACATCGTTTTAAACATGCCAGAGTTGCGAGGCCTTATGTATGCCCCACATTAAATATACACCCCACAAGTATGGTCTCAAATAGACCGATGCCCCGTAAATGGAGGAATGTGTATGTATATATATATATATATATATATATATATATATATATATATATATATATATATATATATATATATATATATATATATATATATATATATATATATATATAAATGTACAGTTTATGAATACATTCATGAATTTATTCAGACACTTGAGACATTACATAATGGTGAAGAATTAGTTTTCTTGTACCAGCTAGTGGAAGGTCATACTTCTTCAAGTTACGCTTGCCATGTTGCAACACAAGCAGGACTTCCAAGTACGATCGTCAAGAGAGAGACAGAGGTAGTAAGATATTTCTATTACATACAAGCATTTAATTTCATTGGCAGAAACTTGCAACATTGCCTGAATTTTGATTCATTATTAATTTTAAAAATGAAATTTTATTGAATAAAATTTTGGGTACCGGCAATCTATTGAAGTGAAAATTGAAGAAAAACAATAATGGTATTTTTTGCTGGATCTTAAGGTATTGTCTTATTGTCTTAAGGTATTGTCTATAAAAATTGCATTATACCATAACTTAACACTAATGTCTGAAAATCCCTCATTTAAATTCTTTCCATCTTCCTTTTCAAGGTATCTCAATTGATAAGACAATGTAAACCCGTGCAGAGACGAGATACCGTGGCAACTGAAACTCAATTTAAAAGGTAAGCACTCAGTTCAATATTGAATAATATATAATATAATGACATCTTTATGTCACAGCATCAAATTTTTGACATTTTTACAAAATTTGTAACATCAAGTTCAATAAGGAAGTCATTTGATTTGTTTTGCCTCTGAAAATGAAAACCAGGCTAGTACAATATTGATTTTATATGAATTTTTTTACTTGAAGTTATGGAGTACAATAGTGATTGGATATGGATTTTTAGCTCGACTATTCGATAAGAATTACAGGCTGTCCAGCGTCCCTAAAATTCCTAAAAAATCCTAATTTTTTTCAGTTTGGCTAAAATTCCTAAAAAAGTGAAAAATTCAAAGGGAATTCCTAAAAATGCCCTATTTTTTCACTGAAATTCCTAAAAAAATTTATCTTTTGTTATAAACATACTTATAACTTGTAACCCTGTGACATAACAAAGTTGACCATGTTTTGAACATGGTTAAATATGATTTGCCATGATTTGCCAACTCAAAATTGGTGACATTGAAATGGTTTCGTTTCAACTAAAAGTTACTTTGACTATGTCCGTAACATTGCTATCATATAATCAAAGCAGTTGTTAATAATCATGTTGACAGTTAACAGCAAAAACAATACCATATCATGGTCCTGAAACTTAAATCATAACAATAAGAGGTCCACTTATTCTGGAATATTTTGACACTGTTTTGCCAACTCCAGATATCTTGAATTTTATGTTTGTTCTTTTTTTCCAAATGGCTGAAGTGGTCCATTTATATCATATCATATTTTAAAATGATCATTATGAAGCTGTTGTAACACAATCTTAATTAAAAACATGTATAAATAGTTGTTAAAAATTAATATAAAATTTGTTTACTCACAACTCTTATATTTAAATCTGCATAATTTCAAAACAACATTGTAAAGTACTAAATGTGTTAACATAGACTTTGTAAAATTAACTCTTTCCCTCATACTTATTTATCCTTTCTGATGCCTCAGTAGGAGAAATTGTTTTTTGGCCACAAAGTTATCAATTTTATTCAATTCTTGTTCTTTTCATTCATATGGTGCAATGAAGGAAAATGCAGGCTCATATAATTTAATTAATCACACTCAAAATAATTTGGAAGTTCACTAATATAAAGCTCATTTCCAGTTACCATGTACACACATTTTGCAATTATGTGATCTAGATAAACTGCAATTGAATGGTCTGTGTGATGAACTTTTTTGATGTGCAATTCTGTGTGTTGATTTTGATGCTTCAAATTTGTTTAAATAATTGTACTAAGGCTAATGCCTTTTTACTTCCTACTTATTCAAAAAAATTCATTTGTCCATATTCAAAAGCTGCATTGTGCATGAATTTCACTGTATAAGAATTCCTTTTAGACACTTGTGGTTATAACATTCCCAAAACATAGGTAGAGCATGTTCTTTTTGACATGTTCAGCCATTGAAAAAACATATTTCAAATATGGTTTGAACATGGTTTGACTATGACCATTTCCGCAGGGGAGGCAGTTGACAAGTGAGTCAACACTGGTAGACACCTTTGCTCTAACTAAACTAAAGCATTATTTGTGAGTTACTTTTGTGTCAAATATGCAAAGGTTTGCCCTCATCATGGTTCTTCTGGGCCTTAGTTTAGTTATAAAATTCCAGATTGTAGCCCTAACATTTCTATTATGTACCCTAAAATTCCTAATTTTATCCCTAAAATTTCTAAAATATTGCCCTAAAATTTGCCCTAATTTTATGTCAGAAGGTGCTGGACAGCCTGGAATTAGTAGAGCTATTGTAGTCACCCGAGCGTCAGCGTCCGCCTAACCACTTATGTTAAAGTTTTTGTAATACCTCAAATATTTTCAAAGTCCATTGACATATGGGTTTGAAACTTTGCACACTTGTTCACCATCATGACCCCAACCTGTAGACAGGAGGAGATAACTGTATCAAGCATTTTGACAGAATTATGCCCCTTTTTTGACTTAGAATTTACGTTAAAATTTTGCAATACCTGAAATAATTTCAAAGTCCATTGACATATGGCTTTGAAACTTTGCACACTTGTTACCATCATTACCCCAACCTGTAAACAGAGGGTGGTAACTGTATTAAGCATTTTGACAGAATTATGCCCCTTTTTCGACTTAGCATTTATGTTAAAGTTTTTGTAATACCTCAAATATTTTCAAAGTCCATTGACATATGGCTTTGAAACTTTGCACACTTGTTTAACATCATTACCCCAACCTGTAAACAGGAAGATGTAACTGTATCAAGCATTTTGACAGAATTATGCCCCTTTTTCGACTTAGAATTTACGTTAAAGGTTTTGTAATACCTCAAATATTTTCAAAGTCCATTGACATATGGCTTTGAAACTTTGCACACTTGTTCACCATCATTACCCCAACCTGTAAACAGGAGGAGGTAACTGTATCAAGCATTTTTTTTACTATCAAGCACTAAGAATAGTCGAGCGTTGCTGTCCTACCGACAGCTCTTGTTTGGAGTGGCAAAAAGAAAACAAGGGTAAATTAATCAAATTGGATCCAATGATGATTTATTATGAGATCCCATTATGCAAAAGTTCAAAATTCAAAATGGTTACATTTTTAAGGTGTGAAATAAATTTAACTTCATCAGTTTGAGTGATTTTTGTATCAAAATATCATATTAATAGTTTAATACAGTTTCACTTAACTTTACTTTTGGCATAACATTGATGGCAAATGTGTTGAAAGTAAAAGAAACTTTAAAACAACCCTACCTATAAAGCATGCAACCATGCTAATCAGTTCCAAGTTATTTTATTAAATTGCTTGTTATTTCATTAAAATATATAGAATGTGAGTTTTTAACATAACTTTTGTGATAATTTTCAGATGCCAGACAATTGTTAACAGATTTATGGACCTGGATCTTGAAACTGCAGACCTCAAATCTTTCCTGACCGGTTTTGTTCTGCCAACCATTGATGGAAAAATGTGAACATGAACAGCCTGGAATGTTCTATTAAGTCCATTTCATGAAATTGCTTAAATTACATTCACTCTTCCTGGTTTTGATGAAAAATTGTAAACATGAATGAACTGACATGTGCCTGTACATTGGTTTCAAGAAATTGCTGACTTTGGATTTATTCTTCCATTCATTTATGGAAAATTGTAAACATTACAATTTTGTTGTTGTTTTCTAAACATTTCATGGAATATTTAAATTTAGATTTATTCATCTGGATAGTAAAGGAAACTAATTTTTACTGATAAAATCAGGGTAACGCTCATTGTGTACATTGACATCTAGATTTGTTTTCCTGTTCCTTGCATGTCTTTGCTGACAGCAGCTGATCCTGCCCATGTGACCAATGAAGCATTCTGGCCATGTGATCAATGCAAACCAATGCAGCATTCTGTCCATGTGACCAATTAAGCATTCTGCCCATGTGATCAATGCAAACCAATGCAGCATTCTGTCCATGTGACCAAAGAAGCATTCTACTACCCATGTGACCAATGCAAACCAATGCACCATTCTGTACATGTGACCAATGCAGCATTCTGTACTTGTGACCAATGCAGCATTCTGTCCATGTGACCAATGCAGCATTCTGCCCGTGTGATCAATGCAAACCAATGCAGCGTTCTGTACATGTGACCAATGCAGCATTCTGTCCATGTGACCAATGAAGCATTCTGCCCATGTGATCAATGCAAACCAATGCAGCATTCTGTCCATGTGACCAAAGAAGCATTCTGCCCATGTGACCAATGCAAACCAATGCAGCATTCTGCCCATGTGACCAATGCAAACCAATGCAGCATTCTGTACATGTGACCAATGCAGCATTCTGTCCATGTGATCAATGCAAAACCAATGCAGCATTCTGTCCATGTGACCAATGCAGCATTCTGCCCATGTGACCAATGCAAACCAATGCAGCATTCTATCCATGTGAACCAATGAAGCATTCTGCCGATGTGTCCAATGCAGCATTCTACCCATGTGACCAATGCAAACCAATGCAGCATTCTGTCCATGTGACCAATGCAAACCAATGCAGCATTCTGTCCATGTGACCAATGCAAACCAATGCAGCATTCTACCCATGTGACCAATGCAAACCAATGCAGCATTCTACCCATGTGACCAATATCATTCTACCAATGCAGACCAATACAGCATTCTACCCATGTGACCAATGCAGACCAATACAGCATTCTGTCCATGTGACCAATGAAGCATTCTGCCCATGTGTCCAATGCAGCATTTCTACCCATGTGACCAATGCAGCATTCTACCCATGTGACCAATGAAGCATTCTGCCCATGTGACCAATGCAAACCAATACAGCATTCTGTCCATGTGACCAATGAAGCATTCTACCCATGTGACCAATGCAGACTGTGTGTGATCATAGTCTGTATTGTTTGCTATTTATCAGTTTTTGAAATATTTTCTTAAAATGATGAAATTCAAAATATTGTCAACATTGAAAGAGGGGCAAGTCCATTTATGATGAAGGTATATCACATTTGATTCATCGTCCTTAACAACCCATTTCTAAAGTGCCATATAAAGAAACATTGTTATGACCCAGTAGGATTTAAGCATATAGTTAAAGCATCCATTATCGAAAGTCTTTTACAAATATATAGCCTTTGATATACATGTATCTTTCATATTCTTACAAAAATACTGTCAGGTATTTAATATCAAAAGTTGTTTTTAATTTCTTTAACGTAGTTTTTTTAGTGTGATTACACATAAAACCACTATCAGTGCCATAGTGTGTTCACTTTGTTTATGAATTTTACATCTATTATGTATGTTATTTTTTGTTATTTATCATGAAAATTTATTTAATTTTACGAGATAACTTGTTAAAATTGTTGAGTTTTAGACAATATAAAGGTGAGTTAAATTCAGTTATATTACACTGCATTTTATTTTTACTATCCCACACCAAAAATGTAGCTAGATATATGGTTAAAGTTTCACTTTGTCCTTCCTTCTGTTTCACTGAGAAGGAGTGCAGTGCATAGGAATGAGAACTACCTTTCATAATTTTTGAGTTGGTTCCCTTTGTTGTTCTTGATGCTTTATTTTCGTTTGCAGCAAAACTTGAAAAGTAAGATATAAACTTGAAAATTCATAGTCGAAAAGATCTCATTATCTAGGTGTGTCGGTGGCGGAGTGGTTAAGGTCTTCCACTTTAAACCTCTTGCCTCAGATGTAGGTTCCAGCCGTGCAAGCATCGTCGGATTGTACATGCAAGAAAGCTAACAGCTTGCAAAATCTCTGTGGTTCTACTCAAGTTCCTGTTTGTGCCTTAAAAATAATGTACAGATAGGGGCCACCAGTCAAGCTGGAAAGGCGCCATATGACCTATACTGTACGAATTGGTGCTCATTAATATTTTAGTAAACGTTGTATCTTATCAACCAGTAATGATATATATATATATACATGTATATATATGTGCCCTGAAACGTCACACACTTGAGATCAAAGTACAAATTAGGAGGTAAAGTCTGCCCAAGTCTCTTGACATGGATTTTGACAGACTCTTGACCCTTTTTGACATTAGAAAATTCTTGATGCAACAGCAATCTATAAACCTACTGAGGTTTTCACTTGATTTTTTACTAAGTTATATAGACCTTTAGTATATTACGATTTTAAATTAATCTTAAAAAGGCTAATGATTGTTTTCACTTGAAAGTTGATTGTTTGTTTGTTTGTTTCATTTTACACCTTTTTCCAACAGTATTTCAGTCATATAGGCGGGTAGTTTCCTAACCATCGTTCCTGGAGAGTTAAACCAGTACATTGTACTAGACTACCTTCCTCCGAGCTAAACTACCAAAGCATCTCCCGGGGATCGAACCCTCGCCAGAGAGGTAACTGGATTAGAAGTCATCGACTCAAACCCCTCGACCACGGAGGCGGCTGGAAAGTTGATTCAAGTAAAGTATGACCCTTTGCTGCCTGTGTTCATATGTGATTTACAAGAGAAAATTCTTCTGTGTGCACATAGGGGGAAAAGTACATGTAGTCCCTGAAGAACATTGAAATTGAAAATGCAGGCTTGGTTTGATTGAGCCTACTCAAGGAAAGTGCAATCTACCTTTCGTTTCATAAACAATTTCAAGAACTATTGTCACCAAGTGCCTCTCCCATCCCTACTCTCATGGTTTTGAGAATTTTTTAAGGGAACGGGGTGAATAATGGGTAATGGCTCTTTGTTGTTTATTTCATATGCGAGTTATAGGAATGCTTTTGCACAAAGCTTTTGCACAAAGCTTTCAACCCATTATTATTGCTCTAAAACCTGGCTTTATGACACTAAGAAAGTGGTCCATAGACATATATATATCGTAATAAAAGTTAATGAATTTAGTTTCGGTAAGATTGTATGTTTCTTCCGTTGATGATAAATAGTATTTTTGTTATAGAGAACAAAAGCCGTATGTACCGCTTTCTTGTAATATGATTCCACTCAATTAAAGACACTGGAAAACAAATAAACGTGAAAATTGATTTATTAATGAAAAATAACATTGAAGAAAGTAAAGTCCTTTAATTAAAAGCAATGAGACTGTTAGTATATTTCCAATGTTAAAGTTATAACTTTGACACAACAACTACTTATCTATACGTAATATTTATAAAGAATAAGGCTGGCATCATAAAATAGATTTCTTACATGTAATAAATACATGTCTTGTCTATCCAAAGTTACATTTTTGTTAACTTTTTTATTAATCTATTGCTTTCCTAGAAATGAAGTGCAAAACCCACTTATTCTGTTGAGCAATAAATTAAAAGAACCTTGGAAACCTGTATTTCTTTATGTAAATTGAAAACGCCTTTAAATAACATGAACAGTCAGAATTTCAAACGCGGAAACAAAACTGATTTTCCCAATTAAAATGAGCTTATATAATGAAATGAAATAGGATATTTAAAAAGATAAGAAAGAAAATACTACATAAAACGGTCTTTTTCCACACTTGTCTAAAGAGTTAAGAATGTTATAATGTTTGGGGAAAAAACCTGAAATTATGGTTCACAAAAATGGTTGAAATATGACTTTGTAATTATGTTTCTCAATGTTAGTATTTTGACATGAAATATGTGTTGAAGGTAATTAATGAAAACATATGATAGTGTTTCTAAAGATCGTCGAACGTAGAATATGATAGTTGAACAGGTAATAACTAATAACATTTCTTAATACAATAGTTGAACGTGTAATAAAAAAGGATATTTAAATGTCACAAAAGTTTTTTTGTTGAAAATATTCTTTATAATCTTGCAAAATTACAACGATGGTCTTTCAAAACACAGTAGATTCCAGCTGAACCATGTTACGTATGTAATACCTTAAAATACTTGAAACTTGTATAAAGGGCGAAAAATAAGACACATATTTAAATAGTTTCTAGTACCAAGTACTTATACCACTACATAAACCAAAAAATCTACGCGACTCAGCTAACCAATATGCCAAACTAATACTATAACGATGGTGATGATGATTAAAATCAATTGGTGATGTACTAGTGATGAGTGTTTGTAAAGAACACCGTCTGTTACAAATTTGATACTTATGTTTTGGGCAATCACATTTGTACCGTTTTTTTAACTGCTACGAATGCGAGTGATTTTGAATTGAAATGATAATTTCCATAGATTTGTCGCCATCTTGGATTTTTCAGTCCCCCGAGAACTTCACGAAAAAGACGAAATCCCATTTCGTAATCTAGAGACTTAGCCGAACATTTTGGTATATGCCCTTTGTTTATGATCGAAGACTTAGTAAGTGAGTAATGGGAACCTTTTTGCAGTTCTGAACATTCTATTGCTAATTTATCGCATACCCGTGCAGCTTTTGCGACTCAGTAAAAATGGTATTGCACGACCTTGCATATATTTTGACGTAACTTCATTTGCGTTATATAAACATAGCGTCACGACGCGCTAAATGTTAGCACTATAGGCGCGTCAATAAATTCATTTTTGTTATGTGATAAATAGAATATTAAATTCGTGTAAGTTCATTACTGAATTTGTTAAACTCGTTGAATAAAATAATATTATGCTCGCATAATGTAATTTTATTCTATTCGTTCAATAAATCAGTGTTGAACTTACACTCATTCAAGATCCTCTCTATATATAATATATATTATGCTATATATAATATATATACTGATACGACTCAAGGGTTGTGTTATACCATATATATATGATATATTGATAGTTTAAACAGTTCATCTAGAAAGTCCAGAAAATAGAGTCTTCCTCATGCTCTGAAACAACTGCCAAACAGATAAGTATAATAGCGGGTGTAATTGTTATCACTACAAACAATGCACAGAACATTATCTTATCAACTGCCTTGCCAACTTCCTGCCATGTTAAATTTTCAGTATCGCCTGCGTCAGAAATAATAGTATTATCACTCTTTTCCTCCTTGATTTCCTGCAGTTCTGTTATCTTTTTGTCTTTTTGTGCGTTTTCAATACCGTCTTGTTTGCTCTCTATCTTGTTTCTACCAATTCGGGAAATTTTTAATATTAATTTGTAAGGCGATGAGATTGGAATAGCCGTATCTCTTTCATAAAGAAAGTTATTGAAAATGACAATTAAAGTTGATACCATGCTAAAAAGTGTAGCAAAAAGAATATAAACACACATAATTGCTGCAGGGTCAGCTTGTTTTGGTAATTCATCAGTGATGACGGTCAAAAACACACTTAAAGACAGCATAATTGTTAAAGAAAACCCCATGCGTGCCGTTGTTGGTATAAGAAAAGCAAAACAGTTTAAGGCTCCAATTCCGTTCATTGGAATGATGATAGTTAGAAGATAAAAAGTAGGTTGTCTTTCATAAATCAGTCTGTATGTTATGGTTGGCGGATCATTTACACCAATTCTGTACTGAATCGAGTCTGTTTTCAAGAACCATCCACCATTTTGAATATAGTATTGAGTTGAAACAGAAATGTTGTTAGCAACAATCTTCATCTTGTCCATGGTATAGTCGACAGAAACGAATGTTAAATAACATGCATGCTTGTCAAAAGGCCAGTATTTCATATTGAATTTACACGAAGTCTCGTAAACATCTCCGGGAGAAAATTCTGCAAATCCTGCGGAGGTGAATTTTATACGCATCCCTGATCCAGACAAAGGTTCAAATGTCATTGATTGAGCTATACTAATTGCTGGTAACCAAACAGCACTACTTTTGATATTCAAATTTTCAATTCCATTATACTGGGCCGGCGTCCATGTGATGCGCTCATCAATCCAGTATGATGAAAGAACCAAAGCTGTTGATATGGATCCACGTATAGGGTCCACATCCGGTTGACTGTAGAGTAATAATGTGACACCAATGTTTATAACTTCACTCTGGTTGTTTAAAGGAATGATGTCAGCATCATATGATGTCAAAAGTGAAGTTTTTAGATCTGTTGCATTTTCATACGACTGGCTGTTTATCTGCCCACATTCAATTAATATAAACAGGAGTAGTGGTATAACCTTCAGTAGTACCAGAATTTCTTTAGCCATTGTTTGAAAAAAAATCCTCTTTTTAAAGACTTCCTTTTAAATCTGTTATCACAAGTTGTGTTTTAAGTTAAACTGATTAATGAATTATTCAATATGAATTCAGGAATGAAATATCCATTTTATTAAAACGAGTTGCACATTTTTAGTAGTGGACCGAAAGTTGTTATATCCACGTGTCACCTACGAGTGTTACTATTATACTCTCAGTAATGGAAAAGTTTAATCCTATTAAAAAAAATTCCATTGGTATTTACTTTACTTAAAAGACATTATTGATGTAGCAAATGAAAAAACAACAACATTTTTTTTAGAGATCTAGTCTTTCTGAAATGGCTGTATTTTTCAATGTTAATACCTTTTTCAATATTTACTATTTAGTTTACAACCTTCATTTATTGATAATTAAAGGAACTCCGCTGAAGTCCAAACCCTTAAAACATATAATTTTAAAATCTTAATTACATAAATCATCTTGAACACTTGCAACAAAAATACAAACATATAGACCAACATCAAATATTAAAATTTCGAGGACAAAACAGCCTTGTAATGTAAAAAACAACCCTCATTTGAGTTCCTTTAACGTGAACGTTATATTTGGTATTCTCTAATCCTATGAAACAATCTTTTTGTACTTACAGTATTTAACAAAGAACAGATAAATGAGTATACTGTAATATAGATACAAATAAAAGCAAATAATAGCACGCGGTTCCGAGACCGGTAACGCTGGATTCGTAAGAGCTTTCTGAACAAGCATGCATAGTTTCCCCCCGTTATCAAGCCTGCCTGCGCCAGTCTGTGACCGAAACAAGGAAGATACAGTGAAATGTAAATGATAGTAAAATATCTGTTGAAAGTACATGCAATGTAAGATTTTAAAATTATATGTTTTAAGGGTTTGGACTTTAGCGGGGTTCCTTTAATTATCAATAAATGAAGGGTTTTTTCTGTTGGAAGACTAAATAGTAAATATTGAAAAAGGTATTAACATGGCATTTCAAAAAGACTAGATCTCTAAAAAAAATTATTTGCTACTTTAATGTTAATGTCTTTTTATTTAACTAAATGCATAAGTAGTATAGTAATTACCGATGGAATTTCTTTTAAAATGATTAAATTTTTCCAATACTAAGAGTATAATAATAAGTATTATATAGCAAATAGTATTGTGTGAAATAAATTCACGAGGAACTAAAATCCAGTCCGTGGAAATTAATATATCTAAAACAAAAACTATAAGAAAAGAAAAATGCCTTTTCCAGGAATCGAACCAGGATTTCTACACTGACGAAGCCAACCTCTACGCTTTTACGCCGATGATAGTCAAATTGATAACGAAGAACAAAATTCTAGTATCCACCACCCGTTTTGAAAATATCTATAAATAATATAAAAATATAATTTATAAAAATCTTGAAAAGGGGAAATCCCTCGGAAACAAAGAAAACAACAAAATTTCATGAAAATGGGCGGTATGATTTGATTAAGACCGTTAATAAGAGTAAATGCAAACTGCAACATCCCTCAATAAAAAACTGCACCCCCAGCACCGTCTAAAGTTGTTCCGCACACGTCAAAGGTACGGTATGAGAACGGTATTTACAGAAGCAATTAATCCGAAACTATCGATCGAAAAAAACTATTGTTTTAAATATTGTCATAGTTTTGAATAAATACGGTTGTTATTTTCTCATACACTTATCATTTGTTACTGAGTTTTCAAAGATATGTCAAATTTTGATTTTGAAAGTAAACCGGAAGTCAGGGTGTCATTTATTCGAAACTACTCCTCTCCTGCAAATCGGTCACTCCAATGTTGACAAAATATGAAATTTCCTTGATGATAATAATAAATTTTGAAAGACTTAGAGAATGATAGGAAGGAAGAAGAAAAGAATTGTAGGGAAAATTATTTGGGGCCCTAGAAAGAGCCACGAAAACGGTGTTGTAAGTGTCAAGATTGCCCGCTTTCCAAGTTACTTTCACATTTTTTGTGTCAAATTACGATTTTTACATTTTCATTATCAATTATGGTATTAATATTATGCAACTCTTTTGCTCTTGAACATCTTTTATTGTAAAGAATTAGTCTAAATGTTTGTTATGTTTATATGTTTTGGCAATATCGTTTTCTGATTAATATCTACAGTGGAAACACATAATTTTTAATATGAAAAAGGCAAAGCCTCAAAGCGAGCTCGATGTACTTTTTACGTGAAATAGTATGAAATAATCGCTCATTTTTATTTCAAATGCAGTAACGAGTGCGTGTGACGTCACACGTACTGTGTTAAATATGGCTCCGCCCCTGTCGTGAAATGAATAACGAGTTTTGAAAACGTTGATAAAACTTTGTTTATTTTATTTTACTCTATAATTTTTCAAGCGAAATAAAGATTATTTAAAGTGTAATAAATGTAAAACTTATAACGTTTGCGACATTAAAATAGCGTACTTGATTTGTTTGTTTTGCACGTGCTGTTTGGCGCTACATTGTGACGTCATGTAAACAATACTTTAAACGTCTGTACAGCGTTAACGACTGAATAAAAGATATTGGTGTTCGGATTCATTTTCTTAGTTAGACCATTTTCTTTCATTCTAGATAGTTTTCACAACAAAATTCGACAAAAAAAAATTGTTTTTATTTATCAGATTTCAAACAAAATGGCGCCTTCAATTTTCATTTTTATGCACAGCTTCCGTTATTCTGGTTCCCTGTCCAATTATGGTTCCTATAGACGTGCGCGGGTGACCAGTCTACACATCCGTTTTCAGTCAGAATTCCTCAGTTTTTATCGTTATCTTTAAATTCGAAAGGTTGCGATGTGTCCAATTCGGTACTTTGGACGAAAGTTTTCAAAACCATCACTTAGCAGGTACTCGCGTTACCGTAAAGCTCGCTTTGCGAGCAGGCCCTTCGGGCCAGCTCGTCGTGCTCGCTATTAATAATTCCCAAAATTTGACAAAACCAGATAAATTTCCAAGGCATGATTCACTTTGCATATGTTTCTCCTCTTTATTGCAAATAAATAAAACCATTTCACAATTATCATCATTGTCGAAATGTCATAATCACATCGAGACCACATGGGGCTTCTGTTAGTCCTATAAATATGACATCGCTTTGAGATATCTTTGCTTCAGGGCAAAGCAACGTCATATCAAAATTGCTAAAAGCCCATAGCACATTCCAGGAGAAAATCTGGTAGAATGAAAAAACAATAAGACTCAATAAGACAGTGTATATTTACATTAATTTTAACCTATTTTATAATATGAAAAAGGCAAAGCCTCAAAGCGAGCTCGATGTACTTTTAACGTGAAATAGTATTAAATAATCGCGCATTTTATTTCAAATGCATTGACGAGTGCGTGTGAGGTTACACGTACTGTGTTAAATATGGCTCCGCCCCTGTCGTTAACTGAATAACGAGTTTTGAAAACGTTGATAAAACTTTGTTTATTTTATTTCACTCTATAATTTTTCAAGCGAAATAAAGATTATTAAAAGTGAAATAAATGTAAAACTTAAAACGTTTGCGACATTAAAATAGCGTACTTGATTTGTTTGTTTTGCACGTGCTGTTTGGCGCTAGATTGTGACGTCACTTAAACAATACTTTAAACGTCTGTACAGAGTTAACGACTGAATAAAAGATATTGGTGTTCGGATTCATTTTCTTAGTTAGACCATTTTCTTTCATTCTAGATAGTTTTCACAACAAAATTCGACAAAAAATTGTTTTAATTTATCTGATTTTTCAAACAAAATGGCGCGCCTTCAATTTTCATTTTACATTTCCGTTCGATATTTTATCGACAGCTTCCGTTATTCTGGTTTCCTGTCCAATTATGGTTCCCATAGACGTGCGCGGGTGACCAGTCTACACATCCGTTTTCAGTCAGAATTCCTGAGTTTTTATCGTTATCTTTAAATTCAAAAGGTTGCATGTGTCCAATTCGGTACTTCGAACGAAAGTTTTCAAAACCATCACTTAGCAAGTACTCGCGTTACCGTAAAGCTCGCTTTGCGAGCAGGCCCTTCGGGCCAGCTCGTCGAGCTCGCTATAAATTCTATGAACAAAAGTAAACAAATGCCTTTTAACAAAATTATTAAATTGTCACATCCAAAAAATCTTGATTAAATTTTCTCATTAAATTAAATTCCTTTTACAGCTGATAAACAAGTGGCCGGGATACAGTGTGGGAAATCTGATTGACTAATGCAAATGCAAGCGTTGACATGTAAATGAGTCAAAAGTTAACGGAATATTTTTTTATGTAAGATTTGCCCATGTACCGTAAGCGTGTTCGATTATATATTTTTAGCTCAACTATTCGATAAGAATAAGTAGAGCTATTGCAGTCACCCGAGCGTCAGCGTCGGCGTAACCACTTATGTTAAAGTTTTTGTAATTGACATATGTCCATTGACATATGGCTTTGAAACTTTGCACACTTGTTCACCATCATGACCCCAACTTGTAGACAGGAGGAGGTAACTCTATCAAGCATTTTGACAGAATTATGCCCCTTTTTCGACTTAGAATTTATGTTAAAGTTTTTGTAATACCTCAAATATTTTCAAAGTTCATTGACATATGGCTTTGAAACTTTGCACACTTGTTCACCATCATTACCCCAACCTGTAAACAGGAGGAGGTAACTGTATCAAGCAATTTTTTTTACTATCAGCACTAAGAATAGTCGAGCGTTGCTGTCCTACCGACAGCTCTTGTTTCTTCTTCTTTTGATTGTTGGACATTCATGAAAGAACGATAATTTAAAAAAAATGTCTCACTTTGATACATGGTCAAAAGATATTACCAACAAATAACCTTTTGTGTTTCATTTTTACACACGTTCGTAAAATAACTGATTTGTAAAATTACACCTGTAAAAGGATATCTATTGCAAGTGTATGCTCATATGAGAAAGTTTAATCATGTAATTGGTTAAATATCAATCATCAACTACCATCAACGATGCAATCA